AGAAAAAAATCTGATTGCATGAAATTAGCGAAATTGGATATTTAACATGAAGTGTTGAGAACTTTAAATTTACCTTTTAAAATTAACTGAATAATTAAAAACGAATTATATATCTATTTGAAAATGGAAAAACAAGCAAAATGAAATACTACATCACAAATATATAGACATAGAAGTACATAAGCATAATGTGAATCCTTTGTTGTTGCTGAAAGTTTCGATTAACAGAGTAAGAGAATATCATAATAGCTAAACGAATCTGATCTTCCCATTTTTGTGGTTCAAATATACCCCAACATACTAAAAAACCATAATACTATAGCGACAAGTAATGTAAAAATAAGTTGTTACAAAAAGAAATAGTTTGCTGAATAAGAGGATTTAAAAAAAATCAGATTTTGAACATAATACTTGGGTGGAAATTTTGTAGCGAAAACTAATAATTTGAAATCAGTCTTGCAAAAAAGTCAATGATATCTACAACGATAACTTTGTGGATCGGATTTTATTTGACGTGAACTTTGTGGCATAGTTTGTTTTTTTGTTTAAATCATTTTTATAAAAAAATTATGGTCAAAATTTTGTGAATTCATAATTTTGGTAGAGAATTTGAGGAATCCTATTTTTGGGAAAAAAAATATTTAGAAAGGCTTCCGAAGTAAAATATTATTTTTGAGAAATTTGTGATTCTATGTTGCACAAACTAATTCCATAAATTTTATTGACTCACATTTATGGCGAAAATATTTTTTTAATCGGTATTTGTTTGACGGGAACATTGCGGAATAGTTTGTCTAAAATTGTTCTCTAAACATTTTGAAATAACTTTTCAACTTTAAATATGTTTGCGGGAAATTTACATACTTATATTTTGGTGAAAATTAGCAGAATTATATTTTGCATTAAAACTTAAAATTTTTTTTTTCGTACATGTAGTGGATATTGCTATTTGCTTTCTTAATATAAAATTTAAAGAAGGTTTACCTTGATTAAATATTATTAGCAATATTTCTTAAGGTCCTTTAGATTTAGTTAAATTATAATCTTTTAAACAAATCACATAATTAATATATTATGAAAATAGGAAACAACTAACATATACTCCCTCTGTTTTTTTTTTGATAAATTTTCTAGGCTTTTCACACATATTAAGAAAAAGCTGATTTCCAATCATTAGTGTATAGATTTTTGCAATAAAATAACTTTCTATGATTTTAAACCAATAAAAATCTAACAAACACAATTATTGTTTCTTGAAAACTGAAAAATGCATCAAAAAGGTAAAAAATTTATCTTCGTGAAACAACAAATAATGTCTAGAAAATTCATCTTAAAAAAAACGGAGGGAGTAATACACATAAATAAATAATCAAATATCTATCCATTATTTCAAAACAAGAAAAAACTATAATATTAGTAATCGAGACAATATGCTTATTATTATATTAAAAATATTTATATGGACTGATAAAGAAACAAAATATATTTTAATCTAAAAATAATGTAGAAAATGATATATCCATTCAATATGGAAATTTTAAAGTTAACTCAATCTCACGCATTAGGCATGGGTAATCCCCTAATCAAGTATGAATGTATAATCAGTAATGACAAAATAATGGAGGATGAGTGGAGAGGAGCACATAACATTTTTTTTTTTTTTTGGGTAAAAGCATATAACATTTGTCTGTTATTCTTTCTTTCTCTCCTTGTGGAGCACAGAATAATATACATCGTTGTTGGATTACATATATTACAAATCAATAAACTTGATAACCTACCGAATAAAATTAACATTCTTTCTAGGGAGAATTGGCAATTTACCCCAAATTGAAAATTTCTTGTCCCTTTACACTTTTTTGAACTTTGGTCTTTTTTGGTCAGGATTGCCCTTTGATATTTCTAGAAACTCTAAGTAACGGGTTTTTTAAAGTGAAAAAAAATTCCATAAATCCTAAAAATGATCTCAAGGCTGTGTAAAATATTTCAACATTTTTGAAAATGTTTAAAATATTTTAAAAAATATTTGAAGTTTCGTTCTACAAATCGATAATATCAAAGTAGAATTCGTTTTCTACAAGATATTCATAAGTCTAACGGTCATAGAACATAATATCTACAACTTATTCATACCTCTTCCGGCAAGATCTACTAAGTACTATAAGATCTACCGTTTTGTAGAAGTTGCACCAACTATCTTCTACACAACGAAGTATGTTCTACTACTCGTAGATTTCAAGTTCTACAGTAAACATTGCTATCTACAATAGGTAGTTTTCGTATCCTACGTGTTTGACAGTAATCTATGACCCGCAGAAGTAGTGTTCTACTAAAATCTTGTTTTCTACTATCGTGTTTCTAATACATAATCTAGCAAAATCACCGTCCTCTACTTTTAGTAGAAGTCATGTTCTACGAAAATCGAGAAAATATAGCATCTGAATATTTTTCAAATCTTTATTTCTTTTTTTCCTCAAACTATCCCAAATCAAAGGAGAGAAGAAGTTTTGTTTTTTGTTGGTTTATTTTTTAATTAGTTTAGTTTTGTTAATTTGTCTTTTTATTTAATAAATTTTAATTTATAAAACGAAAATGGAAACAAAATGAAAATGAAGGGCAAAACTGAGAAAATTGTTTAAAAAAAAGGTATTGAGACAAAGAGGAAATAGAAAGGTATAATGGGATAAGAGAGACTTCATTTTGGAATAAATAGCCAATTCTCCCTTCTTTCTAATGTACAATCGCTCCACAACCATCCAACACTCTGCCAACCTTCTCTTAACCAGTCTCCTAAATAAATTACTCACTACACTTTTAATTTATTATATAGCTAATCTCCGATTTAAAGTCAGAGAGCCCTTTTCTTCAGACAGTATCTTTGACCTGTATGGGTTCCTGTATTAACAGTAGACAGGTGAAAATTTTAAGATGAACTTTTTAAATTAAACTATATACTAAAAGTATATTATCATTATAATAAAAAATAGATTTAATGGGTATTTCACTAATGATCTTTTGAATAAAGCAATTGGTTTGTAAATAAAACTCTATTTAAAGATCCAAAATAAAGTTCATTTAAAGATCCAAAATTTGTGAAGAAAAACTTGATACGGCAATAAAGGTGTTGTTACTGAATTTTAAGGTTTATTCAGTTACCGCAGTACTCCTTATATATACCGGAGTAAATAACTTTTTTCTTCCTTTCATGGCATCTCTTTTTGAATGAACACCCATAACAAACAATCGAGACGACGAAGATTGCGCAGAAAAACACACAGCACAAAGCAGAAAAGGAAAAAAATAGTAAAATGGATTATCTTAGCTTTATTCATTTTACATTATCTAATTACAGCCCAAAAACTCACTTACAGTCTCACACTCTCTTAGCTTTATACAATGAATAAGCTTAGATTATACTTATATAATTAACATTATTTGATACTTAATACCATAATATTAAATATTTTAGAAAAAAAATCTGAGAATGAAAAATTATATTTAGATATTTTGGTAAAATCTTGTATAATTATTATTTCATACCTTATGTATTAATTTCATATCTTCATCTTATCAAACACCATAACATTTTTTATTTCCTTTTCTTCCATTACATTTAGAGTATTATATTGGACCATATTATATAAGATAGGTGAATATAAATAAATAGAAATTAATAAACTGAATATATTTAAGATATAATTCAATATGTCTAAATATTAAATTAAAGACTCTCTAACTTAAGATAAAAATTAAGATAATATTCTTAAATTAAAATACACTAAAATTATTAATACTAGAATAATGAGAGACTAATGAATATCTCACCAACAGAGGTGGAAAACTTAAGATGGAATTTTAAAATTAAACTATACTAAAAAAGTAGTATTATTATATTGATGAGATATTTAATGGATATCTCACCAATAGAGATTTTGGATATTTTGTTGTTAAATAACTCAACTGGGATCATTTAAATAAGGGAAAAACCCTTAAAAATACACAAACTTAATTAAATTTGGACAAACAATACACAAACTTTTTTCGATCCCAGTATAATACACAAACTAATTTTGGAACCAAAAACAATACACCAACTTTCAAAGTGTGAAACTTTGCAAACACGGTTAACTCTCCGTTAGTGAGTTAAACGGAAGATTTAAACTATCACTAACTCTTAATAACATATGGATTATATTTGACGAAAATACTATTTTACCATTCTTTTTTATCTCTCAAAATTGATTTATCCCCATTTTAATTTTACAAACCCTAATTTCAATTTTAATTTCTGAAACTCAATTTCTGGGCACTAAAACCAATCACCAGCAGTTCTCAAAGCTTCACCAGCTTCGTTAATGGCTGGCTCGTCACAGGTATTTCGTCGAACAGGTTACATGCGCTTCTTCCTTCGATTGAACTACTCTCGAAGAACGGAAGAACAACAATCTCTGGTCACCAAGTTTCTCTCTCACCATTTCTTTGGATCCTTCGGTGATGCTTGCGGTGAGGCGTGTGTGGGGGCAATGAGAATGATGGACAGAGAAGAGTCAAATATGGAGGAGGCGATGGAGGTGCTTAAGGCATAGTTTATTTTATTTTATTTTCAGAAATTGAAATCAAAATTAGGGTTTCAAAAATCAAATTGGGGATAAATCAATTTTGAGAAATGATGAAAGGGCAAAATAATATTTTTGTCAATTATAACCCACGTGTCAGTAAAAGTTAACGAAATTTTTAATTTTCCGTTTAACTCACTAACGGAGATTAAACCCGCATTTGCAATATTTCATAATTTGAAAGTTGGTGTATTGTTTTGGATTCCAAAAATAGTTTGTGTATTGTTCTGGGACCGAAAAAAGTTTGTGTATTATTTATCCAGATTTAATTAAGTCTGTGTATTTTTAAGGGTTTTTCCCTTTAAATAAATCAAGAGGGGTGTTTGCAAATAAAACTTTATCTCTTAGTTGCCGTATCAGATCGGAAATCATAAGAAGACAACAATGATTTCTGATCTTCCCCTTGATTTGGAATCGGAAATACTCTCTAGGGTTCCGTCCAAGTCTCTAGCAAAATTGAAAACTACATGCAAACGATGGTATGCTTTATTCAAAGATCCAAAATTTGTGAAGAAAAACTTGAGTAAGGCAGTAAAGGAGGTGTTGTTACTGGATTTTAAGGTTTATTCAGTAGCCATCAATCTCCATGGAATCAACAACATTGTAGATCCATCCATGGAGATTACAGGCAAACTTAGCCGTCTAGAGGATTCAAAAGCTTTAGAAATATATGAAATCTTTCACTGCGACGGTTTAATATTATGCACCATGGGGGAAAACATAAGTCATGTGGTTTGGAACCCATGTACCTGTGAAACCAGGATGATTAAACCCACAAATCTTGACAGGAAGGATTGTGCCTATTTTCTTGGATACGGAAACAATAACTCTTCTTGTTATAACTACAAAATCTTGAGAATTTATAGTAAAATCACAGGCCAAATAGGATATTTTGAGTTTGAAATCTATGATTTGATCTCTGATTCATGGAGAGTTCTTAATGATGTATATCATTGGTTCACATATTTTTTGTATGCCGTGTCGTTGAAAGGAAATACGTACTGGATTGTTTCAGACCTAGATGCTGGCCATGGTGTAGTCCTACTCAGTTTTGATTTTACAACAGAGAGATTTGTGTCTTTCCCTCTTCCGTATCCTAGTAGAAATATAGAAGAGGGTCTATCGGTTGTTGGAGAAGAACAACTCGCGGTGTTATACCAGATTACTAATACACTCTCATTCTCGTCAGAGTCAGAGATAGAGGTATGGTTGACCAATAAAATTGATGAGGCCAAAGAGGTGTCTTGGAGCAAATTCGTAGTGGATTTTCATAAGGGTATACCACCAAGTGTTTTGGGGATGACTTTCTTGCTGGATGAGGAGAATAAAGTGGTAGTCTGTTGTCGTAAAGACATTGAACATGAAAGGTCCCTTTCCAGCGTTTACATTGTTGGAGAGGATTTTCATAAACAAGTTTATAAAGAGATTGCAAAACGATCTTCGTTTAGAGTACTCCCACGTATCCTCAGTTACGTTCCAAGTTTGGTTCGCATCCCAAAGGCAAAAGAATAAGATAAGCGAGGATGTTAGTCACTCAAATGATCTATCATTTTCACCACCTTTAGTTTCTTTCTTTCTTTCTGGTTTTGATGATGTTTCTTTCAGCAAGAGTATTAATTATTGAATGGGTTATCTCTATCTATTTGATATTAATTAACAGAATAATCTTAGGGTGGTGTAACTGGACAAAGCTAGCTTTTATTGTCCCTCTTCATTTGGTTTTGAAATTGAATCGGTGGTTATATCCACTTCAATACATTTATTATTTTCATCAAAACTTAATTACTTTTCTTCAAATAATCATTTTTCTTTTAAGATTCTCGTTGTGATGGATGCATGCAGCTGAATTTTACATATAAATTAGGTCTCTTTAACCAAAATTAAACATCTTGATTAAGTTTCTGAAAACCAAAAATGAAGTCAGCGGCATCTCTTGCACAAATACATTCTCGTTTTTGTTTGACCATATATAAAAATAGTCATTGGCGGGCCAAAAAAGAATATATAATTAGTCACGTTTGAGTTATGTTTAAAAATATATTCAACTTGCTACAGTCACGTTGAGAAGGAAAATGATTAGTTAAAGAACAGTAGAACACTAATATAATGTAAATCTCAGTCTCGCCATCTTCCCTCTCCCCTCCATTGCTATAAAATACGCTAAGCTAAAACGTCTTGAATATACCTTGAATCAAAAAGAAAGAGAAATAATAAAATTAGATATCAAGAAGATAAACAAGAGATGGGTTGCTTGAGGTTTACAACAATTGTTGTTGCATTCCTTCTTCTCTCCCTCCTCCACTCTCCCACAGGTTCATGAGATCACCATATACATATTCAAAATTAGATTAAAAGTATTTGAAATATATTGGCTATATATCTAAAAAAGCTTGTCTGTGTTTGACAGGGGTGGAAGGTGGCGAGTGCGTTTCGTACGCAGGGCCTTGTGATATGTTTTGCAAGGAAAATTGCTCAAAAGGTTACGGTGACAAATTTCTGAAGATCGAATGCAAGATGTCATCATTCGGACCTGTGTGTTACTGTCGCTATAACTGTGACGAAGCTTCAGAGGAAACCATGTGATCATCGTGATCTATCTCTCCCTTTCTATCCTCAAACATGGAACTTGCTGTTTATTACATTGTTGTTTAATTTCCTTTCTTGTTTAACAAAACTTTATGTAATCTATCATTATTTTCACTTTTCATGTGGAAGTCAAATTGTTTGAGATTTAATAAACTCAGGACTTCATGATATTTATATACTCTTACTCGCTCTCTTTCATATTACAAAATGAAAATGTTTAAATTTATTTAACTTTTGCTAAAAATCGAATACATATATTTATTCCATTTCTGTATTTATTTTTTCAGTTTTCAACACTTTTATATTTTAATGCGTAAACAATTACTCATACATAAAATGCTAGCACGCCAATTACATTATATTATTGATGTTACCAAAATATATGGAAAACATGGCCATTTTCCGTTTGACCATATAATATATATTTTTGTTTGTATTGAAATATTTTGTGATTTGAGATTGAATAAATTTAACTTACTCATTACAAAAAAATGTTTTTAATTTTTTTTATTCCATTTTTTGTTCAGTATTGAATATTTGAACACATTCATATTTTAATGCATGCTGAGAGAGGTTGAACTTGATACCTTACAGAGACGAAATAGAGGAATGAGTTTGCGCTCAGATCCAGAGAATGAGAGCTGAATCAATGGAAAAGCGAAGAGATAAGAGAGATGAAAGTGACCAACGAACAATAATGTTTTTACCTAATTTGGGAACCGGAAGAGGTAAGTAGTCCGAAATGTACCTCTGTGACTCCAGATTGAAGAAACTGACTTGTAGTGAATAAGATGAACTAGATGGACCCATATTTACGTCGCTAAGCGCGTTACATATTATTAATGTTACCAAAATATATTGAAAAAATGGCCAATGATTATAAAACATGGCCATTTTTGTTTGACCATAAAATGATTAGAAAAAGAATTGAAAAAGAGAGTATATAGCCGGTGTAGATCACGAGATATAAAATAAACTAAAGACGTCCCTCGATTGCTATAAAATCCACTAAACTAAAACGTCTTGAATATATCCTTGAATCAAAAGAGAGAGAAATAATCAAATTAGATATCAAGAAGATAATCCAGAGATGGGTAGCTTGAGGTTTACCACAGTTGTTGTTGCATTCCTTCTTCTTTCCCTTCTCTATTCTCCCGCAGGTTCATAAAATGATCATCATATACATATTCAAAATCTCATTATTAGTTTTCGAACTTGGCTGTATATCTTAAATAATATGTATGTGTTTGACAGAAGTGGAAGGTGGCGAGTGCGTTGCGGTCATGGTGATTGCTATTATAATTGCAAACAAGGTTATGGTGAGAAAATGGTGAAGACCGAATGCAAGTTTCTACCTAAGGCACCCTTGATGGGACCTGTGTGTTACTGTTACTATACATGTGACCAAGCTTCAGAGGAAACCATGTGATCACTCTCTCCATCCTCAAATATGGAACTTGATGGTTTAATTTCCCTTTATGTTTTAATAAAACTTTATGAAATCTATCCTTATTTTCCCTTTTCATGTGAAAGTCAAACCGGTTGAGATAGAATAATAAAATCCATACTTCAGGATATAATCTTACTCCCTCTTTTTCATTACAAAAAAGATATATGTTGTAAACTTGTAAACCATTTGGGCACAGTTGAGACGAGATGCTTATAGAGAAACATTAGAGAATTAAACGTCAATATATGATGAACCTTCATAATTCTTTCCCTGTTTCTTGAAGGTCTCTGCTCATTAAAAAGTCATATGGGCACAATCATCCAACATTTTGAGTTTGACAATGATACATTTTTTCGCAGAAAAACTTGTTTTTTTTTCCGATAGAGAGTGACTTAAATTATCACCAGTTACCAATGTAAACATGACCACCACCACTTTTGACATTTTCAAGAAAAATGAAAACATTAAACAATAAATGTCGAATATACCCCTAGTTTCATTGGTAGAAATAGCTACAGATGAGACTAATAATGCAGGGTTTTGGTAATTTCCTTGACAAAACATTTTCACCCAAATCAGTGATTGTAGTCCAGCCAGAAAGACGCAAGTCTTACCCTAGTTTTTCAAAAGTCTCGTTCTTTCTCTCTAAATCCTTGGAAATTTTTGAATCCAAAGAGAAAAATAAGCGAAATCCAAGTGAAGTTTTCTGTTTTTTACTCGTGAAACAAGCAAAAAGTGTGAAGCTTTATCCAGTGAGCAGTGTTTATAATGGCGGGCTACAGAGCAGATGATGATTACGATTACCTATTCAAGGTGGTTCTAATCGGCGATTCGGGTGTTGGAAAGTCCAATTTGCTTTCTCGATTCACCAGGAACGAGTTTAGCCTCGAGTCTAAATCCACGATCGGTGTCGAGTTCGCGACTCGTAGCTTGAATGTCAATGACAAAGTCATCAAAGCCCAGATTTGGGATACTGCTGGTCAAGAGAGGTTTGTCTTTCTCTTCCTTCTTCTTCGCGTTCCATTTCTCCATTTCTCGATCTGGGTTTCTTAGGTCTTGGCCTTTAGATTGTGGAATTCAGTACAATTCCTCTCTGTTTTTGAGCTCTCATGAACAAAATTGTTAGGCAAATGAAGCAAATTTAGGTTAAAAATTCGTTTTTTTAAACAAATTGAAAAAGTTTTCCTGTTAATCATCTTTGGGTTTTGTTCAATTGCCGAAAGAGCTTAAGGAAGCTAAAGTTTCATCTAAAGTTTCTTATAGCTTGAGAAAGCTAATCAAGCATAATGATTATGATTTAAAGTTATCATTTTTTGTATGAAAAAGCATAATTTTGTTGTTTTATTGATTACTTTAAACCAATGAGAGCTTAATATTATCATTATTGCTTTGAAATCTCTCTTATGTGAATGAGATTTTCATTTTCTTAGGTACCGAGCAATCACTAGCGCGTACTACAGAGGAGCCGTTGGGGCGCTTCTTGTCTACGATGTAACGAGACACTCGACGTTCGAAAACGTTGAGAGATGGCTAAGGGAGCTCCGTGACCACACCGACCCAAACATAGTCGTGATGCTCGTGGGGAACAAGTCCGATCTTCGACATCTAGTGGCGGTTCAGACCGAAGATGCGAAATCTTTTGCGGAGAACGAGTCGCTCTACTTCATGGAGACTTCAGCTCTTGAAGCTACTAATGTTGAGAACGCGTTCTCTGAAGTGCTCACTCAGATTTACCATGTTGTGAGCAAGAAAGCGATGGAGGCTGGTAATGATTCGAGCTCCGGGAATGCTCCTTCGAAAGGAGAGAAGATCGATATTGATGTCTCCGCTGTGAAGAAAACCGGTTGCTGCTCGAATTGATGGATTTGATCTTTGTGTCCTCAAGCTAAGATCGTCTTTTTTTTCTTCTTCTTTTGTTACATTCAGAATTTTTGTTTGAAGATGTTTGCTTTTTGGTAGGAGACAATCTATGTTATGGTTTGATTTTGCTTGCTTTGAACATTTTGCTTAGCTTTGGTCTGATTCTGTACCGGTTAAATAATTTTGTAATTTAACCGGTTTTGTTCAGATTGTTTTTCTCTTCATCCGGAAAAATCTCTAAACCAATATTTTTTGTGTGCTAATTCTTGAAGACAACAACAACAAATTTAGTTATATCAATTGACGAAATAAAAGGAATAAAATCAAATCCTAAATTCTTGATCATTGAAAAAATAGATAGATCACACAATTCAGCCTCTGATAACAGAAATTATTGACACAAATCATTTTTAGAAAGCTAAATCCTAATTTTTGTTTGTGTTGTCATTTGACTTTTCTTGACTTCTTAATTTGTAATTAATAATTATACGATTTTCTGTAAAAAAAACATCACGTCGTTAGTAACGCCGAAAGAATATTCCGTTACTAAGATGACGGGTTCTCCCGTTTCCCGCCAAGAAAACAGCCCAAAGCGACCAAACGACAGTAACGGCGAATTCAAAAGTCTCTTACTTCCCGAAACCTCTCAATCAGACTCCGACGAGGGCCTCGAATCGCCGGCGGATCAACCGGATAACCAGGTATTAACCGTAGAAGAAGACGGAGAAAGCACATTAGATTCGGTCCCTCCGTTCTCGTGGGCGAAGCTATGGAAATTCACGGGACCTGGGTTTCTCATGAGCATCGGGTTTCTAGATCCAGGAAACATCGAAGGCGATCTACAATCCGGAGCTGTGGCTGGGTACTCGCTTCTATGGCTTCTCCTCTGGGCCACGCTAATGGGCCTTCTCATTCAGCTCCTCTCGGCTCGGCTCGGCGTCGCCACGGGTCGACACCTGGCGGAGATCTGCCGAAACGAGTACCCGTCGTGGGCCCGGATCCTCCTCTGGTTCATGGCGGAGGTCGCTTTGATCGGAGCCGATATTCAAGAAGTCATCGGATCCGCAATCGCTCTCCGGATCCTGACCCGTGGGTTTTTACCTATTTGGGTCGGTGTTATCATCACATCGTTTGATTGGTACGCAAGTTACCTCAAAAGATTGAAGATTCTCTCTGAATTTTATCTTCTTTTTTTTATTTTTTTTTTCTCTCTGAATTTTCTTTAATTGTTATTTATCTTGTGGAAAAAAAAAAACAGCTTCTTGATTTCGTATCTAGAGAAGTGTGGAATGAGGAAGCTAGAAGGACTTTTCGCTGGTTTGATTGCGACAATGGCGCTTTCGTTTGCTTGGATGTTCAATGAAACTAAGCCGAGCGTAGAAGAACTATTCATAGGTATTCTTGTTCCAAAGATCGGATCAAAGACAATCAGACAAGCTGTTGGAGTCGTGGGATGTGTAATAACGCCTCACAACGTGTTCTTGCATTCGGCTCTAGTGCAATCGAGGAAGACAAACCCTAAGGAAGTGAACAGAGTGCAAGAAGCTCTCAACTACTACAACATCGAATCAACGGCCGCGCTTTTCGTTTCCTTCATGATCAATCTCTTCGTCACCGCGGTTTTCGCTAAAGGCTTTTACGGAACCAACCAAGCTGAGAGCATAGGGCTTGTTAACGCGGGGCATTACCTGCAGGAGAAGTATGGAGGAGGAGTTTTTCCGATACTTTACATTTGGGGGATCGGTTTGTTAGCCGCGGGACAGAGCAGTACGATCACCGGGACTTACGCTGGACAGTTTATAATGGAAGGGTTCTTGGATCTTCAGGTGGAGCAATGGTTATCGGCTTTTATAACAAGAAGCTTTGCGATTGTGCCTACTATGCTCGTAGCTGTTATGTTTAACAGAACCGGGTCGCTAGATGTTTTGAACGAATGGCTTAACATTCTTCAGTCCATGCAGATTCCTTTCGCTGTGATTCCTCTTTTGACTATGGTTTCTAAAGAACATATCATGGGCGTCTTCAAGATCGGACCTTTTCTCGAGGTTTGTTTCATCTCTTTCGTTTTGGTGTTGTGATGTTGTTTTTTTTTCGGATTGTGACGAGACAAGTTTGTGGATCTTTTGCAGAAGCTAGCGTGGACTGTGGCGGTGTTTGTGATGACGATAAATGGTTATCTTCTTCTTGATTTCTTCATGGCTGAAGTGAGAGGGTTTTTTGTTGGGTTTCTTGTTTTTGGTGGGATCATCGCGTACATTAGTTTCATCATCTATCTTGTTTCGTATAGAAGCTCGCAATCTTCTTCTTGGACGAGCTTAGAAATGTCACAGAGAGTTGTTTCCACAGAGACGTAGTAGAAAGCCAATCCAAAATTTTTATTTAAACTCTAGGATTCTCTAAAGCTCATCCGAGGAAAGACAGAACCGGTTTGGTCGATTTTGAGGGATGTTTCTGTTCTGCCGCATTTGTGCTCGATCGATGGATGGATTTTGAGACAGTAGAATAGAGGCAAGTGAGATGTTGATGAGGTACGCAAAGACAAAATCGGTTAAAACTATTGTAGATTGATTTGTTGAATTTGTATTCATTGCAAATGTAGAAATAGAGTCATGTAAAAGACGTTGAACGTTAATAAACAAAGAAGCTTTTAGCCAGGGAAACAAAAACAAACAGAGAAGTGATATGCAAGGCTCAAAATTTATCTACACTTGGTCAGCAACTGACAAAGAAATTTAACCGAATATCAATGTTTTTTTCGTCCAAGTCAAAAACTGAACAAATGAATTTCTACATTTTGTTATATATAACCTATATATAAGTTTCCGAAATAGGAAATGAGTATTTTGAAAAATATAAGTTTGGAAACGTATATATATATATTATTAAATACTAAATAGTTTAACTAGAGATAAATATCATAATGTTTATTGTCAAAATATTAAAATTATTTCCTATTATTATTATTATGCGTTTCATCGAGAGGAAGATTTTATATAATCAAACTCAATATATAATGTTAAGACTAATTCTCAACTAGTAAATTAAATTAATTATTTTTTATCTTAAATAACTAACCTGTTATTTATTTGTTATGTAATTATTTAATAATTATCATATTTTCAACACCAAGTAGTAAATTTCGTAACAATTTTCAAAAATTGCTAATTTTAGGAAACGTGAAAAAACGAGTTTCCAACAAATTTCCGAGAGTTTTCGTTTTGAAAACGTTTCCGAAACAGGAAACGTGGCTCCATTAAAGTTTCCATGCAACATATTAATCAAAAATGTTTAGATGGGCTCGTTTACCAGTAAAAATGTCATAGCATCTAGAGATGTCAATATGGTCCGCGGCCCGCGGGTTAGGCCCGTTTAGGCTTGCTACGGGGCGGGTTCGGGTCAGCATTTTCAAACCCGAAAATTAGCGGGCCTCGAGGTCCAACCCGATTTTGGCTTGCGGTTTAGGCGGATATATCCGCGGCGGTCGGGCGGGTTTTCGGGTCACCGCAAAAAAAAAAAAAACTTCTCTTCCCAAATCCCAAACTTCCGAAATCCGAATGCACAGCTTAGCAAATCATCCTGATGGACGATTTTCACTCCACGTTTCTCCGACGAAGATTGTTGTCAGCTTGATCTCATTGTAATTTTGAGTCGCTCTTTCTGTTTCTCTGATTTTCAATTTTTTTTTCTTCTTCACCCTAATTATTTCGATGTTCTTCAGCTTTCGAGGTGAGAAATGTTTCAAAGTTGACATCTTCCGAGTTCCGCATGCAGATTTCCAACTTCCAAGTTGACATCTCTAGATGGAACTCTGTTTTCTGCAGCACATCATCGTTTTGTTTCTACTTGGCGTCTTTGTTCTTCATTCAGTCCGCTAAGGAGCTCCATCCAACTTCCCGATTGACGATTTTCACTCCACTTGACGGTATGCTCTTCGTCGATCGATCGACGGAGCTAAACCGATATCTCCACAGAAGACTCCTTCCTCGACGTTATCGATTCAGCCAGGAGTTGTACATGATTGACAAGGCGAGACCTTGTTTGCTTTCCGGAGGGATTCAGAGAGCTGATTTCTCCAATGGTAGCAACAGGTACGGATCTGTTTCTCCGACATTCACAATTTTGTCTTATGTAATTTTTGAGTTTGTCTGATTTCTTCGATTTAGCTTGTATGTTTCTCAATTTCCTGTATATGGTCTTCACATTTCTGGTTTGAGTCCAATGTTTGGTCGCAAATTTTAAGGATTTATCATTTTTAGGGGATGAGATTTGAGAAAAATAAAAAATGTAGCTAAAGTTCATGACTTTAACACTATATCTTATTGTTGTGTTCTGTAGTTTGAAATACGGGGATGAGATTTGAAAAAAAAAACAAAAAAACTAAGCCAAAGTTTATGACTTTAAGAACAAAACTTATGTTCTTGTGTCTGTATTTTTGCTATCTCTCTTGCACTTGTTTAATTTCTGGTTGCAAGGATGAGATTTTGATAATTTAGGTTGAAAAAGTGTATAACTTGAAGATGAAATCTTATGTGATTGCTGTGATTTTTGTCTTATGTGTTTGCATATTGCAGTTAAAGTAATGGGTCTGAATCTCAACCCACTTTTGCGACAAGAACTGGCTAATCTGGACAGAGAACACATCTTTTTGGCTTCAGGCAGTAACAAACCAAAACTGAAAAATTAAACCTGCGGGCTGACCCGCATAACCGCCAATACCAAGCGGTGCGGGTTAGGGCCGAGCTTTTGGAGACCGCAGCCCGCAGCGGTCCGCCCCGCCTGATCCGCCGACAAAGTGAAACCGCGGCGGGTTGGCCCGTTTGGGTGCGGGTTGGCCCGTTTGACATCTCTAATAGCATCCATGCGTGTTTTAATTTGTTAAGCCCATATTAAATTAGGGTTAGAAGTGTGTGCGTATGTATCAATTATTAAACTTATAAACATGTTACCAATCTTCTCGACTGCTGGCTGAAAATGAGAAAAATGACAACGAGGCTGTGCGATCTTCCGTATGATTTGATAGGTGAGAACATTCTCGCTAAGGTTCCGCTAACATCTCTTAAAGCAGTGAGATCCACTTGCAAACTACTGAATGCTTTATCCAAAGACTTCATTGTTGGCAAAGCAACATGGCAGCACAAGTTTCTAGGGTTCATGAAGCTGTGTGATGGTAAACTTTATTCCTTGACATTCGATCTTCAAGGAATCCGCAAGGACGAAGACTTGGTCCATAGCACTATAAAGCCATGTGCTTTACCTTTCCAAGTCGAGATTTATAAAGTCATTCACTGCGAAGGCTTAGTGTTATGTCTCATCAAGGACAACTCGCAGGTCATGGTGTGGAACCCGTATCTAGGGCAAGCAAGGTGGATCGGACCAAGAACAAATTTCTACAGCTAAGACATCTTTCTTGTCGGATATGACAACAACCGTAACCATAAGATGTTGAGGCTTTTGAATGATCCTCATGGACGTAGTGTGTTTGAAATCTACGATTTTAGCTCTGATTCATGGAGGCTTCTTGACCTCACTCCAGACTTCAAAATAGAGTATGATCAAAGCGGCGAGACTTTGAAGGGGAACGCTTACTTTAAGGCAAGCGTGACGATATTTGGTCCAATGAATAAACGGGGACGTAGAAAAGTAGTAAGGGATGAAGAGTTTTTGGTCTGTTTCGATTTTACAAGAGAGAGATTTGGAAAGCGTCTGCCTGTGCCTATTAACTCTTATTCGATGCCATCTTGTGTTAGGGGAGAGCAACTCGCTGTGCTTTATAGGGAGGAGACTGGTCCATCTTGGATATATGAGATTTGGGTTACGAATAAGATTTAGCCTGATGCGGTGTCGTGGAGCAAGTTTTTAGTGGTGGATATTATTGAAATTAAACTTGATTTTGATCAAGGTTTAATTTTGGGTCCATAAACAAATTATTATTAAACCCAAAATTAGGCCCAAGTTCTAGAACTCTCTAGAAACATCATAAGAGGTCATCACTTCCTCAAATTTTCTAGAGAATTCTACTAGATAACTCTCTAGATATTTATGTAGAACTTTCTAGTTCTTGTAAGACAAGAAATCTAGATATTATGTTAGAGAGTTCTAGAGATTAGGATAAACTTGTAAGATAATTTGTAGAAAGTTGTAGAAGAAGAAGAAGAAATATCTAGGACCTAAGGAGGTTATAGAAGAGTGTAGAAACTTTGTAAGTAGATTTGGGAGGCTATAAATACCTCCTCACCCCCTCATTTGTAAATGCACAAGAAATTGAACAAGTTAATAAAGAGTGTTCTAAAGCTAAGTTCTCTCTTGTTCTTCTTAAAAGTCTTTCAAGTATTCTCTTGTGTTCTTCCATATTTCTCTTCATACTTAGAGGGTTTATTGTTTCTTTCGGGTTTCTCGGGTATTACGGTCTTGGGCTAGTGCTAAGCACTATCGGTGCTGGTTTCTCTACATGGTATCAGAGCCATTCTAATCTTGTGCTCATCAAGATCGGGATTTAGGAGAACTCGGGTTTACTCTAAGTATGGAATCAATGGGTCGTGTTGTTGGATTGGGAATGGAGATCTTAAACCAATCTAACTACCGGTTATGGAAGTCATGTATGGAGTCATACTTGGTGAGTGAGGACTTATGGGATGTCGTCGGCGGCAGTAGCACCACACCACCAATGGGAGCTGCTGCGACAGCGGAAGCGACAAAGGAATGGACACGGAAGAATGCCAAGGCGGAGTTTGCATTGAAGAGGTCAATATCCTCGGGAGTATTTGAGCATGTCTCAAGGTGCACATCCGCTAGTTCCATTTGGCAAGCGTTGGACCAACTGTTCAACAAGAAGAATGAGGCTCGTCTACAACTGTTAGAGAACGAGTTGGCGAATGCGAAGCAGGGGGAGTCTTCAATCTCAGAGTTCTTCATCAAGGTAAAGAACCTTTGCTCTGAGATTAACACTCTTAATCCGGAGGAGTCTATTTCGGAAGCTCGGTTAAAGCGGTCTATTATTCGTGGTTTACGACCCGAATATACACCGTTTGTGACTTCCGTTCAAGGATGGGCTACACAACCTTCCTTGGAGGAGTTTGAAAATCTGCTAGCTTCGCAAGAATCCTTAGCCACGCAAATGGCGGGAGTCAAAATCCATGATGACTCGGGGAGCGCTTTTGTAGCTCGGAGGCAACAGAGCTACAAAGGAAAAACCAAGAATGATGGTGTAAAGAATAATGATGGACGGGAAAGATCTTCTACGGGAGACAAGAAGCAGTTCAAGTGTTACCGGTGTGGAAAGCTTGGGCATTTCAAAAAGGACTGTCGGGTCAAGCTGAAGGAAACCAATATGGCGGAATCAAAAAGTCATACTGAAGACGAAGATTGGGGGAAATGTTTCACGGTGGAGGCTGCATCTTCAGGTACATCCACAACTAAAAATCTTGGAAATGATTGGATTGTGGATTCGGGTTGTAGCCATCATATTACCGGAAACGAGAAGTTATTTTCTAGTCTTCAACGTCATGACGGGAAAGAAGCTATTATCACTGCGGATAATTCAATCCACCGGGTTGAGAAGGAAGGGACTATTGTTATTGAAGGAGAAGAAGGAGGCCCAATCACTCTCAAGAACGTATACCATGTCCCTGGAGTTAAGAAGAATCTTCTTTCCGTGGTGAATGCGGTGGACTCAGGTAACTACGTTTTATTTGGACCAAAAGACGTTAAATTCTTGAAGAATATTCAAGAGTTAAAGGCGGACGTAGTTCACACCGGAGCACGGGTTAAAGATCTTTATGTCTTATCGGCCTCAAATTCGTACATTGAGAAGATGAGTACGAATGATAATGCTTTTATTTGGCATGCTAGGCTTGGCCATATAAATATGACTAAGCTGAAGGCTATGGTGAATAAAGATCTGGTTAATGGGCTCCCAAAGTTGAAGATTCAAGATGAAGGAAAGCTTTGTGAAGGTTGTCAATATGGAAAATCACATAGACTTCCATTTGACAATTCTACTTCACGATGCAATGCTCCGTTGGAGAGGATCCATAGTGATTTGATGGGTCCGACGAGAACATCCTCCTATTCCGGGTTCCGCTACATGCTGTTGTTCGTTGATGATTACTCACGGTACACCTGGGTATACTTTGTGAAGGAAAAGTCAGAAGTATTCTCCAAGTTTCAAGAATTCAAGGTTACCGTGGAAGGAGAGTTGGGTCGGAAAATCAAGACCTTAAGGACGGATAATGGAGGGGAGTTTATGTCAAACGAGTTTCTCTCTTTCTGCCGAAAGCATGGTATCAAGAGAGAATTTTCATGTCCATACACACCTCAACAAAATGGAGTAGCAGAAAGGAAGATAAGGCATCTAAGTGAGACGTGTAGAAGCTGGCTACATGCGAAGAATTTGCCTAAGGCTCTATGGGCAGAAGGGATGAGATGTGCAGCCTATGTCATCAATCGGATGCCGCTTAGTCCAAATAATATGAAGTCTCCTTATGAGATGGTTCATGGGAAGAAGCCAACAGTGAAACATCTCAGGATATTTGGATCTATCTGCTATGTCCATGTGTTCGACTCTCAAAGAACCAAGCTGGAGGCAAAGGCGAAAAAGTGCATCTTTGTCGGCTATGATGAACAAAGGAAGGGGTGGAGGTGTATGGATCCAGAGACACACAGATACACTGTATCTCGTGATGTTGTCTTTGATGAAGTGTCTTCATATTACGGATCTCCTCAAGTCTTGGTTGAGCAAGATGGTGCGGGCTCACTTAAAGACGATGAACCAGCTGCTCAGATACCAAGTGATGGTGGAATTTCTGAACCAGAGATGCAAGGTGAAAGGGGGAGCACTAACCAAGAGGAAGAGGAGGAGGAAGATCATGGTTCCTTGGCTAATCAACGACCAAAACGGGACATCGTTAAACCTGCTCGGTACAGAGATGAAAGGTTTGTTACTACTTACTCATGCTACTTTGCATCTCCTTTTGATGAAGAAGAACCATCATCTTATGATGAAGCAAAAGGAGTTAAAGAGTGGGAGACCGCAATGAAGGAGGAGATGGATGCTCTAAAGAAAAATGAAACTTGGGATTTGGTTCCAAAACCCAAGGATGTCCAACCCGTCTCATGCAAATGGGTGTACCGGATCAAGCGTAAGAGGGATGGAAACATTGATAGACACAAAGCAAGATTGGTTGCTCGGGGATTTTCTCAGAAGTATGGAGAAGACTATGATGAGACTTTCAGTCCAGTGGCGAAGATGACTACGGTACGTACACTCTTATCTTTAGCTGCAAGCTTTGGCTGGAAGTTATGGCAGTTAGATGTGAAGAACGCTTTTCTATACGGAGAACTTGATAAAGAAATCTATATGGAGCAACCACTTGGTTACATATCACAAGAGCATCCCGATTATGTTTGCAAGCTAAAGAAGGCTTTGTATGGGTTAAAACAAGCTCCAAGGGCCTGGTATGGAAAGCTTGCTCAGTTTCTTCAGTTTTGCGGTTACTCTCCGTCGAACTCTGATCCGAGTCTGTTCTTCAAGAAGAATGGAGGAGTCCACGTGGTAGTCCTTCTTTATGTGGATGACTTGATAATTACCGGGAATGATGAAGCGGAAATTGCTCGTCTGCAAGAGGATATGTCGATAAGGTTTGAGATGAAGATGTTGGGTGAGCTGAACAACTTTCTTGGTTTGGAGGTTGAAAGGATGAAGGATGGAATATTCATCGGCCAACATAGCTACGCAAGAAGGATTGTAGAGAAGTTCGGGGTACACGAAGGAAAGACACGTACTACTCCGATGGATGCGAACATCAAGCTGAAGCGCGATGAAGGATCCTTGCTACCCGATCCTCGGCCTTATCGTTCTCTTGTGGGAAGTCTTCTATACTTAACCATTACAAGACCTGACATTTCCTTCGCGGTTGGTCTTGTAAGTCGGTTTATGCAGTCACCAAGGAAGCCACATCTAGAAGCGGCAAAGAAGATCTTGAAGTATGTGAAGACAACTCTTGGCATGGGTCTAATGTACAAGTACAATGCCAAGGTCTCTCTCTATGGCTTCACGGATGCTGACTTTGGTGGAGATCTAGATGGTCGAAAATCAACTTCGGGCTTTGTGTTCTTGTGTGGAGACACAAGCGTTTCATGGTGCAGCAAGAAACAAGCAACGGTGTCGCTGTCTACCACTGAAGCGGAGTATAAAGCTTCGACGCTCGCAGCCCAAGAGTGTATTTGGCTTCGAAGGCTTCTTGAAGATTTGTTTGAGCCAATCAACAAGCCGGTTGCCATATATGGAGATAACCAAAGTGCTATCAAGCTGGCTAACAATCCGGTGTTCCATGCAAGGACGAAGCATATTGAGTTGGAACATCACTTCATACGGGAGAAGGTGCTTGATGGAACAATTGAAGCTTTGGAGGTTCGAAGTGAGGATAATGTTGCAGATATCTTCACCAAGTCACTACCAAAAGGTCAGTTCGAGTTACTTCGCTCGAAACTCGGGATGGTTGATAAAATCAAGTTTAAGGGGGAGTATTGAAATTAAACTTGATTTTGATCAAGGTTTAATTTTGGGTCCATAAACAAATTATTATTAAACCCAAAATTAGGCCCAAGTTCTAGAACTCTCTAGAAACATCATAAGAGGTCATCACTTCCTCAAATTTTCTAGAGAATTCTACTAGATAACTCTCTAGATATTTATGTAGAACTTTCTAGTTCTTGTAAGACAAGAAATCTAGATATTATGTTAGAGAGTTCTAGAGATTAGGATAAACTTGTAAGATAATTTGTAGAAAGTTGTAGAAGAAGAAGAAGAAATATCTAGGACCTAAGGAGGTTATAGAAGAGTGTAGAAACTTTGTAAGTAGATTTGGGAGGCTATAAATACCTCCTCACCCCCTCATTTGTAAATGCACAAGAAATTGAACAAGTTAATAAAGAGTGTTCTAAAGCTAAGTTCTCTCTTGTTCTTCTTAAAAGTCTTTCAAGTATTCTCTTGTGTTCTTCCATATTTCTCTTCATACTTAGAGGGTTTATTGTTTCTTTCGGGTTTCTCGGGTATTACGGTCTTGGGCTAGTGCTAAGCACTATCGGTGCTGGTTTCTCTACAGATATGTCACCACACACTGGTTTTAAGTTTGAATGGGCAAGTGGTGGCTTCTTCATTGATGAGGATGAGGAGAAGAAATTCGCTTTGCTTTTCGATCTAGATGGATTTGTAGATGGATTAGGCCCGGCCTGTCGCACCCAAACAGCATACATCATTGGAGAAGACGGATACTACAAATCTCTGGAATTCGAAGAAGAAGCAGCGGATGTGAGGATGCTTAGAAACTGTAACGATCCTCTCACACTTGTGTCTTCTTGTTATCTTCCAAGTTTGGTGCAAATCAAGAAACCACAAGAAAGGAAAAGGAAAGAAAGAGATGCTTAATTAAGAAATAAAAAGAATTATCTCCAGGCTTTTTAAACACAATGCTTTTAGGATCTGTGAAAGAAAAACATTATGATCTTGTTACTCCTAATACCAAATGTTTAATATTGGACTTTTGAGTTTATCAAACCAGCTTGTCAAGTGTTCTCAGCCGTGTGCCTCTTAAGTCTTAACAGCATTATATTTTTTGAGAGTTTTTCGACCACAAATTAAATACAGTTTCTCTTGTTCTTCTTATAGGTCCATATTTGTTTCATATATTGTTGGGTTTCCAGCTATAATTCTATAGTCTATTTTCTCAATTTTGTTGCAGAGTCTTTTCATTTCTCAATCTACTCATATACGTATTTATCTTTTTATCTAGTTAGATGATGTATATACCCAAACAAAAGAGATATCCATAATAATTTATATTATTAACATTTTCTGAATCATTTATTATGTAAGTATTCGTCCCTCTGCCCTTGATCATTAGCATTTCCTTCTCCTATCTTTGCGCCACCACCATGCCATTCCTGGAGGAGGAATTCTGGTTTGTTGTTTAGATCATTAATTGCTATTGACTGTTGCCCTCTAAGTTTCTGCAAATTTCATCATGAAAAGATCAGTTGGTATGTCTTTGAACTAAAAAGTGAAAAACATCTCTGAAATAAACTCAAATTACATTGCTTAATTACCGTGAAGAGATTGTTCATTATGACACGTCCATCTTCAACATGAGCTCTCGTAGCACTCGTGTCGAAGAAGCCATTCACAAAGTTGATTATGATGAAAAGAGAGACTAGAAAGTGAATGTCATAGTAAACTGCAAACTGATATTGATAAGAACTTCAAGTTACTAAAAGCCTAAAACTTCACTCATTGTGAAAAAGAATGCCAAGCTTGCTTCATGTTACCGTATATATGTTTTGAGCTTGCTTAAGAATGTCAAACTTGTTTTCATTTTTCAGTAGAAAAGTAAGATATATTGTTACCTTGATCAGAACATGATACATTGTTATAATATCAAATAAAGCATTCACATACTTGGACTTGGCATCTGGACTCAATCAAAACTTGAAGAGCACTACCAGTAATATCAACTTTATCAACTCACCTATCTCCATGTTTCTTGCCTTGTTTGTTGTAGGGTATATTATTACCTATGAAATTAATATAAATAGTTTTAAAATTTATGTTTAGATGGGCCCGTTTACCGTAAAATATATCACAACATCCATGCGTGCGTGTATTAATTTGTTAAGCCCATATTAAATTAGGGTTAGTACTTAGACGTGTGTGCGTATGTATCAATTATCAAACTTATAAACATGTTACGAATCTTTTATTGTCGATTGCTGGTTGAAACTTAAAATAATGACGTCGAGGCTGTGCGATCTTCCGTATGATTTGATAGGTGAGAACATTCTCGCTAAGGTTCCGCTAGCATCTCTTAAACCAGTGAGATCCACTTGCAAACTACTGAATGCTTTATCAAAAGATTTGATTGTTGGCAAAGCAATGTGTGAGTTTCTAGGGTTCATGACGATGATGCGTGATGGTAAGCTTTATACCTTGAGAATCGATCTCCAAGGAATCCGCAAGGACGAAGACTTGGTCCATAGCACTATAAAGCAATTTGCTTTACCTGATCAAGTCGAGATATATAAAGTCATTCACAGCGAAGGCTTAGTGTTATGTGTCATCAACGACACCTCGCGGCTCCTGGTGTGGAACCCGTATCTAGGGCAAACAAGGTGGATCGAAAAAAAAAAACATATGTACATGTCATACATCTATGTTCTCGGATATGACAACAACCGTAACCATAAGATCTTGAGGCTTTTGATTGATCTTTCTTCTGGCCTAGCCGTTGGGTTTGAAATCTACGATTTTAGCTCTGATTCATGGAGGGTTCTTGACCTCACTCCAGACTTTGAAATAGAGTATTATCAACGCGGCGAGACTTTGAAGGGGAATGCTTACTTTTTTGCTAAAGTGTCGGAATATGCTCCAGAAAATGAACTGGGATATAAAATGTTATTAAGTCTTGAAGATTTTTTGGTCTGTTTCGATTTTACAAGAGAGAGATTTGGAAAGCGTCTGCCTCTTCCGTTTAACTCATATGCCAAAGAGACAGTGACGCTCTCTTGTGTTAGGGAAGAGAAACTGGCTGTGCTTTATGAGAAGCCTCATCCATCTTTGATATTGGAGATTTGGGTTACGAATAAGATTGAGCCTGATGCGGTGTCGTGGAGCAAGTTTTTGGTGGTGGATATGTCACCACTCACTGGTTTTCAGTTTGACTGTGAAGCTGGCTGCTTCTTCATTGATGAGGAGAAGAAAGTCGCTGTGGTTTTCGATCTAGATAGAGATGAGCCGACCTGTCGCACCCAAACAGCTTACATTATTGGAGAAGACGGATACTACAAATCTGTGAAGCTCCAAGAAGCAGCGGATGTGAGGATGCCTAGAAACCGTAACGTTTCTCACGCACTTGTGTCTTCTTGTTATCTTCCAAGTTTGGTGCAGGTGCAAATCAAGATACCCCGAAAAAGGAAAAGGAAAACGATAACGAAAGTAAGAGATTCTTAGTTTCACCTACTTTTATTTTTTTGGGTTTTTTCATGTCATTTCTACATAGCAACGTAGAATTTCAAAACTCTATGACTATTATCGCCTTCCAAAATATATTTAAGTTTGAGAAAATCCATCATATAGCACGAAATGTTTTTTTAATTCACTCTGTATCTCTAGTTTTTTTCCTTTCATACCATTTTTATAGAATTTAAGGTTTAGGGTTTAATTTTGAAAGTTTGAGGTTAGTTTCGATGTCTTAAAATTATTTTTGTGAATGAAAAATGGTATGAGATGGAAACAAAAACTAGTGATGCTATAAGAGAAATTAAAAAAACATTTTGATGGTAGATGTGAGAATCTCACTTTAAGTTTTATATCTAAGTATATATTAAAGCTTTCAAAATATTGAATGCTATCGTTGGTAAAGCAATAACAAGGCAGCATGAGTTTCTAGCTAGGGTTCATGACGATGTTTGATAAGGTTTGTTCCTTGAGATTCGATCTCCAAGGATACCGCAAGGACGACGACTTTGTCCATCACTCTATAAAGCAATTTGTTTTACCTAATAAAGTCGAGAAAAAAGACAAGAAAAAAGTCAAGATAACTAAAGTTTTTCACTACGAAGGCTTATAGTGTTATGTGTCAAGAACAGGTCGAACCTCATGGTGTGGAACCCGTATTTAGGGCAAACAAGGTGGCTCGGAATGATGACACATTTCCACAGATCAGACATACTCCCTTTGTCCCATATTATAAGCTGTTTTAGCTTAAACACAAGAATTAATAAAGTTGTTTTACTTTAAAAAAGTATCATTTAAAATATAGATTAAATATAATTCAACCAATCATAAAAATAACTGCAAAATATAAGTGGTCACACAGTTTTCCATAAAGTAAAAGTGCATTGAAATGTCAAAACTGCTTATATTGTGGGACAAAAATTATAAGCTAAAACAGTTGTATATGTTATCGGATACTACAAACAACCATAACCATAAGCTTTTGAGTATTGCGCATTTTGGCCGTAGCGTTGAGTTCGAAAAGTATGATTTTAGCTCTGTTTTAGTGGGAATCTAGTTGCTTCTTCATGGACGAGGAGAAGAAAGTCGCTGTGGTTTTCGATAGACCGACTAAGACCTCATGTGGCTACCAAATAGCTTACATCATTGGAGAAGATGGATACTTCAAATCTGTGAAGCTCGAAGAAGATGCGAGGATGCCTACGAAATGTAACGTTTTTCCTGCACGACTTTCGTCCTCTGGTTATCTTCCATGTCTTGTGCAAATCTAGGAACCACCCATAGAGAAATGAATTAGGGTTAGACGAAAGAATTATAGATGCTTAATTTTTACCTTATTTGTTTTCTTGCATCCTCTATTATTTTTTTTATTTTTTCATGTCCTTTTAAACACAGACATAGAATTCCAAAACTCTATTATAAACTCTAGAATTTTTGAACCCTAAAACTCATCTGAGCAAAGAACCAGAGAAAGTTGAGATGGCTTTATTCGGTATAGTAGACCAGAGGAAATTGAGATGCGAGGTTATGCAAAGACCATTTCTAGATTATCCCTTAATTTGTTGAATATCTTTGATGATAAAATTGCAAACGTACGTATAGTAGATCATGTTGAAGCTTGGTCAGTCACTAGAGCTCGATTTTATAGAGAAATTGCACCAACTAACAATATTTTCCATCAAAAAGAAAGAGAAAGAGAAAGAGAATGAAAGTTCTACATTTTCTAAGCAGCAAAATGATTTTTAAAACACATTGTAGATGGATTCACCCTTATAATACATTTCTTAGTGTGACATTTTTTTAAACATGCTTTTTCTATAGACTTTCATTTTCGTCACATAATTTATTTCGGAACTCTGTACATTACTACAGCCATATGTACCAGAAAAATAAAGTATTTTAGGAACTATAATCTAGGTTGTTGACAAAAACTATATATTTCACGCCATATGACAAATTAGCCTAATTTTCTATGCTAATCATTATTTGAAAATTATTAAACGTCTTAAAGATGTTGACTTGATGGAGAAAGTATGGTGACATGATGCTTAGGAGGCAAGTAAATATCTGCCGCTGGTTAGAGACAAAGACATGTGTCACACTCTACTCAACTGAAACATTCCTTCACTTTCCCGCAAAATCTTTTTTTTTTAAACAAAACTATTTCTTGCCAACGAAACAGAGTGTTTTTTGTTAGCTCGCCGTCAGCTTTCTCAGAAAGAAACTTCTCAACTTCCGATTTCTTTCACCAATCCACCAAACTTTTTTTAAACCAAAAAAAGTAACCTTTTTTTTCCTCCTCTTACAAAACACCTCCATGGCTTCTCAATCTCGTTACCCAACCAGATCTTGATCCCTAATTAGGGTCTATTATTCTCTCTCTTTTCAATCGAAGATGATGGAGTCTAAGTCTCCGGTCTGCAACACTTGCGGCGAGGAGATTGGTGTGAAACCAAACGGCGACTTCTTCGTTGCTTGCCAAGAGTGTAGCTTCCCGATCTGCAAAGCTTGTCTTGAGTATGAATTCAAAGAAGGACGAAGAATCTGCTTGCGTTGCGGCAACCCCTACGATGGTAATTCAGATTTCTGCAACTTGGGTTTTCATAAAAATGCAAACTTTTGTTGAAAAGTTGCAAGTTTTTTTTGTTAGAGTAATTACAGTTTGAATTTTCATCAAAATGCAAACTTTTGTTGAAAAGTTGCAAGGTTTTTTTGTTAAAGAGTAGTTACAATTTGGGTTTTTTCTTTGTTCTTTCTTCCTCAGAAAATGTGCTTGATGATGTTGACACAAAGACATCTAAAATCCAATCCACTCTTGCACCACACATCAATAACACTCCTCAGGTGTGTGTTAAGATTAGTTTCTTTTTTTTTTGTCTTGATTACATTTTGCAAAAAGATTTGATTTTACTTTTCTTGATTTTTTTTTGTTTTTCAGGATTCTGGAATACATGCTAGACATATAAGTACAGTCTCCACACTAGACAGTGGTAAGAACAAAGAATCAAATCCACAAACTTTTTAACTTTTTGATGAGGTTAAATAGTTTAACCTAACTAATGTGATTTGTGATTTCTTGTTGAAGAACTGAATGATGAATATGGAAACCCAATATGGAAGAACAGAGTTGATAGCTGGAAAGACAAGAAAGAAAAGAAGAGCAAGAAGAAGAACAAAGTACCAAAAGCTCAAGAACATGACTCTCAGATTCCTCCCCAACAGCACATGGAAGATATGCCACCGTAAGAACATCCTCAAACAACATAGTCTTTGTACATTGACCACAAAAGTTTGAGACTTTGATTGGTTTACACCTTTTTCTTTTCCTCAGGAACGCAGAGGCTGCTGCTACGGATGTGCTTTCGGTTGTGATCCCTATCCCAAGGACAAAGATAACTTCGTACAGAATCGTTATCATCATGCGTTTGATCATCTTGGCTCTGTTTTTCAACTACCGTATCACTCACCCTGTCGATAGCGCTTACGGTCTATGGCTAACATCAGTGATATGTGAGATCTGGTTTGCTGTTTCATGGGTGTTGGATCAGTTCCCTAAGTGGTCTCCTATCAACAGAGAAACTTACATCGATCGGTTATCCGCAAGGTACAACAAATCTTTCAAGAACCAATATATTCTTGTTCTCCACGGTATAGTACTAATCTTGAAATCTTTATGAAAAAAACTTTGCAGATTCGAAAGAGAAGGCGAGGAATCACAGCTTGCAGCTGTGGATTTCTTTGTTAGTACTGTAGATCCATTAAAGGAGCCACCTTTGATCACTGCAAACACTGTTCTTTCGATTCTTGCTCTGGATTATCCGGTGGATAAAGTATCTTGCTACGTATCTGATGATGGTGCTGCTATGCTTTCTTTCGAGTCTTTGGTTGAGACAGCAGATTTTGCTAGGAAGTGGGTACCTTTCTGCAAGAAATACTCAATCGAGCCGCGAGCTCCCGAGTTTTACTTCTCGCTTAAAATCGATTACTTGAGGGACAAGGTTCAGCCTTCTTTTGTGAAAGAACGTAGAGCCATGAAAGTAAGCAAGCAGAGGAAATTTCAAATACTCAATTAAGCTCATAGTATTAAAACTAAACTCTGTTTTCTTCTGTTGTATAGAGAGATTATGAAGAGTTCAAAATCAGAATGAATGCTTTAGTGGCCAAGGCTCAAAAGACACCAGAAGAAGGATGGACAATGCAAGATGGAACCTCTTGGCCTGGAAACAATACTCGTGACCATCCCGGGATGATTCAGGTTTGATACTTCAAACATCTAGAACCTTAAAGTCTCTGCCTTTTCTTGACCTATGTTTGTGATGTCTTAAGAAGATGTTTGTATAGAGTTTTCTTTCTGAATCTTTGATCTTCTTCTTACAGGTTTTTCTTGGATATAGCGGAGCTCGTGACATTGAAGGAAACGAGCTTCCAAGATTAGTTTACGTCTCTAGAGAGAAGAGACCTGGATATCAGCATCACAAGAAGGCCGGAGCAGAGAATGCATTGGTAAAAACTTCAAATTTTTTAATTGAAAACTCAAAACACTAAATGCTTGTGACACAATCCTAATGAGTTTGTTCCTTTCAGGTGAGGGTTTCTGCGGTTTTAACGAATGCTCCATTCATTCTTAACCTTGATTGTGATCACTACGTCAACAACAGTAAAGCCGTGCGTGAAGCAATGTGCTTTCTAATGGATCCAATCGTTGGTCAAGATGTCTGCTATGTTCAATTCCCACAGAGGTTTGATGGAATCGACAAGAGTGATCGATACGCTAACCGAAACATAGTCTTCTTCGATGTAAAATTACTGCCAAAATTCAAACTCATTTGCTCATAAAAATTCAAGAAAATCTTGGACTTTCTCTGATTTCTTGTTGACTTTTGATTCCAGGTTAACATGAGAGGTCTTGATGGGATTCAAGGTCCGGTTTATGTTGGTACAGGTTGTGTCTTTAGAAGACAAGCACTTTACGGTTACAGTCCTCCTTCTAAACCGAAAATGTTACCGCAATCTTCTTCCTCGTCTTGTTGCTGCTGTCCAGCCAAGAAAAAACCAGCTCAAGATCCTTCCGAGATTTACAAAGACGAAAAGCGAGAAGATCTTGACGCTGCGATCTTTAACCTCGGAGACCTTGACAACTACGATGAGTACGAGAGATCGATGCTGATATCGCAAACAAGCTTTGAGAAAACGTTTGGTCTCTCTGCTGTTTTCATCGAGTCTACTCTTATGGAGAATGGAGGCGTTCCAGAATCTGTAAACCCATCAACGCTCATCAAAGAAGCCATTCACGTCATTAGCTGTGGATACGAAGAGAAAACCGAATGGGGAAAAGAAGTAAAGAATTGCTTTACCTAAACCAAAGTTTCCAACTTTACTCAAAAATGCTTTACCTAAACCAAAGTTTCCAACTTTACTATTTCTTGTGAGTCAAGTCATAACCTTTTACTCTGTTTTTTCCGCAGATTGGATGGATTTATGGATCGATCACAGAGGATATCTTGACGGGTTTCAAGATGCATTGCCGCGGATGGAGGTCTATTTACTGTATGCCATTAAGACCTGCTTTTAAAGGATCTGCTCCAATCAATCTATCGGATAGGCTTGCTCAGGTTCTGCGTTGGGCTCTTGGCTCGGTTGAGATCTTCCTTAGCCGGCATTGTCCTCTCTGGTATGGTGTCAGCGGAGGCCGCCTCAAGTTGCTCCAGAGAATGGCTTATGTTAACACCATTGTTTACCCCTTCACGTCCTTGCCTCTTGTTGCGTACTGTACTCTTCCTGCTATTTGCCTTCTCACCGGAAAATTCATCATCCCAACGGTAACTTTTTCAAACTACCATCAACGGTTTTTTAAATTTCATCGAACTGGTTTTCGATCTAAATGATGTTCTTTATTGCAGCTATCAAACCTAGCAAGCATGTTGTTTCTAGGTCTTTTCATATCAATCATCTTAACAAGTGTCCTCGAGCTTCGATGGAGTGGAGTGAGCATTGAAGACTTATGGAGAAACGAGCAGTTTTGGGTCATTGGTGGTGTCTCAGCTCATCTATTCGCCGTTTTCCAAGGTTTCCTCAAAATGCTCGCCGGTCTCGACACAAACTTCACGGTCACGTCGAAAACAGCGGAAGATTTAGAGTTCGGTGAGCTTTACATAGTCAAATGGACGACGCTCTTGATCCCTCCGACGTCACTTCTCATAATTAACTTGGTTGGAGTCGTTGCTGGATTCTCTGATGCTTTAAACAAAGGTTATGAAGCTTGGGGACCTTTGTTTGGGAAAGTTTTCTTCGCCTTTTGGGTCATTCTTCATCTTTATCCTTTCCTTAAAGGTCTTATGGGAAGACAGAACAGAACACCCACCATTGTTATACTCTGGTCTATCTTGCTTGCTTCAGTGTTTTCACTTGTTTGGGTTCGTATCAATCCGTTCGTCTCTAAAACCGATACGACCTCCCTTTCGCAGAACTGTCTTTTGTTCGATTGCTAAGAGATGATGTAATGTTTTCTTTTGAAAGATTGATGATCTGTTTTTTTGGTTGTTTTGTTCTTTCTTGTGAGAGAAGTTTTCTCATATGGTTGCTTGATCCACAAATTAAGTAATGTTCTTGATGTACAAGTTAGGTTTGAGGTTTCAGTTACTTCAACATGTTGAAATATCATCTTCACGTTCATAAATATCTATATATATATTTTGCAAATTGTAAATGCAACGGAAGCTTACAAACAAATAAAATTTATCAACACATTACAGATTTTTGTTTCATTTAAAGGAAAATACACACTACTGTAACATGCAAACCTCACATAACATTTTAAGGCATTAATAGGCAGAAATTTCTTTTCTTAAAATCATTTAAAATATAATATTAAAAAACATTTTCTTGGTTTTTTTAACTTGAAACAAAAACTCTGCGAGTTGTATTATTTTTGCTCAATGGTTTGGTGGAGTCTGTCTGAAACAAAAAAACCAAAACCAAAAACAACAAAACTGAAACCAAAAGCGACACAAGTCAGATTCCATGAACAAAAGCATCAATGTCAGGCTGAGGAATGTCATCAAGCAAAGAGTCAATGCTACATCCTTCCTCAAGCAGCTTCTCATTGAATCCAAAATCATCAGTAAACACACAGTCAGGCACCATCCTGTCTTGTCCGTAAATCTCCACTTCCTTCTTCTTCATCTTCTCCTCAACCGCAACTGCAACATCCTTCTTCTTGTTACTCTCTTTGCGTCTACCTCTTGCAGGAACAGAGGAAGACGACAAAACTCCCAAATCCAAGCTCTTTATGTAATCCTGCAACAGAGAAGGTCTTGGATACTTAGATCTACACTTTCTCTTAGAGAACTGTCTTCGCTTTGTAGCGTTCCAATGGTTCTTGATCGAGTTCTCTGTTCTTCCGGGGAGTCTCTTCGCAATCTCTGCCCATTTGTTTCCAATCTCTTTGTGAAACTCTATCAAAACCCTGTCTTCTTCTTCACTCCATGTTTCTTTCTGTAAAATATTAGTAACATCTCAAAAATATTTATCTTTGGTTAATTTCCTTAATTATCATTACATGAATCTTGGTTACTAGTTTTAATACCTTAATGTCAGGTCTCAAATGGTTATGCCATCTCTCTCTACATTGCTTCCCGATCCTTCCTGGTAACACTTGTGCTATATGCGACCATTTCCGCAATCCGTATTTCTCCACAAGTTGAACCAATACCCTATAATCCAAAACATTATGATTTTGATTAATAACATTTCAAAATTTTGGAATAGTACATCAAAATCATCAAACAAGAACGTTTCTATCATATTTTGCTAGTAATCTTGCATAATGACTTTATGTAAATCATAATTCGTGAAATCATTCTACGTGATGCTATATAATGAAGCTCTATAATAATCATCAAAACTCTAGCATGATTATGTTGTATTGATCTTTAGGTTTATGTTAATAACGAACCTGTCTTCTTCAGAAGTCCATTGTCCTTTGACTAAGGTTGGTGGTTTTTTAATTCCTTTCCATGATGATGAAGAAGACGATGACGACAACTTTCTTGTCAGAAAAGGTTTGGTCTTGTTGAAACTCATCGATCTGTAACAATCATTAGTATCAGCAGAAACACATGAGACTTCATCAGGCATCACGAAGTTCATAGGCTTGTTGATGATCTCTGTAGGAGGGTAATCAAAAGGGATCATCCTCATCATCATCATATTGTTTTGCTCCATGTCCATAGGATCATGTTCATCGACCAAGTTGATCTCTTGGTGATGATGATGATGATGGTTACGAGAGAAGTATGGATTCTCTGCAGCCTGGTAATGATGATTCATCAAATGTAGTGGCTTAGATTCATAGAAGTCGACCATGTTTTCTTGGTAAGAGCAATGCTCGAAAGGAGCATTGTTGATGCAAGACGACGACGTTTGGATACCGAGCAAAGGATTTGAAGATGTGGAGCCATGGTGATCAAACTGATGATCATGATCAAGATGGTGAAAATCTTGAAGAAAGCTTGTGGGTTTTGATTGGTCGACGACTTCAAATGGAAAGTCTTCTTCTTTCATCTGTTCTTGATCACGAGTGAAGATGGTTTGGTGTAGAGGAACAAAACTATTCTCGTCGACGAAATTCTCCATGTTTTTTGGAAAGGAGAACAAAAAAAAAATATACTAATTAATTAGTAAAAAAAAAATGAACTTTTTCTGCGCTTTTTGTGTTTGCTTTGTTCTTCCTCGTATTTGTAAGGTAGGAGAAGAAAGAAAGACATTAAATGTGATTTTTAATTACACCACATTAATTGTTAGTAAAAATATAACGTTTGGAGTTTGTTGGTAGCATTAGTGTCATGTTTTATATTTATTTAATTAATTAGTTCTCAAATGCTTAGCCATTTTGGTGTTTTTTTCCTTCCAAATCACGTCTTAACATGAATTTAAGAAAGAAAGGTAATATCTAACTTTAGACTTGACTTACAATGAGAGACAAAATTCCTAGTTAGATTTCTAGAGATATTACTAAATATATCACTGAATTATACTATAGTTCATGTTAATTGTTTCTTTTATTATTAAGCTGTTTGGTTTTTGATGTAAATCTAAACAGATTAAAAATAAAGTAAAGAAAATGTGAGATAATAATATTTGTTGACGTTACACTTAGGTGTTGTTTAATTTGGGGTAAACATAGTTGAATATTTGTGAAAACGCTAGCTAGTAGGAATTCATTTATTAGATTTTAATGTGTTAATAATACTTCTGTTGAGATATTTTAGTTGTGTTTGGTTAATTTCTCACAAAAGGTTTTAATTGAGTCAACAAAAAATGCAATAGCCATTTTAATGCTAAGGGAGTGTTTTGACCATTTAGCTCTAAAGGTCCAACGACCGGAGACAAAAAGAAAAATGTCTTCCTATCACGGTACAAAATAATAGCTTAAAGCATGGCTCTCATGGGACCATAAACATAGCTTGCGTGGTTGTTATGAATTGTTACCTTGTGTCTCGATTGAGAACCGAAAATAAAATGCATGTACCGGCCGGGGAAATGGAAATCTATATGGATATAAGCTCGATGATATATGTATGTGTATATATGTTGATTGAGAAATTATTATATGAGCATATGATATACTATACCTCTAATATACATTGAAAGCATAGCTTATGTCAAAGCTTATGAACAACCAGATTTTGTCGAGAATATCAAACGCTTCAATATCTCTACCTTTAGATCCCAGATCCCCAACGTCTTGATGTAAAATGTTTTAATTGAGGAAGAAGGTTGTGTTATGATTTCAAGAATAAACTTCATTTTAGAGAATTATCCTCATTGAAACTCGTTATTGTTTTCCTGTTCATATATATTTTCCTTAAACTTTAAGGATTAAACGACATTCGAATTTAAATTCGGACGCTGTCTGTGCTACAGAAACACTAGCTCAAAGCCTCAAACTAATAAACTAACATGTATAAGTTTTAAAATAAACTTATGAAGGATAATTTTTTTAAGGGACTTTGAACGGTATTAATAGACAAATTCTCCCAAAATATAGCAAAAAAAAAACAATTTTAGTTCCAAAAAAGATCACCAAAAACTATCAAAAATATCACAAAAACTAGTCTTTTCAAAAAAAAATAAAAAATGAACCGGCAAATTTATGCATGGATTTTGGCCAATTGTGAAGATAAGAGCTTACTAATAAGTTGTACAACTTCATACAAATCCTAAATTAAGTAAGGTAAAAAACTTACATGTACTAATTAGAAATAACTTAAACCAACATTGACAGATATTTTAGTCAACACTTGTTTACTGTATTTTTGTAACACTTGTTGAATAGTGAATACGGCCGATTGCCATATTCTTCCTCCTAATGAAATTTGTAGTTCTGTACCAAAACTTTTACAAAAACTTTACTTGTTAATGTATGGGAGTTAACAAAAAAAAAAGATGATTCCTATGATATTCCACTTGTCCCCACTCAATGCTTAAGGAGTGGACCGATGCTAATATCGATGAACTTTCTTTTAAAAAGTAAAAATCTACATACAGTACTTATATAACACGATCCCAATCCAGAGCACAAATCATCCGGTATATATATACCTTATACAGTATTCTTTCCTTTATATGAGTTTGAATGGTTAACGTGAAACACAGAAAATGTAAAGCAAGTAAATAATTATGGTTAGTACAAGTCGAAGTAAACTAGTGAAATTGAAAATGCAAATAATAAAGTTACAAAAACCAGTTTGTACGATCCTTTTTCTTATCAAAACGTACTCTCCCTAAAAAAAACACAAAATTTGCAGTTTAAGGAACCGCAGATTCCACTGTTTTTCTCACTCTCTTTTTCTTTTGATGCACATTTGTCTTTTGATTTTTCAGATTCCCGTTTACATCTGTCAGAAATTCTAAAAAGGTAACACATTAGAGGCGTTTATAACGGAATAAACACAACAAAACCATCATTATCCATAAGACCATAACCATAGTTATACACTTATACTAATGCAACAAAAGTAAAGTAAAGAGAAGAACAAAACTTAACGAAAGAAAACGAATAGAGTAAGGTCAAAAACCGTAATTAAAGCAAAAGAGAAGACTAAAGTATACAAGTCCCAACTGTCACATGACCCCTCTTTGAAAAATCCAATCTTTCTCTTCTTCTTCTTCTTCTACTTTCTCTCTTTTACTTTCTGACACTTCTTCCTTCTCTCTCTCTCTCTCTCCACCATGAAACTTCCGTCACCGTCGTTACCGTTACTCCTCCTTCTCCACCTCCTCTCAGCCACTATCTCCGCCGCTCCTTCCCTCTCTCCGACTCCTTCTCCGACCATCTCTCCCGTTCCTCGCTCCTCTCCCACTCCTCACACCTCTCCCATTCCTCGCACATCCTCTTCCCCATTAGACCCAAAACAGCTCAAAGCCCTCGAATCTCTCAACATCCCCACCGTCAAAAACCCCTGCAACCACCTCCCCTCCAAATCCACCCCCACCGCCGTCGTAACCTGCGACGCCGGCTCCCCATTTCGCCTCGTCACCTCCATCTCCTTCACCAACTGCTCCTCCGATCTCTCCATCTCCTCCACAGCTCTCAGAGCCCTCTCCCCATCTCTAACCTCCCTCTCTTTCCTCAACTGCCCTTCTCTCTCCCTTCCGCCGCGTCTCCCCGAATCCCTCCACTCCTTCTCCGCCGTCTCTTCCTTCCTCCGCCACCGCAATGGCCTCTCCGGAATCTTCCTAGCTCGTCTCGTTAACCTCACTGACCTCACAATCTCCTCCGTCCCCGTCTCCACCTCCGGCCTCTACGTCATCCTCGGAAATATGCACGACGTCGTCTCCCTCACGATCTCTCACGCCAATCTCTCCGGCAACATCCCCAAATCCTTCCACTCGAATCTCACATTCATCGATTTGTCAGACAATCTGCTCAAAGGCCCAATTCCCACTTCGATTACTCTACTCTCCAACCTCAAATCGCTAAACTTGTCCGGCAATTCGATCTCCGGTGACATTCCCGACGGAATCGGCGACCTGATTTCGCTGAAAAACCTCTCTTTAGCTTCCAACAAGCTATCAGGTCCAATCCCAGATTCGATCTCGTCGATCCCGGAGCTAACTCATCTAGATCTGAGCGGAAACCAGCTAAACGGCACCGTTCCGAGATTCATCTCGAAGATGAAGTACCTCACACACTTGAATCTCGCTAACAATGCCTTCAATGGAGTCCTTCCTTTCAATGCGAGCTTTCTCAAGAAGCTCGAAGTGTTCAAAATCGGAGGGAACAGTGATCTCTGTTACAACCGCACTGCGTTGTCGTCGAAGATGAAATTGGGTATTGCTCAGTGCGATAAACACGGTTTGCCACTGTCTCCGCCGCCGCAGAAGGAGGATTCGAGTTCAGATTACGATTACGATAATGAAGATGAGAGTAGTGAGAAGAAGAAGGAAGAGCATCATGGTCCTAATAAGGTTGTGCTTGGTGTTGCCATTGGACTTTCTTCGCTTGTGTTCTTAATCATCTTCTTGATCCTTCTCGCCAAATGGTGTGGTTGATCCATGGAAGTTGGAAGATTTGCTTCTCATTCATTACACGGATACAGAAAAGAAGTATAGAAGCCCTAATCTTCGAGAGTGATTAGGGTTCTTACTTGATGAAGAAGAGGATAGTGATTTTTTTTGGAGAATAACCGAACCGGTTCTCCGCACCAATCCCGGTTTAATATTTCTTTTGATTTTTTACTTTGATTTTCACATTTGAGTTGGTATAATTAGTAGTATATTTTTTCAATTAGCCTTTGGTTTTCCTCTTTTGAGATTTTGTTGTAATTTTGAGTGTACTGTATGTGTTAAAGATTATTTTGTAATAATTATTGAATTATTCTTATCAATTATTTCTACAACAAACATTTGTTCTTCACTTCTTGTGTTTATGTAATACTTCACATGCGGTTGAACATGGTTCGGTTGATCAGACAGAAATTGAAATCTATCATTGGCTTCACCAAATTAGAAATGATTGGACCATTATTGTTCAGAAGAAAAAACAAAATCGAAAAAATGAAATGATGTGGTTATGTTTCCCTTGGAAGCAATGATACTATCATGGAAATCCAGCTTGTTCATGTTCTCTTGCTTCAATTTCAATGATCTCATCAAAGACCGGCCCAACCGTTAACCGAACAATATAAATTACATGAGACAAAACATTTCATTTCTTTCACCAGAAACCTCTGCAAGAACACTGTCCATCCTTAAACTGATGAAACCGGTTTGAATCTCTAAGGACAATCTCACTTCTGGTTAACCTAGACATGAACTTGGCCATCTCATGACAATCTCCACAAACTCTTAGATTCTTAGTAACTCTTATGATCTTTCCATGTCCAGAGCTAAGTATCCCCAAAGCCATTGCTAATTTCTCACTGTGACCACACAAAGCTTCTTCCTTCTCCATCTCCTCCGCATCAATCAAAGCATATTTCGTCTGCGGTGAATACCCTTCTTCTATCATTCTAGCTCTTACTCTCCTCAACAAAGCTTCAATCTTTTCTGTTTCAGGATGTGAACTATCTCCAGCCACAAAGATGTTAACTCTACCCTTAATCTCTATCCAGCTACATCCTGGATTCTTCCTCAGCCCTCGTTGCCCTATCCTCCTTCTTAGCCTCTTCACTTCTTCCCATTTCTCAGCTTCCGCGTAGATATTCGCCATGAGCACATAGTACCCTGTGTTCTCTGGTTCAAGCGCAAAGACTTTCTCTGCAACTTTCTCAGCTAGCTTAACATCATGATGTATCCTGCATCCACACAGCAACGCTCCCCAGATTGTAGCATCCGCCGGAATTGGCATGTCCTCTATGAACCGATAAGCTTTCGACAAGTCTCCGGTTCTTGCGAGCATGTCGACTATACAAGCGTAATGTTCTACCGTTGGCTCGATCTTGCATTCGTGTCTCATGATGTTAAAGAACCTCCATCCTTCATCCACTAGCCCTGAGTGGCTACAAGCGTACAGTAAAGAGACGAAAGAGATCTCGTCAGGCTCGATGCCCGCTTGTCTAGATTGATCGAAGAGAGCGATGGCTTCTTTTCCAAACCCGTGCATCCCATATCCAGCTATCATCACTGTCCAAGAAACAAGATCCTTGGAAGCAATCTCGTCAAAGAGCAAGCGTGCTAGTAACAACGCTCCACATTTCGCATACATGTCCACAAGCGAATTAGCAACATGCCGATCTGTGAAATACCTGTTTCTCATGATGTAGCCGTGGATCTCTCTGCCTTTGTCAAACGCAGAAAGACTTGCACAAGCCGGAAGAACACACGCCACGGTTCTCTCATCAGGACTAAACTTCTTCTCCTCCAACAGCAAATTGAAAAGGCTTAGAGCTTCGTTAGCGTAACAGTTCTTCGAGTAACCACCAATAACGGTGTTCCAAGAGATCATATCTTTCACAGGCATCGCAGAGAAGACTAACTCCGCCTCTCGCATGCTTCCACATTTCGCATACATATCAATCAGAGCATTCGATACAAAGATATCAAACCCCAAATCGTTTTCCTTTATCCACTCATGGACTCGCTTACCTTCCTCTAACAACCGGTTCCGAGCACAACAGTTTAAAACCGCAGTGACGGTGTAAACATCAGGGCTAATACCTTCTTCCTCCATTTCCGCAAACAGCTTCACAGCTTCACCAGCCAAACCTTCCCTAGCGTAACCAGCAATCATAGAAGTGTATGACACTACACTCCGATCACTCATCTCTGTAAACACAGCCTTAGCAGAGTCTAGATCACCGCACTTCGAATACATATCAAGCAATGTGTTGCAAAACCGATCTTCTCTACTGAAACAAGTTTTCAATCCAAAACCGTGGACAGCTCTGCCTAAAGAGACTAGACGAGAATCAGCACAGCCTGCGAAAACGCTCACTACGGTAGCTAAATCAACGTCCGTTCCTGAAAACAACATCTCCACGAAAAAGGATAAACCTTTCTCAGCTAATCCATTTGATACATACCCATTAATCATCGAGTTCCAAGAAATGACATCTCTTTCAGTCATTTCGTCGAACACCTTACGTGCGCTTTTCACCCTCTGAGTTTTCAAGTAAAACGCCACCAGAGAATTCGCCACTGAGTTGCAATCTCCAAAGCCTGACTTGAGAATGTAACCATGAAGCTGCTCTCCTCCGTGAACACTTCGCAGAGACGAGAAGCTCTTGAAAACGCAGGAAAATGTATATCGATCCATTTCCACACCAGAAGTCAGCATTCTCTTGAACAATCCGATGCTCCCGCTAAAATCACCGGACTTTGCGAGCTCGTTCATCAAAATGTTCCAGAACAGAGCTTTCTCGATCCTGACCCGATCGAAAACTCGACTCGCTGCTTCCAAATCCCCACAATTTGTGTACATGAGCGCGAGTTTCGATCCCAAATTCGAGTCTATTGCGAACCCATTACCACGAATAAAGGACTCAACTTCTTTACCATCCTTGAGTGACCTCGAATCCGCACAGAGCTGAAGAATAGAGCATAAAGTTCTCGGATCGATATCCCACTTTCTAGATACGCGAAGAAGTTTCACGGCGCTCTCCAGATTCCCTGCTTCGCAGAATCTCCGCAATCGAGTATTCGTATCCGTTAAGCTTCGATCAAATGACGAAATCGAGTCCGCGCAATCTCTGTCTTCGATAGACACCGTTCTCAACGAGGCTCTGCTCAAAATCACATCTCTTCGAACTCTGAAGTCGCTTGCAGTCCCCTTCTGGTTTCGAAATCGGCGAGAGGTAGAGAAACAGAAGCTTGAAGAAGACAAATTCGAAACCAACATCGCCATCTCTATCTCCCTCTACACATCAGTCGAGTAAGCGCGGGAAAAAAAATGATCTTTGATTTAGTGCTAATGTAAAGAAAGTGGCTTCGTTTCAGTAAAAATTGTATATGACGATTAAAGTAGACTTGAGAGCGATGGCTCCAAAAAAAACTTCAAATTTTAGCCATTTATTGTCCACAAAATTATGCAGAGCTGTAATTGGACCCAATATATAAAACCTGATGAAAATTTTGTTTTTTTTGTTAATTGTGAGGAAATGAGGAACTTCATCGTTTAAAAAAAAAAAAAAAAAAAAATCATCCTGTTCTCCGGGGAATTCAAGAATTAAAGGTATGGACTTGGCTCTTCATTTTCCTTGTGTTTCCCCGTTGATCAAACAAGGATTCAGGAGAGCCAATCATCTTCCTCTTCGAGGTAATCGATTCTTCTTACAACATCAAATCTTGCTAAACAATACTTTTGTAGCAATCTTAAAGAGAGAACTTTAGGAGCTGAGAATATCACTTTTCGTCTGTGCAGCTTAACTGAATTTAGACAGATTGCAGATTCTCATTCTCCAAGCTGGCCTCAAGAGAAATCTTCTTCTTCAATGGGAAGATTGAAGAAAGGATATGTTTGTTGCAAGAAATCGACTGATGAACAGAGCTCAAGCTCGAGTAAATTAAAGCAAGAGGAGATCATTTCTCTCTTCAGACGGATTCAATCTTCAATCTCCAAAGGAGAGTCTCGGGGAGATGAGGAGAAGAATCAGAATCGCGATGGGACTTCTGAGAATGAGCCTCTGAGCAAAGCTATTCTTGACGTTCTTGAGAAACAAAGAAAGAAAACTGAGGGTAATCAAATGATTCTGTGTCAAATTCCTTATACATGTTCTTGGCGTTAGTTAACAGTACAAGCAATCGTCTTTGCAAATTGCAACTGTAGGAGATACTGGTGTGAAGGCGGTGCCACCAAAGAGACAAGGAAACGTAGCTCGGCCACCTTCTGGTATTGCCAAGAGATCTCCTTATAGACCTCAAAGAGGTAAGCTTCCAATAACAAAGAGCGATAAAGGTTTGGAAGAAACAGAGAAGGAAGAGAAACCTCCATTGATAGAAACTATGAAACTTGCAGAGCTCAAAGAAGTTGCAAAGAACAGGGGAATCAAAGGATACTCAAAGTTGAAAAAGAGTGAGATCCTGGAGAGACTTAGATCATCATGATTTTAAAAATTCAGTCAACATTCTCTCTGACATGCAAACTAGAATTGTTCGAGTAAGTTGTACCATTTTCAAAGAATCTCAAACATCTTAAAGTTTGGTTTTTCTACATTCATTGCTTTTGACAACCAACCCAAGTCTAGAAATTTTAGAATTGATAACAAAACATATCCCCAAAAAAGGTTCATATCTCGAAAGTACTTAAAGATTCTAAACCAACTCGAGTCAAAAAGGTTACCACAGCAAGAGATCCTTATCATCCAGAATCGTAAAAATGTAACAAGAACTTGAAACAGAGCTAACACCAAAACACGAAATGAAAGCAAAAAACTTATCAACCAGTGATGTTCTGGGACTTGTTGAGAATAACACCTTCATACTTAACTTGGAACCACTTCATGGCATCATCCTTTGTCACTCTATGTTGAATCCCAACACGAGTCTTGCATCTACGGCGACGAGCAACACGGTATCCAGGACGTTCAAGAACAACGTAGAAGTCCATTCCGTAGATACCAGTAGAAGGATCGTACCTTAAAGACACAAATGCAAAGATGATGAGAAGTGAGAACTCAACCTCCTAATCAAAATTCTGTTTAGACTACATCAGCCAAAACACTTACTTGATTCCAAGATCAATGTGCTCCTGGATACCGAATCCGAAGCAGCCAGTGTCACTGAAGTTCCTCCTCAAGAGCTCGTACTCCTTCACTTTCAAGCCACTCTCAAGAAGCTGCATTGCCTTGTCTCCTCTCACGGTGACATAGCACGCAATCTTCTCGTTACGCCTAATTCCGAAAGATCTCACAGTGTACCTCGCTGTTCACACAATCAAAGAACCAAGCTTCAATCAAAACTCTACAATCTCAAAACTACAGACACAAAATGTAAAGAGATTCTATTTGAATATGCTCAACATACCCTTGGAGAAGACAGGGGTTTGACCACTGAGCTGTTCCAACACCTACAATTACCCAAAAACAACCGATTCATATATCAAATCTATTGCAATTCCTCAGTCTATCTATGAGCTAAACCCATTTCAACGAAGCTTAAAAAGTAAAGTCTCAATCTTTTCGACTGTTTAGGTAACGAACCTTGGAAGCACGAGTGAGACGATCACCACTCTCACCGACGGAGATGTTAAGGACGAGCTTCTGGACCTTAATGTCCCTCATAGGGTTCGAGAGCTTCTTCTCCGACGCCTGCATCACGAGAAACAGAAAATTCAATTACAAAGACAAAATCTTTCGAATGAAACATACGAAATGAAGCAATCTATAGGTGAAAAAATATTGAGAAAGGTACCATCTCAGTATTTGGGATTGAAAATCGAGGGAGAGGAGTAGAAAGAGTGGCAGATGAATTGGCGTCGGCTGCAAAGAGTGATAATTATATGAAAGGTATTAGGGTTTTCTTCGTGGAGGCTAATGACGAAAGTAGCCCCTCACGTAGGTCAAAATTATTAAAAAAGCTCCGTTGCCGGGACTCGAACCCGGGTCTCTCGGGTGAGAGCCGAGTATCCTAACCAGCTAGACTACAACGGATTTGATGTACACTAATGCAATGGCAGTTTTATGTTCATTACGAATATTTCTTTCTATGCATTTCACATTTTCAATGTACGTTATGTAGTCATGTCGATGGATTTTAATCAATATCTTTCTCTTTTTTGGTTCATTCAAATTTGATATCTATATAATTATAAAGATGTAGTTCAGTTTGGGTAGTTTAGGTTTGGATATCAGAATTGAACACATGTACTGAAACGTGAGAGAATCTTCATCGTCATGCAGAAAGATAAAAGATATTGAGAATTACCTTTGAAAGAAAATGAGTGATAAACAAACCATTTCATAAAATTTGGTGATAACAAACAAAGCAGAAGAAGACAAACATTCAGAAGGAGAAAGGGAAAAAAACAAAAGCGACCCCTAAAACTGCAGAAACTTCAGTCTTTCCTCTTCTGGTAAGACTGATGAAACACTTTGTTATCGCTTTGACTAGATTCTACTTCTTCTTCTGCTCAAACTTTTACTATATAAAAATCTCTGACTAAACTCATGTACAAATGCAGAAAGAAAAACAAAAAAGCAAAGAGGAGAATTTGTTTTTTTTTTACCAAACTTAAAAAAGGAGAAAGAACAAGAAGATACAACTGAAGAGCTTTTCTTGCAGATTTGGGGTGTGAGAAGCTGTGATTTGACCAACAAACTCCTCTGAACAGAACATTTCTTGAACGAGTTTGAGGAGGAGAAAACTTGGAATTGTGTTCCTCCACGTTGCCTTCAACTACCAGTAATGGTACATTAATATATATAAAGTTGTCTTCTGAAGATCCTTTATGTTCCAGACTGATTCAAGAAACTTAAACCCAACTGTCTCTTGATATGGTCTGGAATCAACTTGTTAACCAGCTCAGGTGTTGCTCCAGCTACTTCTTGCTTGAAGTTGAAGAGAGGCGGGAATGGCCGTCCATTCGGTAGACGAGCATTTGGTTCTCTGAGTTCATCAAAGAACGGATGTGCACAAGCTTCGAGCTGCAAATAGACGTTAAATAAAGATTAATATTCTGTTTGATTGTTAGAATATATTAGAGATTCAAAGAGTAACAACACTCACCGCTGTGCATCTAAGACTTGGAGAGTATTGAAGCAGCCTTGATGCGAAATCAATCGCTTCTGGAGGCATCCGTTTGTGGAAAATCTGAATCAAAAAAGAAACCAAAGATTTGAGTAAATATGAAGTAGATACTGAAAACAAGAATGGATATGTAAGAGAAAAGAAGAACAAACCTTGTGCCATGGATGTGCCTTTATCTGAGGAAACCTAAAATCTGTGTAATGTGGATTCATACAACGGATCTCTTCACGAGTTGGTGTACCAAGAACCTGTTACCAGCAAATATGATACAATTGAGGATTTGTAGCTAATGAATGTGATTTGCAAAACTATCATTGTTAAAGAGTCTTACTTTGATGATTTCAACGAGCTGATCCACAGCATTTTCTCCAGGGAATAAAGGCTGCATTCATAAGAAGATGATATCATCACAATGAGTCCTAAAGTGAATACAATGGAGACTGAAGAAGGTGACTGGTGAAAATTTGGTTTACCTGACCAAGAAGAAGCTCAGCGAGAACACAACCAGCAGACCAGATGTCAATGGAAGTTGTGTACTCCGTGGCACCAAATATGAGCTCAGGTGCACGGTAGAATCTTGAACATATGTAAGATATGTTGGCTTCACCTTTAACCTGAAGCAAAAGCAAATCGCACCAAGTAAATGACAAGATCACACAACACAAAACCGAAAGAAATTATAAGTCCAGAAGTCTTACAAGCTGTTTCGCACTGCCAAAGTCACAGATTTTGACTTGATGAGTAAGAGGATCAACCTGAGGAAAGAGATACATTAGCAAAGAAAGAAACAAGAGAACAAAAGAGCACAAGAGAGTTAAATCTTGAATATAACGCATACCAGAAGGTTTTGAGGCTTTAGATCTCTGTGACAAACTCCAGCGACATTGTGAATGTAAGCAAGTCCACGGAAGATCTAACCATACCAAAAAAGGAATTAATCTCATACTAAACATCAATATCCAAAAAAGAAGAAGATATGAGAGTTTGTTGTTACCTGATACATGTAGAGTTTAACGTAGACAAGAGGCATTCTTTGGTTTGCAGTGCTGTAATGTTTCAGGACTCGATACAAGCTCTCAGGGACATACTCCATAACCAAATTGAGGAAAAGCTCGTCTTTGCTTGTCGTTGAAAAGAAGCAATGCTTCAAACAAACCACATTCGGATGATCCATCACACGCATCAGCTGAAGCTCTCGGTTCTTGTATCTCCTGTCTTGCAAAACCTTCTTTATCGCCACGGTTTCACCAGTCTCCAAACACTTTGCCTGGAAGACTATTCCGAACGAGCCTGTACCGACAACTCTCTCCGCCATGTAACTAATTGTCTAAACAAAAAGAACAAAGAAAAAATCTTTGTTTAGGATCAAATCTTTGCATATAATGAACAAACAGAGAGGAGTTTGTGTTTGACTGTTTGGTTAAGCTTGAAATTTTACCTGTTTTGGTTCTCCATTTTTGCCTCCGATTGTGGTGGAAATTATGTGACCAGTGACTTGATCATGTCCATCAACTACAGCAGCTGGCATCTCCTGTAAGAAGCAAAAGCTTTCAAGGTCAGTAACCTTTGATTCCACCATTATCAAAAGCCAAAAGCATAATGCTTGTCTTGGAATCAAAACTATAAAAGAAGGAAACTTTATCTTAAAAAGAGTGGTTACAAAATGACCGTTACGCAGAGTGAATCTGAATTAGTAGAAAAATATATATACACTTTTTTGTCACGCGAGAAGAAAGGTAAGCATCAAAAAGAAACATATAACAAATAAAACAGGAATGAATCTAGGCTCAATTCTGGATCTAGCAACTAAATTAAAAACTGTGGATTTATCACCAGATCGAGATCATCGTGCCTAACTCACAAAACCCTAAGCTTTACCGATTTATGAAGTTTGGAAAGTCACAGGAAAAAAAATATGCTCAATTTACACAAACGAGGAGATACAAATCAGTTTTTTTTCATCTTCAAGTAAATCTATTGAATCCAAAAAATGAACCTTTTTACTCATAACTCTTCTTAAGCAGCCATGTTTAGAGCTCAGAGATCTTAAGAAGAGAAAAAGCTCAAAACTTTAGACAAACCCAAAAACTCGAAACCGTTCAACTTCAATCAGAAAATTCAGAGCTAATTTTCTCCCAAAAACTTCTATGAGAACAAGACTCTCCGACCACTCTCCGACCACTAATTGAAGGTTAAAAATGTGGAAAACAGTAACAGGATCTTCACTGAAAGACGGAGGGAAGGAAACAAGTAGCTTACCTTATCGTCAGCCATGGCGTTTCAGACACAGAGAGAAGAGAAAGAAAAGAAGAGAGAGAGAGAGAGAGAGAGAGAGAGAGAGAGAGAGAGAGAATGGATTGAGAGAACAAATGGGTTTCAATCAGTTTGGTTGGTAATGATCATGGTGGAGAGAGAGAGAGAGAGAGAGAGAAGCCGCAAGATGAGAAAAAAGGAGAGAGAAAGAACAAGCCCATGTGAATCCAGCTCTCTTTTATTTCTCTCTCTCTCTCTCTCTACTTTCCGTTTTCTTCGCCATCTTCTTCTTTCGCATTTTTTTTGTTAAAATCTTCGTTTGTTGTGTAAATTTACAGAAACACCCTCGAGTTTGCTGTCAAATTACGCAGACACGGACAGACTCTTCTCTGGAAATTTCGTGATCAAAGGCATCAAATGTTGTTGTCGGTCAAATTTTGAATCCTTGATGGAATCGACTTCCTAAATCATTGGTGGAGGTCCAAATTGGTATTTCAGGCATCTAAATAGATGCTGGAATTGTCAAATGTCTCATTTTCATAATTATAAGACTGAATCATTTCTTGTATTTTGGTCGTTATTATCACTTGATAAAGTGAATGTAAACGATGTCTTTCTTTGGTTAAAATGGAATGTGTATTGCATAAACATAACCCTAAAAATATATGATCTAAACTTCATAGTCAAAAATCTAGATATATAACCTCAACCAATTGGACTTATAAAATCCATAAAATCATCACAAAAAGTTTGGCTTCAAGGATAGTTGACAAACAAACCTATTGTCCATTTCTTGAGTAGTCTCATGTTCCTATCCAAGGACAAAAATCTATTACTGTCCTAGTGTCTTTCTTCCACCCAATAGAGATGGTCACAAAGTATAAAGATTTGAGGATACTTTGGTTTATACTGTATCTGTATATCAATCACTGTTTATTTGTAAAATTATTCAAAATTTTGATTACTAAACGGTGCTTTAACATCAGTAGAAGACATGCATAATTATTCCTTTAATTGATGTGAGAATCCATATTTCTTCAATTAATTTTTGATTTCGAATAAGTTTATTATAGATTTTTGGTCTAAAACCTCTAAAGGTATAAATAGCTTTGAAGGTAACAAAACATGTGTAAATGTAAAAGTTAGAGCATGATGAACTGGAACGAAATTGTCAAAGATCCAAGTTTGACCATTTGGTGGGTAAACTTCTTTTTTGACATTGATGAAAGAAGAAAGCATTTATGTTTCTTTGGTCTTTAGCTTTTTAATGTTATTTATTTTATAAATAAAAAATTAGACTTAAATGGCTTTAATAATGACCTAATAGTGTAGCTTTACTTATTGTGTTTGTTTTTTTTTCTTTATATTTGTTTATTTATATTTCTGGAAACATCAATATAAAAATCAATGATGATAATGATAGCAGTACTAACATTTGCAGAAGACAACAATAACAACAAAAATATTAGTAATATAATTTTCTTTTTGTTCAATTATGCATGGGACATACACACTTTTGACTGTATGGATTTACTATTGTCGTGTATTATCTTGACTCTTGAGGCGCAATAATTTAAATGTCGATATACGTATTATCCAATCGCAGCAAGCCAGCAATCAGGTTAGATGCTCATATATCTTCGGTTACAGTATTAGCTAAGCTGTTAAGTTTTGTAGGTTTTAAACGTGAACGTCCTTCTACAACCTAGTGAAATCTTTGTGTGATTTTGTAATTTTATACCAATTTCTTTTTCAAATAATAATTAAAGTTCATGGCACTATTTTAACGAGCAAAGCTACAGATATCTAGTTTATTATAAAATGCTTGTGTATTGTCATCATTTTATATGTTTAAAAAAAAAACATTTTATATGTTATTGTTTTTGAAAAGCCATTCACGATTCTACTAGAACTACAATAGATTTACTACTGGAGAATTATAAAAATGAAATGGTACAAAAGCGCTCTCATTCGATGAGCTTTTGGTATATTTTGAGTATTAATTATCACATACTTTTATACGAAAAAACAAAAACCTTTGGTTAGAAAAAACGATTATGTTAGTTTTTATTTTGTAGGGATCTTAATATTATAAGGTTATGCACTCTTGTGGTATGCGAAAGTACAATAATTAGCTTGCACCATGTGACGAGGTTCGACCGAAGGCAGAGAGAATGAAGAACTAACATTATTGACTGTATATATAATTGAACGAAAAATATGATAACATGAAAATGAGAGGCAAAGTTAAGAGTAAAAAAAGGAGAATAATAATAACTACGTTCGAATGAGAGGGTAACGAAAATCCTAAATTTAAGTTTTGTATTTTTCTTTATTAGCTAACCTTGGCAGAAAGGAAAGGAAAAGACAAATGAACAGGCAACCTATAAAACCCCTTCATAACCTCTTAAACTCAAAGCATATACTTGCCATTTCTACAAGCATTCCAACCGAATTGTTGTCCGTCTTCAGTTAGTCTTACAACTTCTTTTTGTAACTGAAATTTTATTTTTCTTCAATATCGCTTCACATCGTTAAATTTGGATTTTATTAAAAAAAATCTTTAAATTTGGATTGCAATGGAAATACATAAAAGTTGATGTGCTTCAATTCCAACAACCAAGAGAGTTTCATACATCAAAACTAGACTTGTTTTTAAACATATATATAAAATCGTTTTTTTCTCGCATTTAAGCTGCAATAATTTAAAATTATTCAACATCAATTCATTTTGTTATAGCTCAACGATTTAACTGTGTTACTGTTTGACATTAACGGCTCTAAAAACGAATATTTTATAGCAAAATATAGCAACGAAACTATGATAGCGACTTATGTATCTGTTTTTAAGTACGTATGTAAAAGACAAGTGGTATGGTTGGTGTGTGTGACAGGCCTGAAAAATACGTTTAGTTCGGAAAAGGTTAAGAAGAATAAGCACAGCACATATTAAACATACAATTAAGTTAACTTTATTCAAGAGGCTAAGGAGCTCGTTCACATCCTTTTCCATCGTTTATGTGCCTCGGAATCTTGTTTGTAAAGCTGATCATTTGGCTAGGCTTGCTAGGTCTTTTGTTAGGCTCCTTTCGTTTATTGGTTGTTCTATTCCAGAGTGGGTAACCACTCCAACTCAAACTTGAGCAATAAAAGAACCGTTTTGTTGACAAAAAAAAAAAAATAAGTTAACTTTATTTATGTTACTCTATCTTTCTCTAATATTTGTTACTCTATCTCTCATTACACTCTCTCTAAAAGATAAGGTTAAAACGGTCTAAAAAATAACACGAAAATAGTCACCGAGCTGATTTGCTAATAAAAACTTAGCCCCACCTCTTTTACATATTACTAACTTGAAACTACCTATTATGCAAACTTTCCCTAATGTTAATAAGGACATTTTCAATATATCGCTCTATATTTTACTTCATATTAAAGAAATTTCAAATTAGAGTTGGATTTTGCTCCAATGTATTGTCTCATTTTTTATTTCAAATTACAAATTACCCCATAATTGTTTTTCTTCAAAATTTTCACAATTTATTAAAGTTATTTAAAATTAAATATTAAAATATTAAAAATACAATAGAAAACTAAAAATAACAACACAAACAAAATTTTATTTTTAATTAGAACTATTTGAATAATTTTCCCATAAATGATCAGCTAAATCATTTCGAAAAGAGAAATGAACATCTTTATCTTTGATCTTTCTAAATCGAGCAAGAAAATTATGGAACAAAATGTCATCGTTTTCGGCTATATCATTTTCTGAAGGTGAAGCTTCTCTTCCAACTTCAGTTGGTATAATGAGATCATGTTTATGTAAAATTATACATGTAGCCATTGTGTTAATAAATTTCTTTGGTGTTATTTTTAATTTCAGATTTTTAAGTTTATTTTTAGCTTAAATTTTCTGTATTTTTAAATTTATTATTAGCTTAAATAATTATATTTCTTATTAAATATGTGTCATTTGTATTTTAGAGTAAAAATAAATATCAAAATAATTAATTATATATTCTAAAGTGAAATAATTTAAAACTTTAAGGACTTTTGTATAAATAAAAGCTTTAAAAGTTTTAAAGGAAATGAAAATGAAAATGAGATCATCCTCAATTTGAGGAAAATATGGCATTTTGCTATTTTAAAATAGAGAATAAAGTTAAGTTGGAGTAAAATTGACTTCAAAATAAAAATAAATATGAAAAATGAAGCTAGATTGGAAATGATCTTAATTTACACCATATCTACTTGAAATCGTTTAGTCCGCCTCATCTTTACTTGCGCTATATACTGGATCCTTAATGTCTACATCTTCTGCAAATTACGTTTGCAAATATATAAATAGTTAAATAAATAAGACTTAAGTGGTTTGTAGATATTTTATTACGGTATTCTAAATGATTGCAAATGACAATTTCATTGAGTTTTCTCAACTTCACTTCAATCTCTCTAGGAACACAACCTAAGTAGCAAGCATATACGTACTTCCTGTCTCTCAGGCCAGACTTCGGCTTTAAGATCCTTTGGAATTGTGCAATTCTCAATATCATGCCATATTTTCGTGTTTTTCTTATTCAATGAAATAAAAAGAAGAAGTCATCAATCTCAAATCAATCAACACACATTTCTTATTCAATGAAATAAAAAGAAGAAGTCATCAACCTCAAATCAATCAACACACAGATAAGTACATAATTGTTCACATAAAAAGTGTTCAGTTAACCAACGTAATTTGCCCTATAGTAACCGACATCAAAAGGATCTAATTTGCCCTAGTAATCATCCAATCAACATACAAGTCCATAATTGCTCACAGAAAAACCTGTTCACAGAATGATGCATAATTATTCCTTTAATTGATGTGAGAATCCATATTTCTTCAATTAATTTTTGATTTCGAATAAGTTTATTTCTTCAATACACAAAAAAAAAAAAAAAAAATTAAAACAATGGAGTAACTGAAATTTTATTGTTCTTTGATACTATCACTTTACATCATTAAATTTGGATTGCGAATGGAAATACATAAAAATTGATATGCTTCAATACCAACAACCGAAAGAGTCTCATACATCAAAACTAGTCTTGTTTTTAAACATCCAAAATCGTTTTTTTCTATCGCATTTAAGCTGTCTAGTAGACTAGTCTATGATATCAAACTAACTTTAATTCGCTTTGTCAGACAAATAGGCAAATAGCTGATCTCAAGTCTCAACATAAAAACATACATATGCAATGATAATGAAGAACGATTCAACAAAATTTAAATTAATGATTTGTCCTTTACAAAAAAAATGTGTATGTACTTGACATGTATTATATTTAAACTCGAACTATAACAAAAAAAAATCATTTTTTATAACTGAGAATTCTAAACCAAAATTTAGACTCGTTCCCGAGGTCTATAACATTGTTGATAATGTTTCTATTAAACTAGGAATTCTATTAATTTGCATATAAAGTTCAGTGTTCAGTTCAAACTAAGAGTGTAGAAACTAATTTGAAATGAAAAGAGTTGAATTAGTAAAATATTTTTATATGCAAAAATAAAGATAAAAGGATTGACGGGGTTGGGTTGGCAGTCGGTGGTGGGCAGTGGCGGAGCCAGCTTGTTAGCAGGTGGGTCATCTGACCCATGTCAAATTAAACTAAAAAAAAATTTACATGTATTTTAAAAATAAAAAATTTGATAAATGCTATAAAACCAGTTCATTGACCCATGTATTACATGGTTACTTAACATATGACCCATGTAAATTTTGTTTCTAGTTCCGCCACTGGTGGTGGGAGAAGATGGGCTCTGGTCATTGGTCAAACCTCCATAACTTATTTTGGTCAAACTTCTTAGAACTCAGCGACCTCTTTAGCCTCTCTGTCATGATTTTTCTATATACAGACGTTTTTCTCTGCTGTTAGCGAGCGTATAATCCTTACATAACACTTCACCGTTACGATATTGACATTTGTCAGCTCACGTAACTAGAAGAAGTTGTTAAAACAAAAACAAAATTGAGCGGTTCGAATGGGCTTACTATGACCACCGGTTAGTGCTTACTATTCGTATAGAATGGGCTTTCATAATCAGGCCCACATAATTATACAATTCCTAGTGTACAATACAACAAGCCTACTAAGAAAGAGTACACGACTCGAGTGTGAATACCGGGTTTTGTGTGTGAGGCATAGGAGCAAGAAGATCATACTGTCTTGGTGTAGGATGTCTGATTTTTTTACATACTGTAGCTATGGTCGGAATAGCGTCCTTTGCGATGCTAACGTTCTTTTGTACGAGTGGATTTAATGTTTTTTCGGTTATTAGTGGTTGGATTGGGGTTGGCCAGCTTAAATCTTTTGAGACGCAACTCAAAACTTGGTTACTAGAGACACTATTTTGCGGACTAAGCCGCGTATGAATAATCTTAGTCAATATTTGGTTGTCAAATTGATAGCCGGGAAAATCATTTCCATCTTGTTGACAATGTTAGGCTAAATATTCTCGTTTTTTAACGAACCAGATTGTTCAAACGAAGCCTACTTAAAGATGCACATACAATTTTCAGTCCCAAGAGGGATTTAACTATGTTGATGATAAATTTTGCCCTAGTCCGGCTGAGACTTGTTTTGGAGAATAAAATTTTTCTGACGTAAATTTACAACCTAACCAAAAGAAAATATCGAGTAAAAAAAGTACACAAATGTACAATACCATAATACATTTTCCGGGACTAAAATGTTAACATTTGACCCAAATTTCAAAATGCTGGGAAACAAATTTAAAATGTCCATTTGTTGGAATAAATTATTTTGTTCTGTACGTTGTAAACTTGTAAACATCATAGTATGTTGTTCATTTCTCACAAGTGTTCACCAAACACACCACTTGTGTTTTCTTTAACATATTAAATTTCATTTTAAATTTAAGGAGATCTAACTTAAATATCATTCACATCATTATCATTCCAAATGGACTATCTAACTCTTCTCATATGATAATTTCTCTTGCTTATATTAAACTCTTGACCGACTATTACGTACAGTAGACATTTAGACCTACGGCTCCACCGACCTAATTCAACAACCATTGCAGTATCATTGACTTTCATGCTTAAAAAATTTAGATATGTTTTTGTCACCTTAAGAAAACCATTTATTTAGATTTCTTAATTAAATCATTTTAGTATTCTGCATAGTTGAATTATTTTAGATATTCGATCGAGTTTGAGTTTTGGCGTATAGGAGTAGTAATTATTTTCTGTGAGCACCATCGCTGGATTCCGTAATTTCCGTGGGTGTCAATGTAAAGACAAAAAATAACGTATCATGTGACAATCCAACGGCTGTAGTTTAACTCGCAGCTGTTTTGATCAAATGACGTGGGGCCATATACACTCACCAGATAGAAAACTCGAGAGCCACTTAAAATAAAGCGATCGTTGAGAAACTGACACGTGTGAAACAAATCTAGTAACCATAGTTTGAGTTAACAGCCGCAAAAACAATGATGTCAGGTTTGCGCCACGTGGACTATGTTGTATGGTAGAATGTGATATCTAGATTCGTATCGAGACCACCAACTTGACTCACTCTAATAGCTGTTGCTAATTGTCTTTCCCTAAGACTAATCAAGTTTAAATTTCTCTTTTTTGTCTTTTACGATTTGTTAATACTAATTCGAATCATTCTACCACCACTACTACTAGCAGTACTAAAAATCGTTCAAATCCCTCTAATTGCTGGAGTAGTTTAAACAAAACAATTATTCTGCCATTTAAGTTTATCATTGTTTTTAAAGCGTTTATTATGTAAGGTACGTTTCACACAAAACACCAATAACAATGCTATTGAAAATAATGTTTTATATATATGGACCACTACAATTATTTTGAATGATTCTACATCAACTCATTTTGTTTCATAGCTCAACGATTTAACTGCGTTATTGTTTGACATTAACGGCTCTAAAAAACGAATATTTTATAGCAAAACATAGCTACGAAACTACGATAGCGATTTAAGTTTTTGTTTTTAAGTACGTATGTCAAAAAACAAGTGGTATGGTTGGTGTGTGAGACCCTGAGAGGCATGACAAATACGTTTAGTTCGGAAAAAGTTAGAAGAATAAAGCACAGCACACATTAAACATACAATTAAGTTAACCTTATTCACGTTAATGATGCTCTTACTCGAAAATGACCGTTTCAACAATATAAAATGTTTATCAGGTTAATCTGCACCATCAAATAGAATAATTTTAAAATGGCAAGTTGTGATTTCTTAACTAGTGTAAGTGAAACAAATCATATTCGTTGGGAAATGATTAGTAATTATTGCACCACATTAAATCTACTATTTAAGAAATAAACTCATTAATAGTATAAAATCTTAAATTAAATTAATAAAGTGATTTTCATATCTAAGTGTCACAAGACTTGTAAACAAAAACAAAAAAAAGTGCCATTATTTTTGCTTTCTCATTTTTTTTTATTTTCCTCTTTTACACTCATAAAGACTCATAAGCATATTCCCAAATATATACGGCGACGATACAAACAGAGGAAATGCTATTTCTAGTGAATCCCTAAAAACAGAAAACAGAGAGAAGAGAGAGAGACCATCTTCGTCTTCCTTCTTCTACAACATCTCCAAAATTCACAAAATCAGAGAGAATCAACGAATTCACAGGTGAGAAATTCGAAATCCAAGCGAGCCCGACTCGCCCAGATTCTCGATTTCTCCACCTTTCCCGTACATAATCGATTCTCAATTCCTCTCATCCCAACGAGATTTACCCAGAATCCTTCCTCCATGGCAGATTCAATTACAAGAGAAACGTCTCTGCCGAAGGAGAGAAGCAGCCCGCAAGCTCTAATCCTCGGGAGATACGAAATGGGCAAGCTTCTCGGCCATGGAACCTTCGCCAAGGTCTACCTCGCGCGAAACGTGAAATCCGGCGAGAGCGTCGCGATCAAAGTGATCGACAAGGAGAAAGTGCTCAAAGGCGGCTTAATCGCACACATCAAGCGAGAGATCTCGATCCTCCGCCGCGTCCGGCACCCGAACATCGTCCAGCTCTTCGAGGTCATGGCGACGAAAGCCAAGATCTACTTCGTCATGGAGTACGTCCGCGGAGGCGAGCTGTTCAACAAAGTAGCCAAAGGGCGTCTCAAGGAAGAAGTCGCTCGCAAATACTTCCAGCAATTGATCTCCGCCGTCACTTTCTGCCACGCCCGCGGCGTCTACCACCGAGATCTCAAACCGGAGAATCTCCTGTTAGACGAAAACGGTAATTTAAAAGTCTCGGATTTCGGACTCAGCGCCGTCTCAGATCAGATTCGGCAAGACGGGCTTTTCCACACGTTTTGCGGCACTCCGGCGTACGTCGCGCCGGAGGTTCTGGCGAGGAAAGGCTACGACGCGGCGAAAGTCGACATCTGGTCTTGTGGAGTGATCTTGTTCGTGCTGATGGCTGGTTATCTCCCGTTTCATGATCGGAATGTTATGGCCATGTACAAGAAGATTTACAGAGGCGAATTCAGGTGTCCTCGGTGGTTCTCTCCGGAGCTCTCGAAGCTGCTGTGTAAGCTTCTGGAGACGAATCCGGAGAAGAGGTTCACTTTCCCTGAGATCATGGAGAATTCTTGGTTTAAGAAAGGGTTTAAGCATATCAAGTTCTATGTGGAAGATGACAAGCTCTGCAATGTTGTTGATGACGATGAATTGGAGACTGAGTCGGTGGAGTCTGATCGGTCTTCGGCGGTTTCTGAGTCTGAGGTTGAGTATTTCGAGCCGAGGAGGAGAGTTGGTGGTTTGCCGAGACCTGCGAGCTTGAACGCTTTCGATATCATATCGTTCTCGCAAGGGTTTGATCTGTCTGGTTTGTTTGAAGACGATGGGGAAGGGTCTAGGTTTGTTTCGGGAGCTCCGGTTTCGAAGATCATATCGAAGTTGGAGGAGATTGCTAAAGTTGTGAGCTTTACGGTGAGGAAGAAGGATTGTAGGGTGAGTCTCGAAGGTTCGAGGCAAGGAGTGAAAGGTCCGTTGACGATTGCGGCGGAGATATTCGAGTTGACGCCGTCTTTGGTTGTTGTTGAGGTGAAGAAGAAAGGAGGAGATAGAACTGAGTATGAAGAGTTTTGTAACAATGAGTTGAGACCAAAGTTGCAGAATTTGACAGCTTATGATAATGATGAAGTAGTAGCAGAGCCTGTTGTGGCGGTTGCAGCGGTTGATGAAACTGCGATTGCGGTCGCGGATTCTCCACCGGTTTGTTTCTTGCCTTCTGACACTGAATAGATGATAAAAGAAAGGCCACAAAAGCAGAGATTGTGAGGAATGTATAAGTTTTGTTATTCTGAAATGAAAGAAGAAGAAAAACTGCTTAGGGTTGGTGGAATTTAGAATCGAATTATGTAAAACTATGTTGTGTTATCTGTTGGAGATCATTAGAGAAATGAGATAAAGTTATGTTTGTTACTAACCTATTAGCAGTTTTTATTTTTTTTTGTAAGGGAGAATTGTAAACAGTTTCTCATCAGATATTTGATATGTATAAAACAATCAAATGAATAAAGAAAAGCTTTGCTTTCTTCTTCTTAAGTACCTCTTTTGTTATTATGGTTAAATTTTATCTTGTCAAAAAACATTGGTTTGTTCTGTTTTTGTTTGTCGTTTATTTTGCTAAAAATGGGTAAGAGCAAGAAGAGAATGAATCTTTCTTGTTTTGTTGATTCTTGGAGATTGTTAATGGCGGAAAATTTAGATTTTTTATTAGGAATTTTTATCTATTTGTGGGTGAAAGAATTGACAAGAACCATGTGAAGTGTTTGTCTTGGAGTGAAGCAAGTTGCTTTTTAGCTGATAGCAATGTCTTGTGTCCTTTTCTGTCAAATTATTGTAAATGTAAGATTTTGACAATCAGAGATACGAAAAGTGATTTTCTTGATGAGGCAAAGCTTGTTCGATACTACATGTGAGTGTAAAGCATATATGTTTGTGAAGTGTGATGGTGATGCAACTGATGATGCATTGATGATACAACTAACTCGTAACTTCTTTTGGATGTATTGTTTCATTGTGCTTTATAATGAATCACATTGTTTGATCTGTTTTTCATCTTACATTGCTGGAAAAAAAAAAAAAAAAAAACTGAAACAAAGGCATATCAACTTTTGGGGTTTTGGGTCTCGTGAGATTGCTGGGGGAAAAAATCATTAAAGAAAATATAAAAACTTGTTTGGGGAAAAAGAAACAGATGTTGTATACTTGTATCTAAACTTAAACCCACAAATTCAAATATTTATTTGTCTTTTTCTTCACGGAAATAATGGATGTTGCAAGTGGTGAGTCTGGTGACCCAATTTATCAGCACAACCCACATGCCCCATTAAAGCCCATCTGAAGATGTCTTTTTTTTGTTATGAAAACATTCATAATATTCCATGGCTGATTTATATTTTTAACTAAATACTAATTAGGTAATGTTATGAAAATATAATGTTATGAAAATATAATATCTTAATCTTTATAACTTTATGGTTCTAAAACATCTTATAGTTTGGGATAAAGAGAATAGCTTATAATATTTCTACTTGTATGGTTCTCAACTCATACGATTGCACCAAGTTTTAAATATACTAGGGGGACCGCGCTACGCGCGGGCATTTTATGTGATTATGTTTATTTACAGGATGATTGTAATTTTCAAAGCTAGTGATCAAGTTGGTATCTTAAGAGTTCAAACATTTGCGGGTATGGTGTTACTACAGTGATGGAATTATGGAATTTAGAGCACATTGAAATAAAATAACGTCAAATAAAACATTTGATTACTTTTGGTTATTTGCGGGAAAAAAATTATTGAGTTTGAACAGAGTAGTTAAGTTGCAGTGTTGTTGTGTGTAGTGATGTCAAGCAAATTAGTAATTCTTACGACGAAACTAAACCCCAGATAAAAATATTACCACAACAGACATGTCTTGTGTTTCACTATTTTTTTCTTTCCTTTTTTTGTATGTTCATTAATTAATAGAAATATTTAATATTAAGTATTTCACTGGTTAAAAAAAGAAATATCACTTTTTCTGCGTATGAGTAAGTGACAATCAACCATGCAAAAGAAAACTCATGTGATGACCGTGTTTTATTCTCGACCGAAATATGTCGGTTACAATGGTGATGTATTGAAACATTAAAGATTCCTCCCTTATTAAATCATGAAAACAAATTTCGCCATCTGTTTGAAGTAATAGCAGTCATCACATCTGATACGGATGTCTTCTTCCTCACACGTAAGTGTGAGTCCTATTTCATACAGTGTTTCCTTGTAGATCGGCAGTTCTCGGACTTGCACTCCATGCAATGTCCTTTTGATACTTTTCCACGTTCGATCACCCTTTGCCATGTTCTCTCTCCATCCGAGTGAGTCCAAGTAAGCTGTCCCCTCCTCCATTTGGCCCCTGCAGCACAATATAATCCCATATAGGTATATCCCGTCCGTGTAGGATCCTTGTGCCGCAACTTTGAGAAAATGTAGTCCGGCCTCTTGGTTGTCGTTGTGGAAGTACTCGACTATAGCCTTGATGTAATGTGCTTCCACGTTGCCGCTTGCAAGAGCTCTTTCCATGATGTCCTTGTACATGTGCACTGTTGTCAAAGGATGGAGCGCAAGTATCCTCATGTTTATTGCCTTGTACACTCGTGCGTCTGCCGCTGCTTTTGCCAAAACCGGTGAGGTCTCCATGACGGTGCGGAGCGTTGACATAGAGAACGCAGCAACTTCGGAGAGAATATGTGAGAGGATAAATTTTGGGTGTGATCCATATTTTTGGATGTCTCTGTGTATAGAACCGTCTGTCGAGTGTCCTCCTTTTATTGGGCGCAATCGTATTTGCGTATCACAATTTAATGTAGCGGTGATTTCGTGATTTCTTCCGGTGACTGCGTGAAATTTCTCATTTTTTAAAAGTTTAAAACGATGGGCGGCGAGATTCTGCAAAGAAGGCTGTCATTCCTGATTTGGATTTTTCATTTATATTACCATATATGACGCAGTTTTTTGATTATGTTTTATTATGAACGTATCATCAGTACCATTAAAACGTATAATTGACAAACTCCATCACCGCGATTATTCATTTACTTTTTAGATACGATTATGTGATTGATATGCTTTTCATTATTTATAACAATTACCAAAAACGGGATGCATTCTATAGTATTCCAAACTTAGACCTTATAATATTTTGATCGTCTATTATTGCTGATTTTGTATAAATGTTTGAAATTAGTACGAAACCATAATTCTCGTAATTTACATTCAAATATTCGTGGACGTATTTAATTGTTCCAGCTTATGGAAACCAAATTTCATAAAACTTTAATTTCCAATATAATACATGGCCATTAGTTGAGATTTTCGCCACCGTAGGTACACGAAACTTATTAATATTTGAAGATAATACATGGGCATGATTCTTCTAATAATTGCATGTATCTCATGGTTCCATATATAGCTTGTTCGTAAATCAAACCATTCGTAAAACAATGTCGATGTTGGTTATTTTATAAATAGATTTGTGCTGGTTATTTTATAATTAGATTCATAATTCGTAGCATCCTGTTATAAAACAATATAAGGAACCCAATTATTAAGTATCCATTTAGTTAGTTAATTTGTTATGGAATTTAAGTCTCATGAGTTTTAAAAATGACACAATGTATCTCCTCTTATTTTAAACGATTAGAATAGTAAGAAAACATCAATATTGATTTAACTTATTATTTTGATTTTTTTTAAAAAGGTAAATGAAAACATCAATATACTTTTTATTTTAGCGTGTTTGCTTCAGACTGTGTAATGTGTTTATGTTTGGTACTTATTTTGAACCAATATCTTTGGAAATAATGTCGTAATATCGTGACATTAATGTCCTCGTCGAGCGATGACGTTGGTACCAACAACTCAGGATTGGGTATTCTCTCCACATGTCTGTCCATTCCCTCAAGGCTGGGTCCCACCGGAAAAACATTCTGGCGGTCGCATTTCTCAGCTGGCGTGGTTCTGTCATGTTCGCCGCGATCCAACGGGTGAACCTAGTTGTTTGTACACCAACACTTCCCACATTATAAGGATGGGGTGGCAACCTCTGGACGGTGGGGATGTTGGGTTGTCTGAGGTGATTGAAGAGCCTCCATGAAGCTTCACAGGCGTGAATGTAACGAATGTGGTAGTACTCAGATTCATTCTCGTTGCTCTTTTCTCTTGAATGTGTCCCTGGAAGTGCGGTGGATTCTGTTATGTTAATTCCTCCGTCAATGGTTGTCCTCTTGAAACCGTATGTGATGGTTTTGATTTGTAAATCAAGATCGCCGAATCCTAGAGTAGCCGACCTGGAAATTGATTTTTGAGTTTGGTTGGAGTAATAATAAATATAATAAGTAATACATTTTGAATCTTTCAATGTTGGAAAACTTACGTTACGTAGCAAGTTTGTGGTGTAAGTCCGGCTGACCTATATGTCATCATCTTTCCTTCTCGTTCTTTGAAACCTGCATTGGACACATGTAATTGTGAATGCACTATCTGTGTGTTTTATTTAGTAAATAGGACAGAGCCGCAGGAGAATGAGCTCATAGTACTCGCATTAACAGTTGCTTAGCGAATACAAAAATTAGAATAACAAAGGTCTGACCAGTGATCTCTGTGTTGGCTTTTGCAAATCTGAGCAAGCGTTGAGTGTCCGAGGGCATGTATATCTCCTTGGTTATCGCACTAATTGTTTGGGGAGAACGATGGTTGTAGGTCGAAACAACGAAGAGGATTGAGTGACCGTCAAGGCATAACGTTAACGTAATCTTCGGCATTGCGACGTCAAACCCACCAATTGCATAGAGGGCGCCTTTACTGAGAAGGTGTTTGAAGGTGTTGAGACGGGCGACGTTGATTGTTGCTGAGATAAGAGTTGACTGTGAAGCACAAATTGAGCAATTGTTAGGAATATTCTGTGATAAGGGAAACACTCCTCGATGGTATTGGGCAGAATTTGGGTGGAGGAGAAGAATTTACCTTTCCATCGATGAGAAGCATCTCCACACCCATCAGCTCTCCGCATTTTTTGACATTACGGGCCTCCCAGAAACGGGGGAGCCTAGCAACGACTGACGGCGAGTTGCGGCCGGCTTTCAAATCGGAGAAGGAAACTGGAGCAGAAGCCATTTTCAGAGAAACTTAGAGAAGGAGAGAGATATGATGTTGAGACTTGGGATTTCGTGAATAATGAATAGAGGGGAGAGCTATTTATAGGGATTAGGAGTAGAGCCGTTACATTGCCCACAATTAAAGCAGGCGTTTCCTCGGTGTGATTATTTCCCATTGAAGACGGCGTTTATGGTCGGAGTGGAAGCAAGAAGGCCGGAGGCGAGAGAGAGAGAGAGAGAGAGTAAACCTAATCGTTGTTATCAGGCAACATAAGAAACGCAGTCGTTTGCAAGTCTCGGGTGTTGAATGTTAGTTTTCGGTTAACGCTTGTCCATTACGCCGTTGTGATTAAGAAAATATCATGGATCCGGTTAGGTCTGAAATTGGGCCGGAAACACTTAGTAAAACTTATGGGCCTTTGTGGGACGTAGGTTGTTGGGCCGTTTATCTGTGTTGCCGTAGCCGTGTTTTTAATTAGCTACGTTTGGCCAAATATGCCCCATTAGTAGCTAATGATTTTGGACCATTTGATTTTATCGGGTGAAGGAACGGTTGGAATCGTAGGCGACGTGAGATTCAATATTCGAGCGGCGGATTCACTCTCGAATCTACTGACACCATCTCCAACGGCCTTATCAGGGCAAGGTTTTAGATGGGTTTCAAGGTGATTTTATTTTAAAAATAAAGTTTTAATCAATCATTAAGCAAGTTTCCTGATACCCCAAAGTGTCACGGTTTGGTTGGTTGAATAAAAAGAAAATTGAAACACAAATTTAAAAAGAGGAAAAAGAGTTTCGTCGACATTTCGCCGCCTCGGTGAAAAAATCCTTCAGCTCAGAATCCGACACAAGCTCTCACCGGATTTCTCTTCTTCATGCCATCAGTTCGTTGCCTTGTTGTGGAGACCGCCGGATTCTCCATGCGCTGCGGATCAACAAGGGTAATTATTATTAACCCCTTTTAATTGGATCATTCAATTTGATAATCCAGTGAACTTTCTGTTTTTCTCTTCTATGTTTGTTTTGTTCTCTGCATCAACATCAACTGGCTTCAATTCGTTTATAACTATAAGTGTTCTGAATAGCGCTCTGCCTCTTGAAGAATCAATCTATCTTGATTGTCTTGAAGTTTTGTTTTGTAGGATTCAATTTTTGGATTGTGGATCATATAGATTTGTAGCTGCATTTGAGTTTCTATGATTTTGGATGTATTTTAAGGTTTTTTTTTTTGATTTTGCTTCTCGTTGACCCTTCACCAACTCTCCCGGAAAACACCAACGACCGGATAATCCTCCGGAATCAATTACACGATACACCTAATGGTGAAGATCACCCAGAGTGTCCTGATTGCATCAGAGTTATCTGGGATAAGCTTCAGCTTGCCGGAGTCTCTCAAAGGTTCATACTTTCCTCTTCTTTTGCGGATGTGTTGTGGCGACAATTAGCCCTAGAGCATTGAGAGATTGTTGCTGAAATTTAGTGAAATTGAGTTTTCTGGTCCTCTTAGCTGAGAAAGTGTCTCAATTTATTGCCCTTGTTTGACATGACGACATTAATGTTTTATGAATCTGATGTTTATTACATAGAATTAAAAGGTTCGTCTGCTGCTCAATTTTTTTCTCTATAGGTGTCTCATAGCTTGTTGGTTATCTCTTTGTATTTTCCATTTTCCACTCGAAGACATTATCTTTTCTTGTAACTCTTTAAAAATGGGCTGATATAGTTTATGAGCTAGTTACGGAGAAAAACTTTGAGTTGGAACTAATTGGTTTCTTCTTCCATAAACAATTTAAATGAAATTTACAGCTTTTTAGCTTGATTTATGTATTGGTTCCACATAAATGGTCTTCGTAGGTTGTGAAGAGCGCCCGAGTACCATTGGGGTCATTTTCATTGTCCACACCGACGGAGATGAGTTCGTTGACGGGAACACCATCCATCTTAGGCCCGGTTATCGAAATGGCGATCACATCTTTGTTGAATCTTAATGGATCATATGCTCCTCTTAGTACCGAGGATCCTGGAAATTCGAGGTACGCTTGTCACTCTTTCCCGGTGAGATGCTGAAGAAATTTATCAGCTTTAGTTTCTGTTCTCTAGTGTAAATCATATATCAGTACAAATTCTTGAGCTTTGATGTTTATTAAGCCAAAAGTGTTACTTTGAGATCTAAAGTGCGTCTAAGAAAGTTAGTAGTTACAAAGCATTTTGTTTTCAATGTTACAGACTTGACTTATGTCTATTGCCCATATTAAGTCTTTGTTCTGTTGCAAGGAGAATTCGTACTCCTAATACTTAAATATTCTAATAAGAGTTACACCTAATCGTAGTTAACTATTTCTTCTCTTTGTTTTCTAGCCTATCTGATTTTATGTTATCTTCTGTTTTGGATTAGGTATCTAGTCAAGGGCTCTGGTGATTCATTTGGTCTGCTTCACTTTGAAATACTGTCATTGTATTGGGAGGTAAGGGAAATAATGATATTATTAATAATAGAAGACATTACAACATATATCATGCCATCATTTATTAATAGGTGTATGTGAGACATGGTTTAAGTTGAAAAACATGTTTGTGAGGACCGATTATTGCATTTTCCAAATTACATGTACAGACTACGGATGTTGACAAACATCTTCATCTGCTTGTAGTAGTAGCACTTCTCGCATCTTGTGTCCATATCGTTGACCTTGCATTCCTTTCGCGGCCTGCTTGCTTTTAGCATTGTCACGTACTTGTTTTTCCTAATCACAAGGATGGCTTCAAGGGATCTTCTAACGTTTCTCCAGCATTTATCACCTCTCGCCATGTTTCTTGTCCACTCTAGCTTGTCTAAGTAAGTTTTTCCCTCCACAGTTTCACCATTGCACAACATTAGTATAACATATAGATAAATACCATCATCATACCCACCGTCAGCGGCTTTCTTCAAATGGTTGAGTCCAACAGCTACGTTATTCTGCAGGAAGTACTCTCGGATCCCTTTGACGTAGTGTGCTTCTACGTTCCCCCCGTCGGCGCACTTCTCCATCAGTTTCTCGAAGTTCTCGGCCCATCGTGGGAAACGTGTGAATGCACTTAGGTTGATACTCTTCCGAACTTCGCGGTCCTTTGCATGGATTGAGAGCTCGGTTGATGTGACCATCACATTGCGGACGTCAGTCCTGTCTGAACGGGCAACACGTGAGATAATATCTCTTAGGAGCTCGTCGGGGAGGGACTCCAATCGTGAAGAAGGTCTTCTCTCTCCCATTCTGGTTTCTTTTTTTTAGTATATGTTTGTAGTGTGGTGAGGTTAGTGGAAGCATTCCCCTTTTATAGGTGTTCTGTAGGTTGCTATTACATTGTCTTGATTAGGCCTTTAATGCATTGTAATTATTATCAGCGAGGTGGGGGCTTTTCAATTCTCTTTGAGAGTGCAGTAGTCAGTTGTTTTGTATGCGTTTCATTTGTGACGGCTACAAATATGATTCCATTGATATATAGTGATTATAGAAAGGAGATTAAATATCTTCGGCTTTAAATATTTGGTAATTTGTTCTGATTCCAGCGTATGTATTTTAATTATATTATTTGCTTGTCTAATTCTTTTCAAGAGTTAGGGATATACAATTTATAGTTTTGTTGAGGTTAGTGTGTTTGCGGCTGTATTAGATAGCAGAGGAATGTAACGTCCGGTTTTAATCGTGTTAAACTCTCTTTATTGTGTTTGGGAGCATTAATATTTTTCATTGGCGTTTATTAGGATGTTCGGTTGTAATTGTTTTAGGTTAAATTAGACTGTTCGAGCTATCCATCTATAATAAGACCAGAGTGTATGTGATGTATATGGGCTTTTTATAACTCTATTTTATTTTATCATGAGTGTGTGTACGAGTTTGGGTACTAATTTGAAAGCCCATTTGATTTGTAGTCCACTTGTTGGTTATTTCAAGAGGAACCAGTCATCTAGATAGGGGCTTGTAGTACAATCGTAGTTCATGATAGTGTTCACGTGGTGGGTGTACATAGTGTTCTATCCAGTTGGTGTAACATGCTTCTAATCATCTAGTTTTTGTAGGTGGGGACGTACGGACCGCTACTGGTTTTGGGTGCCAGCTGTTTACGTCTCCTGCTCTATTATAAGAGTCTCCTATTCAATGTAAGTGTTTCGTAAAGTGTGTTTATGATTACGGCTTCAAACATATTAAGAATCTGATAATGTGAAGATCCATTTAACGACTTTACTCATGATTACGAAAATAGTAAATAGAAAAGTATATTTGAAATCAACATTGGTTCCGTAAAGTAGAAGCAGGCTTTAAGCGTTTAGTAACTTCCGGTCACGTCGAACATTGTGTTGGAATCTTCTAGTTTCTTCAGACTCCATGGTTATCTGTTTATACATAGAGTTTATGTAGCTATATTGTGGTGGAGAACACGAAGGGTGAATATTAAGTGTAGTGGTTGAAGCCAAAGTTGTGTACATTACCTTATCAAATAGGCAGGTTGTTGAAAATCTCTCTGTACACAATATTGGTGACGTCCTCTTCCCCTGTCTTTCCTGATGTGTATTGTAATATCTTTAAACCTCCGGGGGACGTAACCCGCGAAAGAGCCACATATAGCTGACCATGAGTGAATACAGGCTTTGGTAAATAGAGCGCCACTTGTTTCAAACTTTGTCCTTGACTCTTATTTATTGTCATTGCGTAGCAGAGTCTGACAGGGAATTGCCGCCTTCGTAGCGTGAATGGATGCTTGTGGTCAGTTGGAGATAGTGTTATCCTTGGTATTAGTACCTTCTCCCCGATATGTGTTCCCGTAAGTATCTCTGCTTCTATCACCTTGTCTCCAAGACGTGTAATAACTAACCTTGTCCCATTGCACAATCCGTTTTTTTGATTCAGGTTTCTCAGCAACATCACAAGAACCCCGACCTTTAGGCAGAGTCGATGGTTTTGTATGCCAGGGAACTCGAGTGAGTTCAAGTACTCTTGCGTGTAGTTGTCAGCCGGTTTAGCCTCCGTTTCACTGCTGTCGGAGCTGCTCGACTTGACAGCAGGTTTAGCCTCTGTTTCAATGCTGTCGGAGCTTAAATACTCCTTCATCTCGGATTGGACCTTGGAGAGCATGTAGGTATTGATTTCATGGACAGTGTCATTCCTTGGCGTCAAAATGGCTCTCTCTGTCAAGTAGTCGTGGTTTTGGTAGTGGTGAATGAAGTTTGGGTATGCTGCATCTGTGATCGCATGTAAGTGGTCCTCAATATTTGGGAGGATAAATTCTGGATGCACGAGTACTGTCTCACTTTCACCCTGAGCCTCTTCTGCAGCTTGTGCTTTCTCTGCCGTTCCATTACCCACTCTCAATATCCAGGCTGCGAACTCTCTGTCTTCATCACGTAGCCGCATGTTCGTTGTTAAGGTAAACACAGAACATGAGTTCCAAAGGTACGACCTACTGATGGATGATGACACCGTATCTTGACGACCTCCTTGTTGCACAACTGGTAATATTTGTCTGAAGTCCCCTCCAAGTAAAACTGTCTTACCACCAAAAGTTTTCTCAGCTGCAGATTCATCTTCTGCAGATAGCAAATCCCTCAGAGTTCTGTCTACAGCTTCAAAGGCGTGACGGTGAGTCATTGGAGCTTCGTCCCAGATGATTAAATCTGCCTTGTCTATTAATCCCGCTAACATAGTCCCCCCCTTGATATCACATATTGTCTCTTCCCCGACTGATAAAGGTATCTTGAACCGCGAGTGAGCTGTTCTGCCACCGGGTAGAAGCAGAGCTGCAATGCCGGCTGAAGCTACAGGGATGACCACTTTTCCAATTGAACGTAGCTTCGCAATAATTGTCTTTTACAGAAATGTTTTCCCATTCCCACCTGGCCCATAAACGAAAAACAGTTTCCCTAGTTTCTTCTCCACTGACTCCAACACAGCCGCATAGATGTTCTCCTGGTCAACATTGAGTAAGTCGAACATCCTGTCATGCTCTTTCTTCTCTTTATATTTATCGAAGTTCAATTCTTGCCTGAGAACAGTATTGTTAATGTCTCGCAGTATTGTTTTGTCCGGCAGTGGCATCCCTGCAAAATCGGCTAAGGACTTGTCATTTTGTTTGAGAAGTTTCTCCACCTCCATCAACGTGTACTGCTGTAGCTGGGCCTCATTCAGGTTTAAAGCCGTGAAGGTCAGCTCTTTCTCCTTCTTGTATAGGATGTCTTCAGCTAAATGTTTCCAGACGTGTTTCCAAAGTGATAGCGGATCCGCAACTTGGCAATAGAGTAAAATTGTGACAAATAATTTCCTCATTTGACTTCCAGAGGCCCACTGTGATGGCTCGTCGAGAGCATCGTGCCATTCTTTGTCGTCGTCTAATAACCCTCTCGCGTAACATGCCTGTTGGAATTTTTCGTACGTAACACCACCTACAGAGTATATATCTTTGAAACTCGTTGGGCCTCTTAAAATGTTGACCAAAATGTGTAGGTAGTACAATTCCCCTCCTGCTGGACTGATGTAGACCCCTCCTCGGTGTCCACGTTTTCGTTGAGCTATTCCAAACAAACCTGGTCGGGAATTCAACGAAAGTAAGTGAGCGGGCTTCCTCGTATAAGACGTTGGCTTCCATCCAAGCGGTAAACATAGTTCTCTCTATATCCTCCGTTGATAAAATAGTTCTAAGATCAGTTTTTCCATCAAACATTAATCTGTGTTGACCAGGCAGATGAATTGTCAACTTGATCACCGCAGGCTCGTTATGATGAACAGGGAAACCAAACAATCTCCACGCAGCCTCATATGCAGAAAGGAAACGGCAATCGAGATACTCATTGATCTCATTGATGGGTTGTTTCTCTGACTTGTCCCCACTTTTTTTTTTAGATTCCTTCTTTGAGCTCTCGATCGCAATAGTAGCTTTATCCACTCCTTTTGCGATGTACTTGAACAGGTACTTAATGGCGCTGGTTTTGCAACACCACTCGACGTTTATATGAGCTTTGTATTTCCTAAGGAGGCTGAGCTTATGAGGCACAACATTCCGATTATCTAGCTTCATATCACATTTCTCAACAAATTTAGAGCCATCATCTCGCCTTCTGTAGATAACGAATCATGACTTGTCGATGCTGGTTTCTTGTGCAAATGGTTTCGGGAAATTCTTGGTGCACTTTCCCTTCTCCATACACGGTGAGCTTTTTCGACTATCACCGCAAGGCCCGTGTATCATATGTCGCTGAACTAAATCAAAACCTTCTCTGTCTGTTTCTCTGTCAGGAATCTCAGCTGATATGTAATGGTCAATGATGGATGGCGTGGCTTCTTGTGTGAAACCTCTAAACCATAAGAGTATGTGTGCGTGTGGGAGGCCTCGCTTTTGGAACTCGATGGTATAGACAACTACAAAGAAAGATAGGTTCTCGTTAGTTAGATGTGAAGTTCCAATACTTGTTGACAACGTTTTGTTTTAAAAATGCAGGGCTTTACTACCTGCTTCCGGTATTGGGAAGAAGGTTCCTACTTTGAAATCTCGCATCAATTCATCAAGCCGAAGTTTGAAAGCTCTCACTTCTAGATCTGGCCTACTGTTTGCTGATTCCCCACCATATTTTTCCAGGTGTTCACTTATTTCATCCCAATTTGGGTTAGCAGTGACTGTGATGAATAGGTGAGGGTTACCAAACCATCTGCAAATGGCAATGGCGTCGTGGTACTTCTCAGACATATACTGTGGCCCAGCTGTGAATGATGAGGGTAAGATAACCCTTGTGCCAATACTTTTTGCGTCTGTGTCTCCTCTGTCAAGTGCATCGCAAATGTTGTTGTACAAATCGGCTCTTAATTTCTTTTGGTTGAGTATAACGAACCGCAGCCTCTCTTGCTCCGTTGCAGTGTATGCGTCTACGATATATTGGTGCAATAAACGTCCTGACTTTATAAGTATCATTCCTTCTGTCATTCTTGTCTGAAGCTGGTACGAATAAAACTCCCTCATTGTCATTGTTTCCCTCTTCACTCTGGATTCTACTGTTGGGCAGTATGGTATTTGAGGGTGGTAACCGGTTTCACCATATGGGAAAAGAAGAGGATACTGCAAACTCATAAAGAGAGGATGTAGGTCACTGATCATTTGCAGAGACAAAGATTTAAACTGGACAACGACATCTCTTTGCCCGCTGTGTAGGTTGAAGTCTCCAACTATTAGGCTGGCAATCTCATCTGCACTTGGTAAATCGTATTGTCTTCCACGCTGTTTCTGACTAATCAACCTTATGTTAAATTCCTCTCCAGTTCCTGATTCATAACGATCCCTCGCATGTCGGAAGGTCTGAGCAAGATGGTTATTTAAATCTAGCATCTTGATGAGTTGCTCAAGTATCTTCTCATCAACCTTAACTTTAGACTCTCCACGGCTCATGGATTTCATTCGGTTCTCTACTTCATTGGCTGTATCGTAGATGTATAGCTGGAGAAACTGTGGTGGTTTCCCATCTGCTGGAAAAAGGGATCCCATCCGGTGGTGGTTCTGGCCATGGACTCTGAACGTAAATGGTCCCGGTGTTCCCGTAACTGTGTGGTCAATTTTAGCTCCCATTGAGGTGAAGGCTAGGAGCGAGTTGAGGAGGCGGTTGTGTTTGCGGTAAGTTGGTGTATCTATTAGTTCCTTAAGCGGTGACGGTGGCTCTTTAACTGGTGGCAGTTTTACACGCCCTTGTTGACAGCATATGGTGAAAAGCTTCCTCGATGAATGGGTTGGTCTCCCTATAGCCTCACCTTTCCAAACTAATGCATTACAGAAAGAACAGGTCATGAGCTCCGTAAAATTGGATGTATTTCCACTGGTTGATCCTGCAAACGATCTGCGATGTTAGTTTAGAGCAATTTGTGAAAATTAGGTGATTGGAATGGTCGTTAAGGGTTTTACTCTGTCGGGATTCACCATCACGTTTAACGTATGCTCTTTTCCTAGCTGAGAAGTAAAGGTTTTCATCAGTATGAGTGGGCAAATATGGATTAGGTCCGCAAGAAAGTAAGGCCTCGTGTTAAAATATCACTAATCTCTTGAGTTCTTGGTGCACTTACATTCTGTTGGTTTTTGTGTCTTTTTAATGGCAATTGATTGGCGCCGCATATCCCGAGCTTTTTTGGAGACGGCTGGAAAAAATGGCGAGGAAGATGAGGAGAATACATTAATATTAATTTAACGGCGCCGATAGCCAGGTAACATACCTTCCTTCGGAGTCAGTTCTTGGGTGTGAGGAAGTTGGTCAACCATGGGGCTAGAAACTTGTTGGTGCACCACTATGTAAATGAAGATTTAGAATGTTTTAACTGGTTTAGTAGTTTCTTCATCGTAGTTGTCAAAATGATGAGTGTGTGACGATAAATTGGAGGCCTTACTATCAGTTCTTCTGCTAGATCGTTTTGAGGCAATTATCTTGGACCGTAATTCCCTAGCTCGCTTTGCCAAGGCTATTTAATATGGAAACGTATTACGATGATAGTTTTATTAGGGGAAATTTGTATATGTAGAATCATTGCAAACCTCTTCACTCTAAAGCCTCTCTGCTTTCAAATACTGGGATGTTTGAAACAGGGATATATTCGGTTGTGAGGCATGGTTGGGGTCTGTTATCTTCTCTGTCACCTGCACTTATTCCACATGGATGAGTGAAGTAATGTCTCACCATTTTCATTAAGAATGTTTTGTTCTCCTACCTTCCTTTGGCTTCGCTGGTCTACCTCGCTTTTTGATTGTTTGCTCTACCTTTGGCTTCGCTGGTCTACCTCGTTTTCTGATTGTTAGCTCTGGGACTTCTTTGGCTTTGCCTTTCTCGTTGACTACTGTTTTAACCGTTTTGATAAACTTTTTTGTTTCAGGAGGAATTATGATAAACTTGTTTGTTTCAGGAGGGAACTATGAGCTCTCCTGTCTATGGAAAGGACTACTAACTTCGGGTCCAGATGTTACAAAGGTATTGGTTAGACACAATTGTAACCCCCGTTTTTCACCTGGAAATTAGGTGAATTTATTTGTGATTAATGACATCAGTTTTATCTTTTACATATAGATTTTTATTTTTCCTAATATAACCACTTTATAAACTTGGAACCCTCATCTATGTAGTTATAACAGTGGCAACTATACATATAAAAGGACATGCAATGACAACTCTGCGCACATTGCTAGTGTTTCCAGAACATGGAGATTCCATTGAAGACAGGCTTGGAAAGAATGTTGATGGAAGTTTAGGCCATTAGAAGAAACCACTGATGAGAATGTTGAGAGGAATGAAGAGTTTGCTGATGTCCAAAAGCAAATAGGTTAGTCAATGTGAACCATGAGTGAATTGTTGAGTGGATATTATCTGACTTTGTTAAATTAATGTGAAGACGATTTTGTAAACAAATGACGATTCTGTTGTGAACTTTCAAGTTTCGGATGAACTCCCAAAGCAAATAGGTTACTCAATGTGAAGCAAGTGTGGCTAGTTCACTTTTTGTTAGTATACTGTAAAAAAAACAGTTTAAATGAAATTGATCGTCTCAGATTTCTTCAGAACACATGATTGATATTTGATTAAAATCAGTTGTTTTCGGGAAATTGAAAATATTGCCCTGATTACTTTTTGAATTATTTTTGATCTTTTTTAGTAGGAAATACGGAGACCTTTAACATAGAAATTGAAATGTTTAAATATTCAATCTAACAATGACACCAAACGAAAAACAAAACAAAATGAGAAACACAACATGAAACCATTGACATAGACTTTAATTGGATTTTTAAGGAACGGAGTTGTTCCCCTCTGCCTCTATCCCCTCCGGGCCTTCTTTGCTTTTTTTTTCTGTAGTTGCCAGTGCCTGATCACTCACTGAGGCGTTACTAGTACTTCCACCGTCAGGCAGCTGTCCGTCTGGAGTTTCTCTGTTCTCCTCAGGGTATTCGACAACAGGAGGGATGCCGGCTATAGCAGGTCCAGTCGCCTCCACCTGTACGTGTTCATCGAGAATTAGTTAGTTTCATAAGTAGATATGTAATTAATCAACGCTCCAATCTCATGGGAAGAACCTGGTTGGCAAAAGTTGGAGTAGGAAGAGCATCTTTGGTTTCGTAAATACGGGAAGTGGTGAAGGCTTGATGGTTTGACGTGAAATTGTACTCTGTTACTTTTATTTGGAATGTGAAAGTCTTGCCGACCATGGCTGTGATGATTTCTGGTGTCTAGTTCTCCTACAACACAGCAAGTGTAGATGGTTAATGTCTCTATGACCTATTCTCTAGTTAGACGGGTAAGAGCAAAGTTGGAGGAATCGTACAGTTATAGCAGCAGCGTCAGAGGCACTCATGTTTGTCAGCTTGGTCATGTCGGTATCAAAGGCTACGAAGACGGCGGTGTTGCCTGTGTCTGACACGTCGAACTCAACACGGTATCTATAACATGAAACAAATTGCAAGGAATTAGTATTACTTTTGATGCAAGGGAAATTCTGGTTTCCGCATGAGTACCTGATGAGTGCAACAGCGTTGGGATCGTGGCAGGCAGTACAGTTAAATGATGAAATTCCCCGAAGTAGTTTCCGCGAACACTTTGAGCATGACATGTAAGACCATCCGTTTTTAGTCTACACGCCCTTGATTTCGGCAACGCATAGGAAGTCAACCGGCTGAGACATCGAGCAAGTAGGAGACACGTTAGTTTTACATATAGAGTGTGGTTACACATGCCCTAATCGGTATTATATCAATAAAAACAGCGGACATGGGTGTCAGACTTGAGAAGGTAATCATTTAGCTCCGCAATAGTGACGGTCTCCAGCTTCTGCACACGGTCGTACCTCGTTCCGTTGGACATATGGACACCGGTGTTGCCTCCTAGCCTGAAATGTTTATGTCGAAATGAAAAGTAGTTATAGCGGGAGATTCGTACAGAGTTGCTGTTCTGGTAGAGATTATAAGTGTCTTACGCTTGTGTAAACTTTCTAGTAGCCTGGAGTTCGTCATCAAAATAAAAGTGGGTGCCAGATGTGGCGTTTAAGAACAGCTTCCCTGCGGACATGTGGAATAATATGCACTTGGCGTCATGTAAAGGGCTAGAAAGCACTCTGAGGACTTATGTGAAAGGGGTCGTAGCTTACCTCCAATGGATTTGGGGTTGATGGTGGTTGCTAGCATCACTTTTGGTACTTCTCCTGTGTTTTGCAACTTCCGGTCCAGCTTGTCCGCCAAACCATCAAATGAAGTGAGGCATACAGAGCGGCCACTGTGTGACAGATATAACAAACTTTTTTATTAAAAACAAACGAACAACTTTTCTCCCAAACGCAGTGCTAAATATAACCAAACGCTCTAGACAGAGTCACAAAGAATAATTATAATGTAAATGTGTTCAGTATTAAGTTTTTTCTTATAAATAAACGAACAACTTTTCTCCCTTTTTCCCTTTCAGAGTTGACTAATTCATAAGTTTTTTCAGCTCACAAAATAAGACAAAATTATGTTTTAAGAATATCATTTCTGTTTTGTGTTTCTGTGATTAAAAAAACCTCAAATCTGTTATAGTTCTACCAATTACCAAACGCATAAATTAAGCTTAATGCAGTGCTAATTATCAGCATTTACAATGCTTTATTTCAGAATATAACCAAATGCAGGGCTAAATATCAGCATTTCAAGCGAAAATTAATCATACAAACGAAATAGCCATTGGGCAAGTTCCATTGGAATTCATTTCTCAAGCAGGTTGAAAACAGAGAAGTAATACACAAAAGCAAGAATATCTCAAATACTCAATTCTGAAGAAGTCACACATCAAACGCAGTGCTAATTATCGGCATTTCAAGCGAAAATTAATCATACAAATGAAATAGCTATTGCCCAAGCTCCATTCGAATTCATTTCCCAATCAGGTTAAAAACAGACAAGTAATACACAAAAGCAAGAATATGGAGCTCGAAATATAATGCACATAAGTTAATTTTGTTTGTTTGTAATTGTTGTTCGTATTGAAACTCAAGTTGAAATAAATGTTTTGCACCTACAGTTTATCAATTTATTTTAAAAGCACCTGGTTACTTATCCAGATCATGTCTCGAATATTACCTCGCCAGACGAATGTGGGCCATGACTCGATCGGGGATGTTTGTGGCTTCATTTATGACTGTCTTGATGGAGGTCACCTCGCCGATTATGTCTGAAATGCAGAGGTAAGATTTGGAGTTTTATAACACCAAATTAACCCATACAATGAACATAGAACAGGGAACAATGTAGATTAGCAATAAGAATAACGAAATATTAATCTGAGATGAAGCTCTAAGAGTTTGGGAAAAATAATCAATCAAAACCAAAGGCGATCAAACATCGTTTTAATGATTGCGGTTATCCTATCTATATATAGTAATTTCTTCACAGAACAACAGAAGTGATTTTAAGATGAAGTACGCAAAGATGGATGACGACGGACCTGGGAGTTCGGAGTTTGTGTTAGCCAATGCGAGGAGTTGATCATGATTTCTGAACCGGAACATCTCGGTTGGTATTGAGAAATTAGTTTCAGGGGCTTCTTCGAAGGAAGTGTTGTCTGTGAAGCGGATGCAAACAGGGGAATCACATAACTTGAAATGTGAGTTACTCCTGGTGACGTCGAACCCACTAAGCGCATAGATGGCGCCGTTATTAAGGAGGTGCTTGAAAGTGTTAAGCCGGGAAACGTTAATTGACGCTGTCATCATGGTTGACTGAAAGCAGAATCGAGAATGATTGTGAGACAGCTCTATATGTATGGTTCAAGAGGACTGTTTCTGTGACTGTTCCCCTCTGCCTCTATCCCCTCCGGGCCTTTCCATCGATGAGAAGCATCTCCACACCCATCAGCTATCCGCCTTTTTTGACATTACGGGCCTCCCAGAAACGGAGGAGCCTAGCAACGATTGACGGCGAGTTGCGGCCGGCTTTCAATTCAGAGAAGGAAACTGGAGCAGAAGCCATTTTCAGAGAAACTTAGAGAAGGAGAGAGATATGATGTTGAGACTTGGGATTTCGTGAATAATGAATAGAGTGGAGAGCTATTTATAGGGATTAGGAGTAGAGCAGTTACATTGCTTACAATTAAAGCAGGTGTTTCGTCGGTGTGATTATTGCCCATTGAAGACGGCGTTTATGGTCGGAGTGGAAGCAAGAAGGCCGGAGGCGAGAGAGAGAGAGAAAGAGTAAGAAATGCAGTCGTTTGCAACTGCAAATTTAACCTAATAAAGGTTCCAAACGTTGTCGTTTTCACAATCTGTTTAATTCTTTTCGGATTTATTTTATAAATTGGTTTATATTATAAATTGGTTCGTTCTGGTTAATGATTCGGGTTAATAAGAGAGGATTTATAAATTGGTTTATTTTATAAATTGGTTCGTTCGGGTTAATGATTCGGGTTAATAAGAGAGGATTTTTCAGTTGGGCCCATTATTATGTCAATAAACATAAATCCAAATCGATTTGTCCAAAAATCCTTTTGTTGCGTTTCTTCTGCATTTGACCTTTTCTGGATCGCTTCTTCTCTATGCGGATCTATCTTCGTTTCATCATGACTCATATCCTTTTGATTTGTTCCGGATCGCTTCTTCTCTATGCGGATCTATCTTCGTTTCATCATGACTCATATCCTTTTCATTTGTTTGCTTGCTTCTCTCAATCGCCTCTTTACCTCCCTTAGTTTTCAATTTTAGATTCTCTGTTTCTCGCACGATTTCTCACTCCACCAATCTCCTCCGTCTTTAAAGGGTTTTAATCTCAAATTAGGGTTTTCTTTAGCTGCAATTGTAATGATAATTGATAATTGATAGTTGTGGTTAGATTGTCTCCGATTCGATTCTCGGAAACCTCAAACCCCAACGACCCATCAACCAAAACCCACGAATCAACCAATCCATCACCAGATTTTGACACCGTCGACGAATCCAACCTCCGTTCAAGATCCAAAGACCATATTAGGTAAACCATTGGAAGACATCTCACATATAGGTGCAAAGAGATTTCACGTATAGGTCTCCGATTGGATCAAAAAAAAACTAAACCAAACCAAAATTTGAAGAAGGTGTTGACGTGGAATAAAAGAGATTTTAGAAGGTATCATTTTTGATGACGTGTTCACAGCAGAAGAGAATAACTTGAACTTTATATATATAGATTAATTTTGTATCTGCTCAAAAATCAAATGAAACGTCAGAGTATGGTGGATCTCTGACGTGTTTGGAATAAGTTGATGTTATTGCCACGGAAGCCTTTTACTGCATCGGAGGATGTACATGTCGTCTTCTGGACCATCGAGGCTTTAATTTGTTTGATTCATAAATATCTCCATCTTCTTACCCAATTTGTATCTGGTGTATACTCTTTTTCGTTTTTGTTTTTAACTTTGAAAGCAATCTAAAAAGCAACAACTAAAGAAAAGAATATTCGAATGATAGAAAGATTCCAACAACTACCAATCACCCTAGTCATCACATCTAAAAATAAAAATATCATAGAAAATTTACTAAAAGAAAATCAATCTAAAAACAAAACAAATGAAATCGTGGCAAAGGAAAAACAACAAATTTGCATGAAAGTATAGCATAATATTTAACTAAATTAATAGTGAAAAAAATAACTCAGCGAAACCATCACAACTTTATTCTAGACTTTGTTACAGCTTTTGTTATTCGTTATATAAGACAAAAACAAAAGCTTATGCATCTCGTAACTACGTCTCACACAAAACACAAAACACATTAAGTCACTTAACATGATCTCTAGCTACTTGGACAAAACAAACAAAACACAAGACTATATATTAAAGTACCATAAAACTAAAACTCAAGCCCCACATCAACAAGTGGCTGATCTGTTTGACTTGCCAGCATCTTCTCTTGCGGCTGAAGCCTCCCCCGTGCGTGCACACCCGAGACGTTTCTCTTCTCTGACTCTTCCCCACTCGTGCAACGACACGTGTAATCTTTTCCCCGCGAGCAAAAACTCCGCCGCTTGAACCGGAGTCACAACCTCCACGATCTTCCTAAGCGTCTCAAACCTCAGCCTATCAGCTTCTGCCATTACAACCGCCATACACTCTTCATGCTTATCTAAAGCATCCTCCACCGCCACGCCGGCCTCCACCAAATCAGTGGCGTAAGCCGTGACTGCGATCGGCATATCCGCAACATCTTCTTGCAGATTCGCAGCTTTCTTCGTTATCTTGTCTTCTTTCTGTATCACCTTTATGTGTAACTCGTTGATCTTCGCAAGCTGCGTCGCGGTAAGATCACTCATGGAACCATCAGTACTGTTGTTTGCATCACCGACGTTTTCATCGATCTTGAGGAGATACTCAGAAAGATGGGTTTCGGTTTGGGATCCGCACATAGCGTATATGACTCTGATGAAAGAAGAAGGACGACATCCTCCCATCCAAAGCAAACCGTTCTCTAGAGAAGAGTTCCACGACGGTGCAAAGTAGCTGGAGCAGCATCGGTGAGAGAGCTCTGATCGTCTCTCCGTGTACTTTTGGAAGTCATCGACGATTTTACCAACGAGTTCTCCGAGTTTGCGATCGTTTTCTTTGGATCGTTGACTCATGAGTGCTTCTTTGAGATCAGCTATGTGTTTAGATTGTAAACTCATCCACTCATAGTAACATCCTTTTTGAAGCTGCTCAGTCTCATAACGCGAAGAACCACTAGTCGCCATCTTTTTTCGTTGGTAAATTTTCGTGAATATACTTACTCGTTACGCTATAGTCTTATATACATGGGATTGGTGCATGTATGTGCTTTAAAATCATATTATATATGTGCTCTAAGTTAAAGAACAACATGCATATACGGTGGTACGTGGAATCAAGATACGATGGGCGTTTTGGCGAAATCGTGGATTAACCTTTATTAAATTGGATGTTTTCTCTCTTGGTTTGTGGATCTTTGCTTTTTTAGACGGAAACGGACAAAAGGGCATGGATGAAAATACTAGTAACTGGCAAAATTATTTTGGACCTATTGTATTTCAGTTTGTTAAACAAATGAAAGATACTAAAATATCTTCTTTGTGGGAATTTCGTAAATAATGGTTAAGCAGTCGAACGACAGAAACGATCGAAAAACTATTCGTGTAATAAAATCATAACTCAAAATAAATTGTAAATGAATAAACTAATATTTGAAAAAAAAAAACTCCAGATATTTTGTTATTTGGATAAGATTTCTACTGCGTTTATTCGACTGGTCGCAGTAACATTTAGGGTAATAATCAGTATAGTCATACACGCACCTTTAAGACTGTCGCAGTAAATTTAGGGTAAACATTACTGGAAATTTAAAATGATAAATATACTGTGGGACATGTCGTTTTAAGACTATTCCGACATAAGTACAGTTAATTGTTGAAGACACGAAGTCTTTAAAATGAGTTGGGACAGCTAAAAGAAAATGAATGCACGTGACTCTCAAGTTTCAACTACTGTAATTCGTTTACTTTACTGCTACACAGCACTACGTAGCCGTAACATTCAAAGCCCAACCATATTCATCTTATGGGCTTTAAACAACAATGATAATCCTTGTCAAGGAAAAAAAACGATAATTGATGTCAAATGATTTCGTCTTGGCTTTGGTTTAACATTTTTATTTAAATTCACAATTTTGTAAAATTGTGTCACTAATAAAAATAAAACATGTGTGATCACCGAATAGTAACAAGCGATTTACTAAAGTTGGATCCAAAACACATCACTAGATACAAAAAAAAATTCCCAATATTAGTAAGTAAAGTTATATTGGAATATGATGCTAGACAGAATTAACTGCCTAATGCCTAGAGCAATGTAATTTGTCTTTAATCCAAGCTTAGTGTTGACCAAATCTTATTAAAAAACTGTATAATCTGTAACGTACATAATTAATCATGTGATCAGTTTCAAAAAAGGTAACGCAAAAAGTCGATCTTACATTTATTAAATTTCTTATGAATATTATGGACACATCAATTAATAATAAATTAATCTTCTTTTCGAATGTGTAAGAATTTAGTGAGAGAGACACAGAGAGTATATGGTTGAGCTGTGAAAGAGCTGTGTCTCTCTCTCTCTCTCTCTCTTTAATAATTCCTTCTTCCACATTACTCACTTCTTCACAGTTCACACTAATGTTCTGAAATTTGTTCTCACTTTTTCATTCCTACTTTACCCTTCATCATCCTTCAAATCTCCCATCATCTGCCATCATTCCACTTCAGATGTCTTGTTGTGTGAAGCAATGAAGACGGAGATGAAGAAGACGGCTCAGATCTATATCCTTCTCCTTTGTCTATTTGCCTTCTTCTTCTTCATAGGCCACTCTCACTCTCACTCACTCACTTCCAATGGTGATCTCTCCGACAAGGAAGTCCGACTCATCCGACAGCGGCAGCTCCTCTACTACCGCGACGACTTCGGCGACCGCGGAGAGAATGTCGTCGTCGATCCATCTCTGGTTTTCGAGAATCCTCGACTACGAAATGCTTACGTAGCTCTCCAAGCTTGGAAACAAGCCATTCTCTCTGATCCCAACAATTTCACCACCAACTGGAACGGCTCTAACGTCTGCAGCTACACCGGAGTTTACTGTGCTCCCGCGCCGGATAATCCTCGGATCCGTACCGTCGCCGGTATAGATCTCAATCACGCTGACATTGCTGGTTATTTGCCTCAAGAGCTTGGTTTGTTAACGGATCTCGCTTTGTTCCATGTTAATTCGAACCGGTTTTGTGGAACCGTACCGCATCGGTTTAACCGGCTTAAGCTTCTATTCGAGCTTGATCTCAGCAATAACCGGTTCGCCGGAATATTCCCTGCCGTTGTACTCCAGCTGCCGTCGTTGAAGTTTCTGGATCTGCGGTTTAACGAGTTCGAAGGAGCTGTACCTCGAGAGCTCTTCAGCAAAGATCTGGACGCGATTTTCATCAACCATAACCGGTTCCGGTTTGAGTTACCGGATAATTTGGGTGATTCGCCGGTTTCCGTCATCGTTGTGGCGGACAACCAGTTCCACGGCTGCATTCCGACGAGTTTAGGCGATATGAGGAACTTGGAAGAGATCATCTTCATGAACAATGGGTTTGATTCGTGTTTGCCGTCGGAGATTGGCCGGTTGAAAAACGTAACCGTGTTTGATTTCAGTTTTAACGAACTTGTGGGGTCGTTACCAGCGAGCACTGGCGGGATGGTTTCGTTGGAGCAGTTGAATGTGGCGCATAATAGATTCTCCGGCCAGATTCCTGCAAGTATTTGTCAGTTGCCGAGGCTGGAGAACTTCACTTTCAGCTACAATTTCTTCACCGGAGAGCCGCCGGTATGTCTCGGTTTGCCTGGGTTTGATGATCGGCGTAATTGTTTGCCGGGGAGACCTGCGCAGAGATCTCCGGGGCAATGTGCAGCTTTCTTATCTCTGCCGCCGGTTAATTGTGGTTCGTTTGGATGTGGCCGTTCTGTTTCTCCTCGGCCTCCGATTGTTGTTCCGTCACCGCCGAGAACGCCATCTCCTGGTGGTTCTCCTCCTTCACCGTCGATTTCTCCTAGTCCTCCGATTGTGGTGCCTCCATCTCCCGGTGGTTCTCCTCCTTCACCGTCGATTATTCCTGGTCCTCCGATTGTAGTGCCTCCATCTCCCGGTGGTTCTCCTTCACCGTCGATTACTCCTAGTCCTCCGATCGTGGGGCCTCCATCTCCAATCTCTCCAATTCCTGGTCCTGTTTCGCCATCTAGTCCTCCGATCATTGTCCGGTCTCCTCCGTCAACTCCACCATCACCGGGTTCTCATTCACCGCCTGCTTTCCCTAGTCCACCCTCACCACATCATGGTCCTCCTTCACCCTCTGTTCCTCCAGGTGTAGTCCCGTTAACTCCTCCACCTCCAGTTTACTCTCCTCCGACTCCACCTTCCATACACTCTCCTCCGACTTCGCCGCCTACTGGGTACTCTCCTCCATCTCCGCCATCCACAGGTTACACTCCTCCATCTCCGCCGGGTACAGGTTACACTCCTCCATCTCCGCCGGGTACAGGTTACACTCCTCCATCTCCGCCGGCTACAGGACACACTCCTCCATCACCACCGCCGGCTACAGGACACACTCCTCCATCTCCACCGCCGTCTACAGGATACACTCCTCCATCTCCACCGCCGTCTACAGGTTACACTCCTCCATCTCCGCCGGCCACAGGTTACACTCCTCCATCACCACCGCCGCCATCACATTCTCCTTCACCATCACCGCCACATCCATCACAACCACCTGGTCCACCTCAAACTCCAGTTTACTGCGCTCACCCGCCTCCTCCCCCACCGCCTCACTTGCCGTCACCGCCTCAATTTTCACCCCCACCCTACTACTACAGCTCACCACCACCACCGCATTACTCATTACCTCCACCACCACCGCATTACTCATTACCTCCACCACCACACTCACCACCGCAACACTCACGTTCACCTCCGGTTTATTACTATCTATCCCCACCACCTCCACCAACACCAGTTTATACTCCTCCACCGTGCATACAATACTCACCTCCTCCGCCTCCGACCGTCCACCACAGTCCTCCGCCATCACAACCGGTTTACTATAATTCACCTCCACCTCCTCCGCCCGTTCACTATAATCCACCGCCATCATCACCACCTCCTCCGGTAATTCACCACAACCCACCACCGCCATCTCCAAAATACGAGGGACCATTACCGCCGATTCCCGGAATTTCATACGCTTCACCTCCTCCGCCTCCCTTCTATTGATTATTTTCAGACTTTTCCTCTCACTGGTCCCACCAAGTTATGCCTAAACCCGAAGCCGCAAACGGTGTCGTCTCAGTAAACACTATCAAATCGATGGAGACAAATAGACACGACGTCGTTTTCATCATTTCTTGCAGAGACGTGATGATGGTGGAATATTCTCTAAAGAAGAGAAAATTAGAGTGTGCAGGGGAAAGTTGTATGTATAGAGGAAATTATATAAAAAAAACAAAATTTGGAGCAAACCCATCTTTTATGCTCCTTATTTCTTTCTCATTAGTATTGTTAGCTCATTTGATAATTGTTATCACTGTTGCTTTAAAATTTTATGTTTTTTTTTTTTTTTTTTTTTTTGTGTTTTCCTTTTCTCTCTTATATATTATACTATCTTTTTGGCACTCCTTATTTAATTTCTGGTATGTAGTATGTACGTAGTGTTTTTAATAGAAATTCGCAATTTGGCATAATCAATAAGCATATCTTACATGAAACATGTGTGTGAGTGTGAATACAGCGCGAAACGCATCGTTGGTAATGAAGGAAGCAAGTAGGGCCAGTGTCACATGTGTCCCGCACCACCTGCCTACTTGCTGTTCCAATTTATTATTACACCGTCGGATCCTTGATTGCCGCTTTATTTTTTTTATAAAAAATAGTAGTGTTCAAATTTGGGTTTTGTACTTCTGAATATTTATTTATTGGGATTAGTATACTTATTTATTCAGAGTTTACGTTAAATCAGTCATGTCGTGGGACAGAAACTTGTGGTCAATTGGATTTTCTTGGCGTTTAATTTTACACTTTTGTTTTTATTTACCGTAGTTTGAATTTGAAACTTGAGAGTGAAACTTTCGGAAGAAGAAAAAGCATGAGACCTAGAATTCCCTGCCGACAAAATTACTTATGTTTGGTTTTTCTACATTCGAAGCCCCCGAATTATAAAGTTAAATATTCATATTGGATTTTGGAGTGATTTAAGGTAATTTGTATTAAAATGACAAATTCAGTGTTATTTAAAGTTGAATTCTAAAAACTCTTTTAAAATTCAGTGTTATTGAACTTGTGATTTTAAAATCCACTGGAATGTTATTGTAAATGTTTTTAAAAGTGGATTTTAATAGATACATTTGATTTTAGAGTGATTTGATGAGATTTTCATATTAAAAATAAGAGACTTTAAATCACATGGTTTTAAATGAGATTTTAGAATGATTTAACTAAAATCACTTGAAATTCTATGATTCACACAAAACTCCATAAAAATCAAATCACTCTGAATCATTCTAAATCCCTAATTCAATACAACCCGCTAAATCTTTTACTAACAGCCAGAAAAAAAGAAAAAAATTCAAACAAACCTTTTAAAAGTCTATAAGTAACCAGACAATTTATTTTGGATAAACTTTAATTTAGGATGTAAACTAAAAATTAAAACATATTTCTTACATTTCACAAGAAATGTTTTTCTTAGACTTATTTATTGTTTAAAATAGTGTTATTATATATTTTCAAGTCAGTATAATTAATCTCACTTAATTTTTATTTTAATCTTATTCAAAACTAAACAACATTTGAATGTTAAATCATTTGTATTTAATTACTGCTATATATATACTAAATAGAATTTTTTGGTGTTGTTGTTGTTGTCTTAAGTGTTTTTTTTTCTGTATGTGTAAAATATATAGATTATGTATATATATATTAACCATATAGAAAAAAATACCCAAATGGGCTAAGAATAATGAATGGTTGTTGATGTGTATTTTATGGGTTGTAATAGCTAAATGGCCTTTATAATCCTACTATGTTTTTTTTACAATACTTTTCTCCACATTTTTTTTTTCTTTTTTGAGAAAAAAAGTTATTTTTCTCCATCAATTACATCATGCTTCTTTTTTTTTTTTGGTGGTTTGTGTGGGAAACAAATGTTCCCCACTATTTATTCATACGACAAAATTAAGAAATGCAAACATTCGATGCGCAGATCCAAGTACATCATCCTGTAAAAGAGAAGTAACAACCAACGGAGCTGCTACAAAGCTATGAAAACCTAAAGCAAGATTAAAGGCATAGTTTGCTAATCCATCAGCTAGACGATTAGCCTCCCTATATACGTGAGATATGCGGACTTCCCAGTCCCTTTTGATGAAGCCATGGCACAGATGCACCAGGAAAGACAGCGGATGTGAATCTCCAATCCCTGTCGTAAGAAAACCCACCACCAGCTCAGAATCAACTTCCACTTCGAGCTTCAAGATCTTTCTGTCCCAAGCGATACACAAACCATAATAAACTCCCCACAACTCTGCCAAAGGCTCTGTGCATCTCCCAATATGCAACGCAAAGCCTCCACACCAATCTCCAAAATTGTTCCGCAATGCCCCACCAGCTGCTGCCGATCCTGGGTTTCCGCGGGAAGCTCCGTCTGTGTTCAATTTGACCCACCCTGTCTGTGGTGGTGTCTAACTGATCATCTGTTCCTCTCGCAACGGTCTCGGTTTCTTGACCGAGCAAGCTTCGGAAGCTGTAAGCACTTCTTTCGCGAGATCCTGCACACGGTCCCGGCATTTCCCATTATCACCAAAGATGTTCCCACATCTCCACTTCCAACCCCACCAAATAGACATCCCAAACAAAGTAGACCATGGCACTCCAAACATTAATCCTTCCTCTCCTAAATTCTCATACAACCATGGTAGAAGCGGCTTCATAAAGAACTCTTGTTGCTTTCTGGCTGGGACAAGTCTGGTCCAGATCCCCTGCATGGCTGAGCAATCTCGAATGATGTATAGAAGGGTTTCCACGCCACCTTTACACACGGGACAAATATCCGAGTCACAGAGATGTCTCCTCTTCCTCTCTGCATTCGTCATGACACATTGATTTCCTGCCAACCAAAGAAAAAACTTCACTCTCTCAGGTGCCATAACGTTCCATATGCGGCGAAAGAACGACTCCATAGACTGTCTCGGGGCCTCATTCCGCGTCAGAAGGGCATAAGCTGATCGTACAGAGAACTCTCCACTTGGACTGAGAAGCCAAGATAATCTATCTGTGGCGCCTGTGACTGTATCCACCACTAAGGACATTAATTCCAATCTCAAGTTATCGGACACAAAAGGGAGGATCTTATCCCACATCCACCCTGTACATCATGCTTCTTGTAAATGAAAGAATGTGTTGAACACATTATACACAGTAGTTAGACATTTTGATTGGAAAGCCACAAAAATGAATAATGAAATCCCAAACTATATCCATTTAGTTGATTATTACATACATTTAGTTAAGTACAGATTACAATATAACCTCTTACATATTTCATTTTTTACTAATATTTAATTCATTTTCCACATATTCTGATGTTCTATATTCTGTAATATAAGTATATAACCAATCAAAACATCATTTTCACGAATCCAATAACTTAATGTTAAAGGTTTGACAGTTTGTATTTTTTTTGATCTTTTGATGATGAAGAACAAGGGGATGCACCCTGTGATGCTGCTGACAATGCAATAATTGTCGTTCTCCTGGACACCTTAAAGAATGTCCGTGATGCAGGCTACACTCCCTTGGTGGCATTTCGTCCAGACAATGCTGCACATGCTACTCTGAATCTGTACGCATTTGACTCCTTGTTTTGGCGAAGGTTGCTGTGTCTTGGAGATGATGCAGGCAGGAGACTGAAAGATGGGTTGTCAAGGTTGCCAAATGCAATGGATAGATATGTGGAACGACATGTTGTGTTTGAAGAATTGGAAGTTGAAGAGAAGCAAGTGGAAGTTGAAGAATTAGAGGTAAAGAAGAAGAGTGAAAAAAGCAGAACGACGAAGTGCAAGAGTAAATCCCCGCCAAAGAGGAAAAGGTTGGTGAAAAAGAAGACTGAAGAATCAGAAGGAAAGGAGATTCATGAAGATGAAGAGATGGTAAAGAAGAAAAGAAGTCCTGGTAATTCGTAGCCACTATCCAATTTATATGGTTCGGTTTTTTGTTTAGGTAAAAGTTCATCGAAACTCGGTTTTGTGAAGGTATTGATGTGATTTGGAGAGAAAGTCAACTCTGAATTGGAACCAATTGTTTATATGGAGTTTAATGTATAGCGTGTTTGGTTTAGTTTGGAAATTCTCCAATCTATGGATTTAGGTTTATCATTATGTCATCAGCTGCGATACATTGGAAGGTTTTTTCATATATATTTTCTCTCTCTTCGGTTTGGTATAAACAAAGAGATTATCATTTTGGATTAAACTTATTGAATTTTAAGATTATAAACAAAAACTTCAAAAAGACAACGTTTGTTGTGGATTGGTTTGTAACTGCTTGACATTTTGTGTGGCACAAGTCTGACAACAAGGTTTGTTGTGGATTGGTTTGTAAATTGCCAATAGAATGTATTAGGTGCCAATTTTTTTTACATTTTCTTCTTAAGAGTGAGAATTTCAAAAGAAGCAAAAGCATGAGTCCTAGAATTGCCAGCTGACAACAACAATTATCTCAATACGTATTATTATTATTATTTCTTCTAACTTATATAGTACGGTTTTGTGCAAAAAAACCATTGAACTTAATTGTTTTTGCAAATCTACAATTCAGTTTTATTATGTGCAAACTAAACCTATGAACTTGCAAAAACCCCTCTATATAACCCTTGGCTGTATTGTCGACGTGTTCGAACATGGTCCTTTAAAAAAACTCGAAACACTACCTTTTTGGAATGAAAACGGAACGATGTTTTCATTAGTTGTGTCGTTTTTACACAACTAAATTGACTTGTACAGCAAATTTACGAGAAAAAAAAAATCAAAATGTTGGGATAAAATCACTTTGGAGAAAAGAAAATTAGGGTTCTTGGTGCTTTTCGCAAAATCCATGGGGTAAAATCGGGACCAAGTTGACGATATTGTGGAAGCTGAAATCGAGTGACAAAGTGGCCTTAGTGATCGACGAAATTTGTATTCTGAGCTCGAGATGAGGTGTCTGACTAAATTTGGGTGTCTAAGCGGACCAATAGTTGCTATCTCCGCCAATAGTTGCATTCCTTGACTTGAATTATGCGAAAAGCGTTTAACAACAATATTTGCTTCTCTTTTGCCTATAAGTTGTTTGAAACCATTTGTGGCTTTACATGATTCCTTTTAGGAAAACCATTTTGTGGTTTTAAAGAGTCACCATTGTAGTGGAAGTTTTTCATTGAGCAAATTCTTATCGAGAAATCTGATTTCTTTTTTTACTTCAATCTGCTTAGGTTGTAGAGTGTGTGTTGAACAAAGTTATGGAAGAAGTCTCAGAAGTGTGACATAAGACAACATGAGGAAGAAGAAGAAAACAGACCATCACAGGTCGTAGAAGAAAAGCTCCAGAGGACAAATTCTGAACGCTGCGAGAACAAGAGATTCTTCTGAATCTACACAAACACATCTAGGTAACTGTCATTCTGTTTGCAACTTTATGGCGTTGGAGCAATCACAAGTAAAACGCAGTTTGAATTTTGTATTATCTCCTACAGGAGTTGAAGCAAACCTTAAACACTATCAAAAGCAGGAATGCAATTACTGCAGATGAAGTATCAAGAAGATTTCTTTCACCTAGATGTCAACGCAGATAATGTTCTTTCTATATCCTTGTTCAGGCCTCAACCAACTGGTTTGAGTTCTGTGGAACAGATAATAGTAACTCTTTAAAACTATTTGCTTCATCTCTTGAATTTTCTTTTCTTATTGGAGGAATGATGGCGATGTAGACCTTAAGTTGTTTGTTCTTCTTGTTTGTTTCAGACTTTGTAGACTTTGTTTCAGACTTTGTTAACGTAATGCTCTTTCATAAGTAAGTTAATCAAGTTGTTAAGGTTTATGTTCTTAATGCTATGTAAGATTTAATTCTATCCAGTTTGTAAGACTTTAATAGTTTAATGTCAAGTTTATGCTTTTATATTATGTCAAAAAAAACGACATGGCTTTTGTTTTGCCAAAACCACACGTTTAATGGACCATGTTCGAACACGTCGACAATACAGCCAAGGGTTATATAGCGGGGTTTTTGCAAGTTCATAGGTTTAGTTTGCACATAATAAAACTAAATGGTAGATTTGCAAAAACAATTAAGTTCAATGGTTTTTTTGCACAAAACCCTATATAGTACATAAGATCATCTGTTACTTTATTTATTTGTTTTGACTTGTCCACGAAAGTGGATGTGAATGTGATTGACTGTGTCGTTTTGTGTTTGGTTTTTCTACATTCAAAGCCCGAACTCTAAAGTTACATTCAAACAAATCTTTTTTTTGGGTAAGATTCAAACAGTATGTCACTAGGTTGGCTACAAACTCTTTTTTATTTTGTTCTACTAGAAAAACAATTAGCCCACAAAAGTAATGATTCATATTATTTTTGATTCATAATTTAGTTGAAATGTTGAATACATGCGCTAACACATGTTACTGTTGCCAAATAAAATATTTTTTTAAAAAAAACTTGAATAACTGGAGTTTTAGATAAAAACTTAAATAACTGAAATTTTAGATAAGAAATTATGGCCAACAAAAAAAAAAGGAAAAGAAAAAGAAGAAGTCATGTTCGACGAGAACTCTGGATAAAGAACTTGTCTAGAGATTTAGATGAACACAAATTAAGACGATCAAGATACCACTAGATATCTATAATTGTCGAGGAAACGTCAGCTCCTTATACTTTTGGACCGAAAGTGGATGGATCATCGCTCTTCAGTGGTGGTTCTTTGATGACAGCTGTTATCTCGTCAAGAGTATGACCGTTCTGACAAAAAAAATGAAAAAAACTAATCTTATCAGTCACTTCAATGTATCGCAGCTGATGATCTTTCGCTCCAACTTTCGCAGCTTCTTCTTAACAAAATCGTAAAGATTCTGCACAATAAAGCCAGGATGATCTTTACTGTGTGGGACTTCCTTGTTATCCGGCACGAAATCCGTGCTTCACGGATTCAGCAAACACTTCATCGCGATGGAAACTGTAGAAGAGGTCCCTTGCATCTTTGGATTCCCATTTTCCGAGATATTCTTCCTCGACATCTTCTGGACGATAAAACCACTGCACTACAAGCTTCACGTATCCTTCTTTGCCTATTATATAAATGTCCTGTCCAACAATATAAATTGATTAATATAAGGTAAAAACTGAAAATTATGTCAACAATTCTCTTTTGATTTTTAACCTTTATGATAGCGGTATACGGCTTCTGGTTTGCGGACTCTGCCTTCATTAACACCGAATCCTCCTATGCAAAAAATGGTATAAAATATATAAATTGGAGCTTTTGTTTTCATTAAAATGTTGTCCAAAAGTTTTCTTTTAAACACTAAAAAGCTGTTGTAATTAGACAGAAAAAAAATTAAGAAGATCTTAAGGAAAACAAAACTCACCAGTTCATATTTTATGCCACGAAACTCAAATTTCTTGTAGTGGCCTTTCTTCTTAAGTCCTGTACCAGTAAACTTAATCACTTTGCCAACTGGCTGCGCACAATCCTCTCGTTTCCACTGCAACTCTTTTTTCTTCTTCATCGGTCTTTTCTCGGTATTTTCATTCTTTCGCTTACTCTGCTTCCTTACTGTTTGTTCGGCATTAACCTTTGAATCCTCTGATCCAGACAACGGAACAATGTCTTTTCCACTGTCTTCATCTTTGCTAATTACCACTTGATTGAATTGCTCGGTCAACATCTCTTTGGTGAACATGTGATACGATTTCAAATTGGATTTTAACCCTACAGTAAAATTATGATCATTAGAAGAGAAAATGTTGGCATCAACCTGACAACATAATTTTTTTATGCCGGATATTTAATGAAATAAAGAAAATAAACGATGGTAGAATAATTTGACATCTCAATAGAACACAGTCTTTATTATTCAGCCTAACATACAAAATATATACGTATAAAAGTAATCAGCCAATATCTGAATAGTAACAAAAATGAGTTTTATAAAGATTGTGATATAGGCTAGGCTAATTATTTTCTTTTTTTAAAACTAAAATACTGTACCTTAGACATTGTAAATGTATATTATAAACTTCATCGCGATGGAAATTCACAATGCAGCTGTGCTAAATATGTGATAGAACAAAAAAATGTGAATTACTAATGCTAGTTAAAAATTGAATCACCCAAAAAACATCCAATTAGTCTGCAACAAAAAAAACATATAACAAATTATCTAATACATTGATGAGTATATATTAATGTTCATGTGCTACGTGGTGGCTAGGATCCTAAATCAATACTATATGGTGGTTTAGACGGTTGAGATGACCATCTAAAAATCCAATTAGTGTAATTTTGGATTTAAAATAGTTCTGCAGATTGGAAGAACATTAAATTTAATAAATTTTGTTATATTAGTGTGCAATGAACGATTAATGAATATATATTATTGTGTGTGTATCCTACTCATTCATTCTAATCTCTTCTCATATCACATTTGATAAATATAAGAATAGTTCATAAATCACCCACCAAACTTGAAAAATATATCATTTTACTTACTCAAAAACATAAACAAAAATTCTCAAATGACAAAAAGCTTGAAAATTTACTACCAGATAACTACTCCAACTTTATAATAAAAATTGCCTTAATAATTTAGATTATCTATCCAAAATTAGTTTACGATGTTTATCCCAATAGATCAGTATTTGATTCTGTTTTGACTTCTCCTAACAAATCAAAGTATTCATACATGCCAAAATTCTGAAATAACCGATAGTTTTCCGATTAGTTTTCTGGGTGTTAGGCCGTACCCGAACACCCAATTAACGTCTAGCGCATTCTCAAACATAGGTTTTATGAAAATTTACTAACAGAAAAATACTCAAACTTTGTAATAAAAATTACCTTGAGTATTTAGATTAACTATCCAAAATTCGTACTTTATGTTTGTCCCAAGTAGATCAGTATTGATTTGATTCCGTTTCGGCTTCCGCTACCAAATCAAAGTATTCACGCACGCCAAATTTCTGAAATATCCAATTATTTTCCGATTAGTTTTTTAGGTGTTAGGCCTTACCCGAACACCCGATTACGTCTAGCGCATTCTCGAACACAGGTTTTATGAAAATTACTAACAGAAAACTACTCAAACTTTGTAATAAAAATTACCTTGATTATTTAGATTAGCTATCCAAAATCCTTACTTGATGTTTATCCCAGTAGATCAGTATTTGATTGATTCCGTTTCGGCTTCTGCTACCAAATCAGCAAAATCAAAGTATTCACACACCCCAAATTTCTGAAATAACCAATTATTTTCCGATTAGTTTTCTAGGCGTTAGACCTTACCTGAGCACCCGATTAACACCTAGCGCATTCTCGAACAGATGTTTATGTGATTTTTTGTGAACTTTTGTCTTTTGGACTTGTTTAGTACTCATATATAATAATCTTCAAATGAATACACTGCTAAATTACAATAGATGTATTCTTCAAATTTCCATTTTTAGTTAGAGACTTATAAAGAAATATAATAATGTAAAAAAAGAAAATATAAAATATTTTTGACTATTCATAGAATTCTTACATCTCTTCAATAAGAATATAAAATAAAAGTTATTTATATGGTGTCAACCACTCTTTTTATTTTTCTTAATTAAAGTAAAAAGAAAAAAAATCATTTGATGATCTGTCATTTACAAAATTTCAGATTGTGTTTTTGGAATATATTTGGATTTATTTCTTTAATCGGTTTATGCATGCATTGGAGGCCATAGAGTTTGAAATGTGGAAGAAATTGAAAAATAAATTTCCTTAAATTCTTGACAGCCTTTTTAATTTGATAACACTCATATGTTTTGACAGCTTTTTAACTTATTAGTATTTCCTTTTATTTTCTTAACAGCCTTTTTAATTTAATAATATTTTCTTTTAATTTTCTTAATAGCCTTTTAAGAAAATAATACACATATATTTTGATGTATATGTATTAAACATCATTAATAATATAGGTATGCATGAAAATTATAGAAATAATAACTAAGGAATTTTTTTTGACAGCCTGATTAAGTTAATAATATTATTCATATATGCATTCAAATTTATTAAATAAAACAAAGAAATTTTAATGAAAAGCCCCTCAATATTAGTTCAATACATTTTAAACTTTCAACTATTCTTTAGTGACAAAAACCCTCGGCTTAAATCTGTTACAATGAAATCAACTCCATCTACTGAAATGTTTAATCCCCTAACAGTTTTCGTCTACATTAACATAACGTTGTGTTATTTCAAATCAAGAGGAGATAAGTTATTATACTAAGAACTGTTAATATACTGTTACAACAGTTACAATGGTCATTTGAAATAAATCTTGAAGTGTAGTTTTCCAAAATGTAAAAATGATTAAACTACGAGAAGGAGAATACGTAAGAGAACAAATAGTACTCTGATAATGATGAAAAGTTGTCGATGGTTTGATACTAAGGAATTTGAATGTCACTGCGATATTAGCCAGACTATTTAACTTTCTCAACTTAGTTAAGGAATTTAAAGCATGCGGAGAATACAAACAGTGCTTACAAATCAAATTCCTTCAAGTACATTTTTTTGTAGTTTCTTATTTGTATGGTACCCTTCAAGTACTTCAAAGATGGAGAGGAGATATCCGAGATAATGCTTTAAATTCCTTAACTGAGTTGAGAAAGTTAATTACTGCTTGAACCTTAATACCTGATCATCAACGATGGAGAGGATATATCATAGATAATGTTATGGACTTGAGCCACTTGACTTGCTCTCAGAGAGCTACTTCGCTAAAAGGTATAGCTCTAACGTTTTTAATTCTCTTTTACCTAGCTCTTTTATATATGCGCTTTTTCAAGTTAGACACATACTCGTATTTCGTTGAAACATTATGAGTTAGGTTTGCGAATGTCAGTTTAGAGCCCCATATCGTGTTTTTGAAATTTAGTCAAGTTATTTAACAAAATCTGTTCCGGTGTTTTTTCAAATGATTTTGGTAAACAATTAACCCTATATCATTACTTTGCTTTAGGTAGAAAAACTTTTTGAACTTTAACTCGTTATAATGCAACTAACGTATGTTGTGAATTGTTATCATCAAGTTGAACCAATTGGTAAGGCTATATCGCTACGCTAAAGACTCAGTAAAACTGTTAAGGCTATATCGCTACGCTATAGACTCAGTAAAGCACACTCGAGTTTATTCCGCATCATTTTGGAATTTCTGCTTTTACTTTGTGACGGCTATCTCAATTTTTAATTTTGTCGACGGCTATACACATTTTTAAAAATTGAAGATTATGTCAAGTGTTAGTTTTGTAAATTTAATATAAGTTTCGTGAAACGATGTGACGAAAGCCGATACGAATAGCAAGAAACTGTAGATGTGGGTTCCGTTTACGGCTTGGGCGGCCATATCTATTAATATCCTGAACAGAACACAGTCTCCACAAGCTATCCTCCTGCATTTCATTTTGTACTCCAAGATGATTCATTCAGCACCGGAAAGAGAGAGAGAGAGTAAACCTGTAGAGTAACAAGAAAGAGGAGGATTGCATCAAAAAAAACATTACCAAATTTGATTGGCATCTGTTTAGAAACACAATAATCTTCATTAACTCTCATATCCTTCTCTATAACAATGAATCTACTGATAAATAAAACCTGTGGAAGTTGACTTTGTGCAGACTATGTATATTACACAAGAATGTTGTAAGTAGTAAGTTACACACCACGAGAAAACTGTACCAGTGATCCAGAAGTTACAGAACATGTATAAGAGGAAAGAAAAACGGGTGAAACAAGTATGAATCTGCGAGAGCAGCCAGAAACTCAGAGACACTATACGAAAACGATGAATCAAAGTAAATAGAAAGAACATTCCATTAGCAGGAACTGAACCACAAAAAGCAATACACACACTTTATCATTGTAAGATGTTAAATTCCAGGATCAAACACTGATAAGAACCTAAAGTGCAAAGCCACCGTGTTGTATGATTACTGCAGTTCAAGACCGAACATCTAATGTTCATAAAAAACAAGCATTACAATAACTTAAGAAGCACATCACTTAAAAGTCAGATTAGTAATGCTTAAATCTGTCACTTTATACAATGGCTTTAATGAAACTCAGCTAATCCAATACAAGCATAACTAAGAGGAGACTCAATCAAAATCAAGCAACAAAAAGAACGATAATGGAATTCAAAATCAAGCAACAAAAAGAAGCTTCAATCATCGAATTCACACCAGATACATCATACATAATAATCAGAACCATGAATTGAATAAGTTAAAACAAAAACCTGGAATCCAAAATGATAATGGAATTCAATATCCTATCTTGATCCAAAACCTGCAACTTCAATCAAGCTCAATCACAATCCAAATCGTTCATATTGTCATAAATACCAACACCCTTTCTCTTTCAATCTACCTAAAGCAACAAATCATAAACCCTTGTACAATACAGAATCGAATTCGAAACTTTTCAATGAAACCCAAAAATTAACTGAAATCGAAGGTGGAGTAATCGAAGAGAAGAGAAGACGAAGAAAGTGGGATTGATCGATTAGGAGAAGAACGAAGAAGAGAGGAGGAAAGAGAAAGAAAAAAGATTACATGACACCGAGAAAAAAAAAAAAATCTCGGAGTGTTCTGCGTGTGATACGTGGCCGGAAGAAACGGTTTTGGGCCTCTTCCGGGAGAGACGACGACTCTCGGGTGTGGGCTTGCCACATGTGTAATTTTTAGCATTTTTTCTTTTCTTTTAGACTAAAGAAACGCAAGCAGTGCGTTGCATGTGCTCTAAGTAACCAGACATTTTATTTTGGATAAAATTTAATTTAGGATGTAAATTAAAACATATTCTTTACGTTTCACAAGAAATTCCTTACACTCATTTGTTGTGTAAAATAGTGTTATTAACTTATTATATTGTCATAATTAAACCAGGTGGTCGGTGGTCGTGACCTGGTGGTAAAGGGCTCACAACTGTAAGTACCGCCACCTAGGTTCGACTCCTGACTACAACGGATTTAACATGGCTTCCGTTTGGTTTTCAGGACCACACTAGATCCAGTTGGACGTATTGATAGTTGGGCCTAAAAGGTCCAAACACCTGGATTATCAAAAAAATAATATATATATCACAATTAATTTTTATTTTACCGTTATTCAAAAATAAACGACATTTGCATTTAAATAATTTGTATTTAATTACTAAATGTAAGTTTTTGTTGTTGTTGTTGTTTTAAGTGGTTCTTTTTGTGTGTGTAAAATGTGTTCAAGTTACAGTTTTTGTAAAATATACAGAGTTTGTATAGTATACTAGGAGGTGATCCACGCTTCACGCGGAAATATATATTATTGTGTTAATTTTATTATTTTTCTGTAAATTTAATTTATTTCTACGGTTTACTATTGTTTCAAAAATATTACGTCCCATTGTGTTCCATTTCGTTCATTTTCATCATATACGTTATTTCCCGTCCCATTCATCATGCATCTCTTGTCCTGTCCCGTCAAGTCCCATCCTATCCCATTATGTTCATTTCCATTTTGTTATGTCCAATCATGTTCTTTCCGATTCTTCTCGTGCCATTCCCTAAATATAACTAAGGATAAGCAAAATTCCGGTCTAGTCCCATCCCGTCCTATTTTATTCATTTTCATCTTGTCATGTTCTTTCCCGTCCCGTTCGTCATGTCCACCCTATCGAGTTTCATCCTATTTTATTATGTTTTTTTTCCCGTTTTGTCGTGTCTCTGTCATGTTCCTAAATATAATTAGGGGTGCGTGAAATTTATGTTCGTCCCTTCTCGTCCCATTATGTCCCTTTTATCCGTCCCGTCTAATCCCATCTAATTCCATTTTTTTCATCTCGTCCTATCCAATCTCTCTGTCTCGTTCCGTCCAGTCTCATCTTGTTCTATTATTTTTATTTTTGTCTTGTCTTGTCTCATCATGTTCCTTTCGTTTTTTCCTAGTTCATCTCTAAATATAATTTGAAGTAGGCAAAATTATGTGGTATTCCATCCCTTTCCATTCCTTTACATCCTGTCATTTAATATAATAAGAAATGGAAAAAATTCATTTCTTTTCATGTTATGTTTTTTTCGTTTCATCATATCCGGTCTCATCTCATTTCATCCCAAAATACGTAAAAAATCAGTGTTCTTTATATAATATAATCTTTTAAAAATAAATTTACTAAATAATACTTTTTATAGATCTATACATATTTTTTCTCTTTTTTTCTTTAAAATGTTTTTTTTATATTCTTATTAAACTTATTATAATAGTGAATGCTAATTATTATGAAATTAAAATATTAAAAAGAGAAAATATAATAAATTAAATAGGTGGCTGATATGGTGAATTGGTGAATTTAAAAGCACCATTTTTTGATAAGGTAACACCATAAAAGAATAACATCAATTATATATATATAGATATTAGTAATCATTTAGAAAAATAAAGTGATTAAGGACTGAGAATGATGAATAAATGACCTTTGTAGTATGTATATTATTACTCTCATTCGTTACAATATTTTTCTCCATAATTCTTTACTTTACTTTATATTTGAACAAAAAAAAATCTTTACTTTATATTTTGAGAAAACGGTTAATTTTTCTCCATAAGTTACATCATGCTTTTTGTTGTAAAATGAAAGAATGTGTTGAACACATTATACACAGTAGTATTTAATTTGGAAAGCCACAAAAATGAATAATGAAATCTCAAACTATATCCAACTAGTTTATTATTACATAAATGTAGTGACAAATACAAATTACACTATAACCTCTTATATATTTCATTTTTTTCCAAATAGTTCTTTCATTTTCTACATATTTTGATGTTCTATATTCTGTAATATAAGTATAACATCATTTTCACGAATCTAAAACACTCTTTCACACCACTCAGAATCTTCTCAAGACTCAACAAAAATAGACGACCCCTTAAGAATAAGAGAACTCACCATTGTTGGTCAACGGAAATGGCGAAGTCAAGTATCCCTCGAGGCTTCTAAAGATCTTCACGCCGACTGTCAAGACGAGAACATGTTACTGCCACGTCACAATTCTACCGTCACAACCCTTTTAATTTGTCCATTTCTTTTTCATTATCCTAATCCCTATGTCATACAATTTTTGTCGCTACATTCGTAATCCTCGAGAAACAACGTTTGATATTACTGAAATGTTATGTAATACTATATCTATCACACGTGTATAGCGTAGCATTCGAGTTATTAGTTATTACCAAATGCAGTAATATATATGATCCCTCTCTCAAGCTAAGACAAAAAGAAAATTGCTCGATCTCACTAGATTTTTCTAGTGGAAACAAAAAAAAAAACACATTCCAATCTACCTATTATTACCCTTCTACGAATTTAAAGCATTCCAGTAACTTCGAAACTAAACAAAATTACAAATGAAAAAGAACCTAAGAAAATTACATAATACCAAGATTAATATTAATCCAATCAACGACGATTACTCTCCGGCTGATTATATTACCTATTAATAAAGTCCGACCAACGACGATTACTCTCCGGCTGCTTCTCCACCGGAAGCACCTCAATAAGCTTCAAGCCGGCGACGCTCTCTCGATCTTCCCCACTCATGCATCGACAAATGGCGTTTTTTCCCGGCGAGAAGAAAATCCGCCGCTTGAACCGGCGTTAGAATCTCAAGGATATTAGTCAACGTGGTCAACCTCAGCTTGTCCGCTTCAGCCAATAAACCAGCCATATCCTCTTCATGCTTATCAAGCGCACGCTCCACCACCACGTCAGCTTCTCCGATCACCTCTTTGTAAAACGCCGAGACGGCAATAGGCATATCCGCTGTGTCCTCTTGTAAACTCGCCGATCGCTTAGTCAGTTTATTCTCTTCCTCCACCGTTTTGATATGAAGCTCGTTAATCTTGAATAATTGCTCGGCCGTTAGATCACTCATCGGCTCTCCTCCTCCTATGCTGCCACCACCGCCGCCATCTGTCTCACCATCTTCCATGCTTAGACCTACGGAGGTCCAAGGTGATTATTAAAAATATGTATACTTTAAAAGAAAATTAGTTTTGCTATCATAATTATATAATTTAAAAAGAAAAAAACCAAATACATTTAGCGAATCTATAACCAAATAAACCTTTGATAAATAAATAAAACTTATGTAGAATTTGGAAGTGTGATGCAATTCTATTTCAAAAAAGTAGATCCGCTCACCGTCAATGTTGTTGTTGCGGAGGAAGTTAGTTAGCCGGAGCTCGATCTGAGAGCCACACATGGCGTAGACGAGACGTATAAACGAAGAAGGACGACAACCTCCCATCCAGAGAAGTGCGTTTTCAAGACAAGTGTTCCATGTCGGAGCGAAATAGTTTGAGCTAAATCGACGAGAATGTTTACATCGTTTTGCGGCGTAATCTTTAAACTCTCCGACCACCGTACGTATCAATTTTCGAAGCTCGGCATCGTCTTTCTCACCGCTGGATAAGGCCTGTTTAAGCTCTGTCATGCGTTTGGCTTGTAAACTCATCCACTCGTTATAGCAATCTTGTTGAACTTTTTCCATGTTTTGTGAGCTCGGATTCTCCATTTAATTGTGGACGTATTTGTTTTTTAATTTTTGTCTTGGGTTTTGGATACTCATGTTTTTGGTTTGGTGCGGTTTATATAGTTTCAGATGATGCACCAGTACGAATTCTGTTTTATATATTTTTTTTAATTTTCTAACGTTTTTGATAAATATTTATATAATTAGGAAGTTAGGAGAAAGTGCGTGGTTTGAGGATGTAAATAGCAAAAGACAGAATCATATGCATGGATGCATGACGTGGAATTACGAAGAACTAGTCGTTTTAAAAAAATGTATATATAATACTATGCCACTAACTTTGGTCATTTTAAAACTAGTTTATTTTTACCCAATAAAATAGACCATTTGGTTGTATATGCTCTTTTCTCACTGCAAGTGGCCATCACTGTAGGCGGGGAAGAGTAAACCTCTTCGTCTAAGTTACCGCACGTTTATATTCGGTTTGATGACAAATATAATAGAAAAAGAAAGCTGAAGGAGATGACAGCTAATTTAACTACCAGATGACTATAGAAAATGAAGTAGATTGTAAAATGAAAACAATACACTTTTTCTTTTTCTTTTGATATTAATAGCAACAATCCCGATACACGGTCTGATTTCCCGTATCACGACGGATCCGGGCCAAATGTGCATTTCTGAACTTAAAGACACTAAAACCTTGGAGTAAAACATTTCTCCATTCCGATATATGAATATGGTATTATTTCAAATCATTTAAATATATCTAAACACTTATACGAGGTTGATGTAACAAACAATGATCTTTAACATGTTATAGTTAAGAATTAATACACAATAGTATATAATAAATATTCGAAGAGCTTCACCATTAATAGTTTCTACTCCTCCATGAATCCCCCCACCTTTACAAGTATAAGATACCACAGTTTTTCAAACGTATTTTTTGTTCTTCTTCCTTTTATTTCCCGAGTCATAATTAGATCTTGAATTAATACACATATATGCTACATATTGGTACAACATTGGACCAATCTTCTTTACTCCGCGGGTGGATCAAGCTCCACCCCCAGCGTCAGCTCCACCCCCAGCGTCAGCTCCACCCCCAGAGTCAGCTCCACCCCCAGCGTCAGCTCCACCACCTCCCATTCCTCCACCTCCAATTCCTCCAGACAGAATTCTTTTGATAAAATCTCTGAACCATTGTGGGATATGTCCTCCTCCACCTCCCGTTCCTCCACCTCCCATTCGTTGAGACATAGCATCTTTGATAATTTTCTTAAACCATTCTGGGATTTGTCCTCCTCCACCACCGGCCATACCTCCACCTTTCATTCTTGACTGAATTCTTTGTTTTATTATTTGAGCAGCTTTACCTCCCCCCGCACCTGATTGAAATTTCATCCCTTGCATCCTGCCAGCCAACGAAGGTGTTTCGGCAGACCTATTACAGAACACGCAAAAGTATATATATGCGAGACGTTAATGTCTTATTGATATAAAGGAAATTGTGTACCATATTCTAACTTGACAATTCTTTCTAAAAAAAAAAAGAAAAGACAACTAATAGGTGATTTAAGATAAAAAGGAGTAATAATAATAATGTGTCTTAGCCAGTTTTTGGCCCACAACCTTCTAGATGAATTAAAAAGGTTTAACTAGTTCAAACGAATAATTGAGGTAGCATGTAAAAAAGGAACCGTATATATTCAAGAACGAGAGAGATTTCTAAACTATGTAAATGAATGTGCATGTATGCGAATAATATATAAGAACAAATCTCGGGTGATTGAGTAGGATTTCTTTCATATTACCTAATGAGCCCCATGATGAGACTAAGAGCGATCAGTCCGAGGGTAGTACCGGCCGTGAGCCCAGTGGCTAGGAATGTAGTGGCCAAAGTGGCGGGTACGAGAATCGGACTAAATATGATGAAAACCGGTGTGGATACGAGTAATGCTATGGCTGAAACGGCAAGTGTTAGACCGGCAAAGGCTAAGAAGGCTACGGAGGTCACGGAAGCAATGACAAGCTTAATAACATCCAACAATGGGATGAGGAAAGAGAAGGTTCTGAGGAAAATGTTAGGTTTCGATGACTGAGGGCTCGATGACTGAGTTTGAGATGCATTTTGAGAAAGTTCTTCCCTCATATTTTTTAGATGGGATGGCTGTGGTTTAGTGGTGGGAAGAGATGGATTTTATGGAGTTGTGTGGTCTATACATGAAAAACTATGGGAGTGAATACTATATAGATGATCTACGTAACATTACGTCACGTCACATTCCCTTTTTTTGGGTGTGTGTGTCGGTTGTCATGTTTCTTGAGCCTTCTTTTCTTACTTGTAAAAAGTTCAAACATTGAAATCCCACGTTTCAACTTATGTATACGGTTGGAACACGAACACCCAAAACCAAACGCGCTTAGAAGATATCCAAGGTGGCGATACTTTGTGGAAGTACGATAAAGACCAGTTTTCTTCTAATAGAGTTTTCTTGATTTAGGCTCAGTGAAGTCTTGCATATTCTACTATCTCAAATCAATCAAAGGGGCCTAACTCATGGTAGAGGAAAATGTTAAAAGAGACAAGAAGTTAAAATTACTAATATATTTCATGATAATTAATTAGCCTTATTGAGTTATTTCACGCCATTCGAATAGTGTAATATTAATGATATATGTTGCGCAAATCTTTATTTATTTTAATAGCGCTAGTTATTTATGTTTCAAGAGTTTTCTGTTTTATCAAACTCACAGCTAGCTAACACAGTTTAATTTGACGGGAATTATGCCTTTTGCTTTTACTATTGCAATTCGTTCTAGTTACGTTATAAGTTATAACAAGCATTATTATCAGCGATTAAGCGCCACATCTGTTCCCAGGCTGTCGCAACTCCAACTGCTAACATCACCACTGCCTTGTGCAACACTGAAGACGCCTCATTAGCCATTCGTTCATCGGTTGATGTGACTGTGCAGCCGTGCCGGTTAATATTGCATTGGCATGATATTTGGTAAGCGATGTATACTGTCGATTAATAATAACTTTGATTGGTTATAGATTCTAACGGTCGTTTAAGTAGTACAGTATGAGTTTCGGAAACTACTCTTAAGTCTTAACTAACTAACTACATATGCTTCTTAAAAAAGCAAAAGAACTAATTTACCATCTCAAAAGACTACGAGACCGTCATATATTTATCCAACTCCAAACATTTTCAACCGTATCTCAGTTATTTTCTTTATGCTGACAATATAAAAAGAAATGTGCGGTAGATGTGTGTTTGCAATAATTCTTTTATTTTCTTCCCTAAGTAATATATATACTTTATTGTTGAATAAATCACACCCTAATGTTTTTTTTCTCTATATACTGAGCATAAATATTTCTATTTTAGTTTAACCAAAACTTTTAGTGTCGGCGTGTCGCATATGATTCGTTTGAGAAAATAATATCATTTGCAACTCGTTTAGTATGATGCTTAGATCAGTAATCAAACCAATGCATTTTTTTCTATTACTGATTTGAGCATCGTAAGATCCTCGAAAACCACATTTTTATCGTATTTCTGAACTTTTACGTGGTTCCAACATCTGTAAAATATTTGCATAAGGGTTATTGAATTGAATGTAGACTGACGCTACAGAGAGCATCTCCGATTCTCCATTGTTTTCTCTTATCTTCTTGTTAGTTCTCACCAGTCTGTCTGCACTCACCGCATCATGTGTCATCCACTATATATCTATATTTATTTGCTGGGAATCTCTCTTTTTTTTTCTATTGATTTTTTCCATTCGTATAGAAATACCAAAAATTGCTGTTGCTTTCATTTAACCATATTAATATGTTTAGATTATTTGTTATATGTTTTAAAAAAACCATGGTGAAGGCCACCACCAAAACAAAATTAAATTCACATGCATATTGAAATCTCAAAAAGAGAGCGAAGATTACATAATCTATCCCCAAATAAAAGAGGAAAGTGTTAATCAGTTAAAAAGAAAGAATTACAAAACCTTAAAGTTGTTCTATTTATGGATAAATTGGTACAATAAAGTTGTTTCTATTTATAGATGTGAATCTAGACACGTACTTTGTGAACGTTTCTCTCCATGATTTTTCGTGTAGACCGTCGCCACGTGCCACACGTGTCTCGTTTTCCTGTTATTTGCCAGAAACAGATATGCACTCTCTCTGTCTCTGTCTTGCTGCAGTCACGTGATCTTCATATTGAAAAAGATAGCAGCCAACTCTGTTTTTTTGCAGTTTTTGTTACTCAAATAGAAATAACTATAAAAAATAGAAAATAGATTTGATAAAATCAATAGTTGAAACCATGGGAGAGATCGGTAAATGATTAGTAAAATTTCGAGTTTCGTATTAACGATGGATGGATTTGGATTTTGGAATATAATTGTTGGAGCTTATCTCAATATTTGATTGACTTGAAGTTACAGTAAAACCTCTATAAAGTAATAATGTTGGGACTTTGAAAATTTATTATCTTATAGAGGTATTACTTTATGAATAAATTCAATATTCATGTATTCTCATAATCTTCGAAAATTATTCTCGATATGATAATATATTAAGAAATGAAAATTATTTATTCATTAATATGACATATATAAACTTGAAATTATTATCAAATCTTTTGGATATCATAATAAAACATATATTATTAGTTTCTATAAATATTTATTTATATAAAATTTGATACATAATAAATGTTAAAATTTTATAAATAATTATAGCTACTAATGAAGTTGAAAATGATATGTTTAGAACATATTTAACAATTTTACATGCATATAAAAATTGCATTATGAGTTTTTTATATAAGAAAAAGTTAAAGATAAACTTCAATTCATAATTTAATAATTGGTTTAGGCATATACAATGTATAATTTTATATAATTATTACTTTAACTTATAATTGGGACCATATTTTTACATAGAGTTTCAAAAATATTATTATCTTATCATCTTATCGCATTTTGCTTATTTTTACATTGGCCCGAATTGGGACCGAAAAATTTATTATCTTATAGTGATTATTACTTTATCGAGTATTACTTTATAGAGGTTCTACTTTATTCTGCTTTCCGTCTGCACAAAGACAACTTGGCTTTCCATAACGTTGCTTATTAGTTTCGATTTTGGTACTCTTTTTTTTATTCAATCTCAATGTAAATGCACCAAGATAAGTATGCATATGGGCTCAAATAAGAACACAGTGGACTTACTTCATATCACAACATTCAAACATTTTTAAAAAGCTTCATATTCGAAACTGTTCAACTTCGTCCAATTTCGAAACAGTCTTACTCTAAAATTGGTAATAAATCTGATTCAGATCACTCACGACCCAAGACTACTAATCCAGATTTGATATATATATGTATATATTATTTATTAAGTTTAATAATCTTCAAGTAAAAAACAATCGATAATATATTAGTAGATTAACCTATATTCTTTATATTTTACTTTGGGCCCTTCTGATATGAATTTTATAACAAAAAAAACAATTCACTATTCCTTCACACTCTTAGCCATACTTCCAAATATTTGCATGCACCCAACGTCTCAGAGGAATTATTTCAAAAGTTTTGTGTTCATGAGTTTGTTTTCCTTTCCCTCCTTTTTTCAACTTTTCATATAAGTGTACCAAACAACAGAAAATATAATAACAAGAAGCCCATGACAGGCAGACTAGAAATCTAGAGAGAAATAGTGAAGAAGCCCACTTAAGATATAGTTCTGGTCTCAAAATTCTTGGGATATGTAAACTCCAAAACAGTTATATCTGTTTAAATTTTAAACTAACCCAAAACAGCATATTGCATGTTCATAATGTAATTCTTATACTCATCAATTCATGTTATAAATCGTTTTGGAGTTTTATCCTTGACTAGGCCATACTTCCACAAAAATAAAAATCTACAAAAAGGACTGATTTTTGTTTTGCTTATATATGTTTTATTTGTTTTTTCTGTTAATAATATTTATTAGGTAGGTCTGAACTACGAAAGTAAAAACCTCTAGATAAACACATTTTTGTTGTTCTCTAAAATGTATTCAGCTTTTTTTAGTTTTGAAAAACTCAATTAGTAGAAATCTCTAAATATCGACAGTAAATTTCATGAGTTAATCGTTAAATAAACTGAAAAAAAAAATCATAATGGGTATAACAAAAAAAGAAACTTTCCTTTTATTGCATGTACAAGGGATAACGCAGAACTAGTAAAGATTGACTGGCAACTTACGTGGGAGATATGTTCCACGTTGACGCTAAGGATGGCTGAAAGACCGACACGTGTATCCACGTGAACCATCCACTCCTCTGTATTATCTGCCGTTTCAGGTCTCTCAGAGGTCAGAATCCGTATACCATTTTTCGATTCTTCTTCACACTGAAGAAAGATATTTTTATTTGTTCAATTCTTTATTGATTCAATACATCAATTTCTGTAGCTGTTGAATATATGCATAAATGTTCTCATTGTTTTCTCTTAGTATATAGCAGGAGAGGATTTGTAATTTCACCATATAAAATTAGTTAAGATAATTTAAATTATTAAAAGACTATTTACTAATTTTGCAAAGCGTCACATATTTGCAGTCGGCGAGTGATGCGCGTAAGCCATGCAACTACTGTAATCTTCCGTTCACTTCCATCTGTTACGTCTTCTCTTTAAAGGTTTTGATTTTTGTTTCATAAAAAATATCTTCAATTATTTTATCAATTTGATGAAGCGTACGTATATATACACGTATAAGTGTTTATGTACATTCAGTTTTATATACATGCGTACGTACACACTTAAAAGTTAGAAACATATACATGTGTTCACTGTTTACATGTTGCATGTCGATATTGTTGAGGTCCTCCTTTGGTCTAAGCATAGTTAATTATATTGGTTATTAGACTCAAAATATGAAGTTCACCGTCAAAGATTTTCAAAATATGAGTCTTGACTAGTGACCAAGAAATTGACAGTGTAAATATGTTTACGATTCCATAATTGTTTTCCATCGTTGAAAAGTATACCATAACATTAATATGTGTTCGATCAGTTCATACTTCTCACTAACGTAGACCAAAATGTCGGTTTATATATATTTTAATAAATATAAAATTCAAACTGACTATTTGATTTATTTTCTATATTCTCGTTATTTAGTATTATAAATGTAAAACCACGACGATGTACTAGAATATAAATAAAACATGATTACATATACCTCACCTGAGGGTATATATAGAGAGACAACGTAGGTATAAATATTGGCATCAAAATGCTAAATTTTCATATGAAATATAAAGACTGATCAAGAAAAAGCTAAATGAGAAATCGAGTAGAAGGAAAGTTTCTAGAGTTCTACGAGAGTTGGATTTTTCAACTTGAGCAATATCTTCATCAACTCTTGATTGCTCACAACAACAACAACAACACCAACAACACCAACACTACGAATGAGATCGAGCTTCGAGCTTTGATCTCGAAGCTAACTACGCATCACAAAGCTTACTACACAGCCAAATGGGCAGCGATAGGAGAAGACGTTTTGGCTTTCTTTGGACCGGTCTGGCTAAACCCGTTAGAGAAATCTTGTTTTTGGTTAACCGGATGGAAACCGTCCACAGCGTTTCGGATGCTTGATAGGCTGAGGAAATCGTGGAGGCCGGCGGTGGTGCTTGAGGAGGCTCAGGTGAAGAAGTTGGAGGAGCTAAGAGTTAAGACGAGGCTCGACGAAGAAAAAATTGAGAGAGAGATGGAGCGATATCAGGTGGGTCCACGATTGGATTCGTACGGATTTCACATTTTTATTTTTATTTCAAAAAGATTTTTTTTCATTTACGTACGAACTGGAATTCTGGAATTCTTTTTTTTTTCTTTTTTTTTATAGAAAATCGATTTTAAGCTATTTTCAATGGAATTTTCATTTTATTACAATATTTTTGGGAATTGATTTTTAAGTTATTCTTTGTCTGAAGAAAATGTAGAGGACACAAATATGTACTTAACAAATTCAGCAACTCTTCACAAGCGCATATTCTAATGAATTATTTTGTCTATCTGTTTGTATTATATTGGAGTGTTATATGATTGAATAATTAAATATCTACCAATATTTTTGATCAAAACTACTTTCAAAATATGTAGATTTAGTTATAAAATATACAAATTGTTACATTTTATAAATTTATCCTTGTGGTCTTTGATTTTCCAAATTTCATTTTTAGATATATATCCCAAAATATGTTTAACAGATCTCACCGGTAACTTTTAAGATAATGGAATGGTTTTGCAATTATGCATGTTTTTCTTAAAACGTTTTTTTCTTTTCATTTTGCGATTTTTGCATGATTAATAACAATAAACACTTCTGGGGGTTTTTGAATTTCATCAATTTCTTTTCGTTTATCTCATTCCATTCGCCCGTTCTGCATAACTTTTGTATTTCGTATTGCAGTTACCAGTTAAAGCCAAGATCAACTAGACTATATAAACTCCACAACTTCTAAATTAGAAAAATCGTTTGTTAGCAACATGTAAATAACATTTTTTGTTTTTGTTAACATGTAAATAACTTGAGGTTGTCTCTACTCTCTAGGTGGCTATGGCTGATCGGAAGATGGTGGAGTTGGCGAGGCTTGGATGTCATGTTGGTGGAGGAGGAGGAGGAGAATCTGCGGTGGTGGTGGAGGCTGCGGTGAAAGGATTGGCTACGGGGCTTGAGAAGATGGTGAAGGCAGCGGATTGCGTGCGTCTGAAAACGCTTAAGGGCATTCTAGACATTTTAGCTCCTCCGCAGTGCATTGAGTTTTTGGCAGCGGCGGCTGCGTTTCAGGTTCAGTTACGCAGGTGGGGAAACGAAAGACATAGTGTCACTCACTCCTATGGAATTTACTGACACATACTTAAAGAAGTTAAGACCAGTTTCGTCTTTTGTGTTAAAAAAAACTTAAAGAAATCTAAAATTTAATTTCATGGGATGAAATCAATGAAGGCTGGTAACCTGTAAACGAACAAAAGGAATGAGAATGAATTGAATGAAGAGGAATAAAATATATGGAACTCATTTCTTCTCATATTTTATAAGAAATATTTTAACACTGTAATTCCCTAATTAATATGGAATAGTAAGGAATAATATGGAATACATATTTCTATAAATGGTGTAATTTTTAAGGAATGAAGGGGAATTGTCTTATTACCCCTTATTCCTTGGTCACCGGTTACAGCCAAAGTTTTTATGACGACGTGAAGTTGCAAGTTTTATAGATCAAAGACTAAAATCTAAGCGAGGGTTTACGTATACTATATAGTATTTTATCACAAAATATACGTTCAACACGTGATGTCCGTCTCTATAGTCTATATACTATGCATGTATCATCACTATATACAAACCACATATGGAAACTCGTATACATCAAATCCATCAAGAAGCAACAACACTAATCAAAATCAAACTGAATGTGAAGAATCAAGAACCAAAAGCTCGTATAAGAAAACTGATCCAAGAAACCAGAAGAAAAAATAAAAAGAATTGGTACAACGTAACAGAGAGAGAGAGAAGGAGAGAGAGAGAGCATTTAAATTGAATAAGAGAACACCTCTGATTGCTTAAGCGGGTTTTAACTGAGAGGAAAAAAACTTGTGGTTTGATTTGGTCAAGTTGCTTCAGAGGACAAGATCTCAAGCTCTGCCCACCAAAGAGGAGAGGTTCTTGGAGTAGCTTTTTCCGGAGATATGTTGATGACTTGTTTTAGTTGTTCCGCTACATTTTTCATTGAAGGTCGATGACTCTGCTCTGCTCTCAGACATTCTCGTACCACATCACAGACCACTTCAAGCTCTTCTTCTTTGAATGTCTTTAACGATGGATCTATCATCTCTCCTAAGTCGTCATTGTCCAGATATTTTGATGCCTGAAACATTGACAAGACCATTAATATATATGGTTTTTTTTTTTTCCATTAGAGAGGGCTTGGTAAATGCTTATATATATATACCCATTGTTCGATAGATCCGTATTCATCTGAGAAAGAGAGCTTCCCGGAGATTATCTCGAGCATTAAGACTCCGAAGCTATGGACGTTAGTCTCTGGTTCTGGAGGTAGTAGCAATGATGCTTGCTCTAAGTCACCACTCACTTGTTTCTTCGGATTTAATCTCGCCTCTAAGTTGAATGGAATCTCCGAGACCTGAACATTCGTTCAAAAGAAACATTTTAGCAAACAACATCGTAAAAAAAGCAAAGCCTCTAAAACAAAACAAAACCTTGTAATACAGTGTAAGAGGTTCTTGAGAAAATGCAGCTTAATAACAGCACTTTCAAGAACAGTTTCAAAGGTTCTTGAGCAAATTTAGCTATAAAATAAAAACTTGAAATACAGTATAAGAGGTTCTTGAGCAAAGGCATCTTAATAAAAGCACTTTCAAGAACAGTTTCATAGTTTTGATGAGAGCAAACCTTGGCTGCGTAGTCATCGGTTAAGTAGATTTCCGAAGAGTTGAAGTCGGAATGTGCCATGGGAGGATTCATCTCGTGCATATGTTGTAGACAGTAAGCAGTTCCCATTATTATTCTCATCCGTGCGCTCCAATCAAGATGCTCCATCTCCTTATCTGATATATGCAAAAAAAAAAAAAAAAAAAAACGTTACTAAACCTAGCAAGTGAAGCCTTGAGAACATTAAAAAAAACTGACGAGACAAATGTTTTTTTTTTACCGTGCAAATGTTCAAAGAGAGTTCCGTTTGGAGCATATTCGAAGACCATCATCCTATTAAAAGGGTCATCTTCTTCACAATATCCAATCAGGTTCACAAAGTTCTTGTGGTTGATCCTCGACAATGCATCAATCTACAAAACAAAAAGACAGCCTCTAAACTCAATTTGTAAATGATATTTTCTAATGGTGAGTATATAAAAAAAATATTAACCTTTCTACGGTATGCCATTTCCATGGCTCTTGTCCATTCTTTAGATTCAGCAATCGCTGTTGAAGCCACAGCTATCTCAACACCACTCGACAAAGTTCCTTTGTACACTGTGTAACCGTCGAACGACTCGATGATGTTGCTGAAATCCTCACACGCCGTTTCTAGCTCAGACCGATTCAGCTTCGGCACACCTAAAGATCTCATCATGTTTGAATGTAAATGTTCCAAGAAACAGAGTAAAGAAACAGAGAGAAGAGAAGTTGTTTTTTTGTTTTACCTGTGACAAAAGCTTTCTGAAGTTGTCCACTAAGACCTGTTTTCCAAGGACCTATGCTCTTCACAGCTCTCTTCCGGCAGAAGAATATAACCGCGGGTAGAATCAACAAACCGAGTAAAGAAGCAACCGCAATAACCACATAGAGCCATACTTGTTTTGATCCTTTTGGCTGCTTGTTATCTTGTGGCTGGTTCTTGGAGGAGTCGGAACCACTAGTGTCCTCATCAGGAGAAGGTAGAGGAGGGACTAGAGGCGGTATTCTCTTCTTGGCGTTGGTTATCGCAGGGAAAGACCCGCTGCTTCGAGAGAAAGCTTCGGTTATAGTCCCTGGAGAAGGACTAGGAGCAGGAGGAGCAGGCTCAGCCGCTAAGTTACTAGTCTCCTCGAGTAGCTCACGTCGTTTGAAGATATCAGTCTCCTCCAAAAGACCTGGCAAGAAACAGATTGAAAATCTTGAAGTAGTAATCTTTGGTTTATGATCTAAAGAATTGTTGAATCTTGAATTGTTTTGGCTTACTTGGGAATGCTTTCAAGAAACGCCTGGAGGTTGATTTGATCCGGAATACAATAGCTTCAACCTTTTTTACTCGAATGATACGGTTTCTTGAAACACTGTCAAGAGAGAATCGCTATGTTAGAGGATCTTATATGGTGTTAGATGAATCAGAATGTTATGGAGCTTACCAGTCTCCAAGTTTTCTGTTTGCACAGCCAAGAACAGCCAAAGGAGATAGCTTTGGGCTCTTGTTCAACCGGACTTCATACATGGACTGAAGTCTCAGGATCTTTATTCTCTTATCACTCGCAAATTGGTTACCAGAAAGCAACCTGGATCAGTCCAACAAGGTCAATATTTTTCAAAACATATTTTGTTAAGCATTGAACATTAATCATTTATTTTTAACCCACAAGTGTTTTAGCGATAAGTCATTGCTTAGCTCGGTTGGAATTTGTCCGCTCAAATCATTGTCTCTCAAATCCAAGACTTCAAGTTTTATAAAACTCCCATACTCCTTTGGAATTCCACCGGAGAAATGGTTCTTGGATAGTATTCTGCAAGAACAAGAACAGGTTTAGTCTATAAACTAACCAAAAGTTGGAAAAAAAAAAACAGAGTTTGAGTGAGCAAAGAAATCCTTACAGAGATCTTAGTTCACTCAATTGGCTAAGCTCAGGAGCTAATGTTCCTTCCAAAGAACATCCACTAAGATCCCTAAAGAAACACATAGAGATCACAAGAGTCAAACTTTTATTTTATCACATTAACGATCTCATTTTCCATAGCTTAGTGTAACAGAGGAACTTACAGAATCTGCACTTTACCGTCAACACAAGTTACCCCTGACCAGGAGCAGAGATCATCATTACCAGAAACATTCCAATTTGCAAGAGTTCCATGAGGATCTGACTTCACTCTTTCCCGGAATTTCAACAATGCCAATCCTGATTAAATTCATAAAAAAAAAAAAAAACTAAGAACCAAAAGCCTAAACAGATCATAAAAAGAAGGAAGAAAATTGGATTATAAAAATCTAACCTTGGGAATTGATGGAAAAGGAGAGAAGAGGAGCTTGAAGGCTAATGATCAAGAAGAGGAAGCAAGAGAAGTGGAATCCACAACCCATTTTTATAAGGTTTTTTACAACAAACTCTATACTAATTTTTTGTTTCTCTCCTAATTTACAAATCAAAATCCAAAAAACCCATTTCCCAGAAACAAAAGCAATAAACTTTCTCTTCTATTTAACCAAACAACAAAAAAGAAGAGAAAAAAAAAACTATATATTACAATTTACAGGACGCAGAAAATTCCTCGAATATCAGGGTCTTTCATCATTTTGAAAATTAATCTCAGAAAACCCTTTTTATCACAGTGTTCATCTCTGGGATCTCTATACAGGTCGTTGTTTCTTAATACCTGACAAGACACAAAAAAAGATTTAGATGAAAATTATAACAATAATTACAAAAGAGGAAGGGATAGCTTTTGGAATAAGCAATGTATATGGGTTGAATACCCCCAAAAATATATTTGTTTCCTCTTTTAAACGAAGAACATTGCAGATTACGGTAAGGAATCAAACAGAAGATTGAAAAGAAAAAAAACTTACTGTAAACAAGAATTCCTTATAAATGCGTACAATGTATGTTGATAGGTTTCTTGAAGAAGAAAAAATGAAAAAGAAAAAACCAAAAAGTGGGTAGGGCAAAAGAATGTTGGTGTAGGGATTAAGAAATCAATATATCCCCAGAAATCGAAAACAATTATACAAAAAATCCAAATTTTTAAATTAAAAATTCGATTTCTTGTTTTTTTTTTTTTTTGGCAAGATGATGATGATGATCTCAGAGTTTTCTCTCTTCGACCATCTTTGGTCTCTCCAGGGCCAAAGGGTGGTGCCTTCTCTCTCCTCTCCTCTCCCTTTTCTTCCCTCTCTCTTTCTCACTACAGATTTTATTTCCTTTTTTTAATTATTGCGAAAAATTGTTCCAATTTCTCAATCTCTAATTTTCTTGTATCATTTGCTTTTTGGATTTCCTATTTTTTTCCTCTCATAATTATAGATGCTTACTTCTCCAAACTCCAAAGACAAATATAATTATCCTTATTCTACTAACTAAGACACGTCACCTTACTTTGTAATTATTTAAAAGAAAATTTACGTAACAGAATAAATGATTATGTATTTTAAAATTGATTATGTATTGTTAACTTTGATTATTAAAAGAAGTCGATTTCGACAGTTAGTGAGACCCACGGGACGTGCCCGCCTTATACTTTACTACTAGTAGGGCCCGACAAATAAAATAGTAAATCTTTCTGACCGTTGGATATCACTAATCTAACGGTTTTATATCGTTTGCTTAGTGTGCACTACTACACATGATAATCTTTTTTCAGTTTATGCATCATCATCACTGTATTTCACTACATGCCTCCCACTACTTCTTCATGTTTTTCCTTTTTAGCTTCAAGATCAAAGGTGTTAGCCAAACACTGAAGCAAACTTGCAATTGATATTACAGAAAAAAAAAGTTAAATGCAACGTAGATGAATAAAGTGATATACGTATATATATATAACCCTAATTTCAATATGGCGATTCTAGTTTTTTTTTTTAAGACAATTGCTATACATGTATTAGTTTTTTTTTTACCAACAGGTTTTCTAGCTATACATGTATTAGTTGATTCATATATCTATGTTTAATTGGATAAGCAAAATGCTCAACCGAGGTGTCAATCGATATTATAAATTAGCTTGTTGTCCCGGCCTAAACCGGATAAGTCTGAACCGCCCGGGGATCCAATTTTTTTTCAAACATCAATAACATTAGGCCTTCAAGTACAAAACATATGTGGTCGGAAAAACAAACGCCACAATTACAACACACGAAGAAAACAAAAAAATCTCAGGTACATTTACGTGTTGCCTGCAAGAAAAATAAGAGGCAAAGTTTGAAACTATTTATAAATTTAATTGTACTGTAAGAGAAAAAAACATAATTTGTCTGCATTTTATGTATTTTGCTGGCGAGAGGGATGAACAATCAGCTCCTGCGTAGAATTTCACAAAGAGAATATATATCAATTAAATGTTCAATATATAATAAAAAAAAAATACAAAATGGATTTTTAATATTTTGTATAGAATCAAAAATGTTCAAAGAGTATTAATACCTGAGAATAACGAACGTGATCGTTATGCACATACGATGTCTTAACAATGGTTTCCCATTTTGTAGATTCAAGAATTTCTTGATTCGGTTTCTTGGTACCAACTTCACCTGAAACGACGCTGTTTGGTCTCGGGCTCACCGGCGGGAGGAGTGTTCGGCGGAGCCACGGCCTAGATGGAGTTACTGGTAAAGGCGGCGGAGAAATCGCCGCTATATATTCCGGCGAAGCTTTAAGAAGATTTCCTGACCTATTACTGCTGCTGCTTCTTCTTCTGTTTACTTCCTCCGCAAGGAATCTCGAGTCCTGTATCGTCGTCCTTTGGATCCTCGAAGGAGTTGAGACGGAGTTTCTAGACATTCGGATTTCTCCAGAATTTGAATAATTAGGAAGAGCCTCTCTTCTTGATCTTGTTGGATACAGTTCTTGAGACTTGCTTATTCCTCTGTGTAGCCTTTTGAAGTCCGGAGTTCCGAGAAAACCGGTTTCCGAACAAGAAGTTCGGTACGGAGAGATAAAACCGGAAAGACGCCTAGTTGACCAGTTTGGTAAACCGGTTTGTTCACCAGAATGTTTCAAACCCCGGTTTGATCTTGAATCCAAAGGAACCGGGTTTGAAATCTTGAATGAGTTCCTAGCACAAAGCCTTGGCAAGAATCCACAAGCTTTCTTGGTAATGGCAACTTCTGTGTAGATTTGGTGATCACCATGACCATCATCATCATATTCATCCTCATCATCATCATCGATGTTTAAATCATCATAAAGGCTCTGAACAATAGCGAAATGCTCATGTTCTGAGACTAGTTGACTTCTTTGGCGAATTACAAGAGCTTCTCTGTTTTGTATGGTTTGCTTCTGCTCTGAAGAGTTATAAGAAGAAGGGGATTGATGTTTCTGATGTGTGAAAGCCATGGCTTTCGCAGCTGGTAAGAATCTTGACAGCATCAGATCGAGACTTTCTCTAGAAACCACATTGTCAGATTTGTCGATATCGCTCACTCCACTTGTGCTGCAATTAACAGAGAAGCTTCTGTCTGAAGAAACCGTATCCAAATCTTCTTCTTCTTCTTCATCGTCCTCATCGGTTTCTAGCAAGCCTGATTCTTGAATCAATGTAGCCATTTCATCTTTCGGCTTTCCAGGGATCTGTTCCCACAAGAACGGAACTGAAGCTGGTTCTGTGAGATGATCAAAGCTTTGGTCTGGTAAGACAAAAACCGGCGTTTCTTGGTCTGTGCTCGGACATGATTGAAAATCTGTCGTCTTCTTGATCTTCTCTGGTCCGCTTGCATGCTCTGATTTACTTGGAATTCGCCTTATTGATGGTAATGGTGCATACAGATTCAATTTCTTCCCCTCCATTCTTGGAAAAAGAAAAACAAGAACAAGAAGTCTCTGTTTAAAGTGTATAGATCGAACAATTAAAGAATTAAAATGAGAAGATGATAGAGATTAAAATATGGAAACGAACATGAAAAAGAGACTAGTTTATGATCAGACAGAAGTCATTAGAAGACCACTTTATTTAAGCAAGAATCCAAAACTACTGATCTCTTCTTCTGTTGTGTTGTGAGAAATGAGATTGTAGTTGTTTTTATTGAAGTAGCAGATTTTTAGAAAATAAATGAAATTAGAGATATATTGTATATAAATTGATTACCGAATGTTTGGGGCCGAGATTGAAGGCTGGAGTTTAGGGAAATAGCAGATGAATGTAGGTAGATAAAAGAATAAGAAATGTCAATAAAGAGACTTTTTTTTATCTTTGGTCTTTTTTTCTTTTTCTTTCTAAAATCAATTTCTCAATTTTTGTCTGAGAGAATTTAAATGTTATGTATTCTTTTCATAAACAATTGAGGTAAAAAAACAATCACCGGAAGATTTGATTGAAAATTAATGATGAGGAGATCAACTACTACTTTTGTTTTGTGTTGGAACTTGGAACACTAAGCGCTGCGCATAGAAAACGACGTCGTTAACACATTTACCATACAATTACAAGAAGATCAAAGACAAGTTTTCAAGTTTTGTTTTCAAGGTAGTAAAACGAAATAAAATAATAAATGGATTTTTTGTTGTTGTTGTTAATAATGAGAAAAGACTTTTGTATGCACCAAGTGAAGTGGACCGGCTTCATTGGTAATGTTCTGTCCTTTTCCGAGCCACACAACGTTTTATCATGGTGCACTAATCTTCTCTCTTTATTTTTCTCCGAATGCACTGATTGATATTTGAAGTCGTTGAAGAAAAGTCTCGGCATATCGCCTCGATGGATCATGATAGGACTCGATCTTTTAGACGAATTAACAATGTAATATTTTAGTGACAAGAAAAATGAAAACTTGACTTTTCTAATCATTGATTAACGGGTCTAACTCCAAGAGCTAAAAATACACTCTTCAAACGTCCGATTAAGGTCTGACGTTTCCATAGATATTGGCAACAGCAATAGACAAATCAACATTTCAGTTATAGGGTACATTGTAGAATTCGAAACAAATCTCTCTCATTTTATAGCTCTAACAAAATAAAATTGGTTACTCTAAAACTTCCTTTATACCTCTAACACTTGAAACATTGGTTTAATTCATCAAGCGACGTCCTAATCCAAAAAAAAATGTAAAAATGGTTTAATAGCGTCGCTTCATGTGCGACAGAGACGAAGGTACATGAAGCGCTATTCATGATGCATCCAGAGAAAGCACCAGGACCGGATGGCATGACTGCTTTATTTTTTCAACATTCATGGCATATAGTTAAAAATGATATTCTCAAGATGGTTAATAATTTTCTCACATCGGGTACCTTTTGATGAAAGATTGAATATGACCCACATTTGTCTGATCCCAAAAACGGGACGACCGAATAGGATGACAGAGTTACGACCGATCAGCCTATGTAATGTGGGTTATAAGATCATTTCCAAAGTCCTCTGTCAGAGACTCAAAGGGATCTTACCTAGGTTGATTTCGGAAACTCAGTCTGCTTTTGTACCGGGCCGGCTAATTTCTGATAACATACTGATAGCTCAGGAGATGTTCCATGGACTCCGGACGAATAAATCATGTAAAGGAAAATTTATGGCAGTAAAAACAGATATGAGCAAGGCTTATGATCGGGTTGAATAAAGCTTTCTAGAAGCGTTAATGAGGAAAATGGGCTTTGCGGAACAATGGATCTCATTGATGATGCGATGTATTACATCAGTTAAGTACATAGTGTTACTCAATGGTCAACCAAAAGGGAAAATAACTCCCCGCCGAGGTTTACGACAAGGGGATCCATTATCCCCGTATCTCTTTATTCTGTGTACGGAAGTTCTGATAGGAAATCTGAGATGGGCAGAAGAACATAAAAGTATTACAGGCCTTAAGGTGGCTAGGGCAAGTCCAGCAGTGTCTCATCTCTTTTTTGCGGATGACAGCCTGTTTTTTTGTAGAGCGAATGTTGACGAAAGTCGGGTGTTACTCCAAATCTTGAAAGAGTATGAGATCACCTCTGGGCAGCAAATTAATTTTGGAAAATCATCAGTACAATTTGGTCATACGGTGGAGGCAGCGTGCGGGCGGAGATACATCAAGTTTTGGGAATTAGCAATGTGGGGGGTGTCGGGAACTATCTTGGGATTCCAGAAAGCATTGGGGGCGCAAAGACAAAGATTTTTAGTTTTTTGGTAGATCGACAACACCAACGAATGAACGGTTGGAACTCAAAGTGGTTGTCAAAAGGGGGAAAAGAAGTTCTTATTAAGTCAGTGGCTTCAGCGATGCCTATGCACGTAATGTCATGCTTTCGTCTGCCCAAAGGGATTACGAATAAGATGACTAGTGCAGTCTCCAATTTCTGGTGGAGTAATAATGGCCAAACTCGTGGTATGCATTGGATGGCTTGGAAAAAGTTATGTCGGCACAAGAATGATGGTGGATTAGGATTTCGGGTTATTGAGGACTTTAACACGGCTTTACTTGCCAAACAACTATGGCGGCTAATAGACTACCCCGAATCGTTATTTGCACGAGTTTTCAAAGGACGGTATTACCGGAACTCTACTCCTTTAGACCCTATTAGATCATACTCTCCTTCTTACGGATGGCAGAGTATAGTATCGGCTCGACCTCTGGTACAAAAAGGACTTATTAAAAGGGTTGGTTCAGGAACATCTATCTCAGTTTGGGATGATCCATGGATTCCAGCTTCTAGCCCGAGGCCAGCCACATGAGATGGGATTAATTTTTACCCTCATCTTCGGGTGAGTGAACTAATAAATCCCATCACAGCAACGTGGAATTTTCCACTATTGAATCAATTGTTTGACAGTACGGATGTCTCCATGATCATCGGGATTCCCACATCACATGTTTCCCGACCAGATTCCATGGGATGGTTTTTTACGAAGACAGGTCGGTATACGGTTAAATCGGGATACGCGCTAGCACAAAAAATGCTGGCGAATGATAGCCCCAATTTCTTTGGACCCGATACACGGAGGCTCCAATCACATGTGTGGAAAGTACGATGCACTCAGAAATTACAACATTTTATTTGGCAAGCTCTGACGGGCTGTATAGCAGTCGGAGCACGACTACGGAGTCGTGGCATGCAGATAGATCCACAATGTATGCGTTGTGGAATGGCCCCAGAAACAGTGAATCACACTTTGTTTGAGTGTCCACCGGCATTACAGGTTTGGGCATTATCTCCAATCCCAACGGTTCCCAATCAATTTCCGACAGAGGGGCTGTTTACAAATATGGCACACCTGTTCTGGCACTTACCAAAAGATGAAAGGATGGGGATGTACCCTTGGTTAATTTGGTACATTTGGAAAGCTCGAAATGATAAGGTTATGGAAAATGTGGACTGGGACCCAAATGAGATAATTGTTAAAGCGGCAGCGGAGAGTTTGGCATGGGCAGCGGCCCAGGAACGACGAGCGACGGCGCATTCCCACACAGAAACCCTAGTGCAAACACCGATATCAGGTGACATTTGTCAGGTGGACGGGGCTTGGAAAGACACAGAGTGTAGAGCTGGTTTAGGATGGTACTTTTTCAACACGGATTCTCCTGATAAACTTATGGGAACATGTAATTTGAGGCGGGGAATATCCCCACTTCAGTCAGAGCTGGAGGCTCTCATTTGGGCCATGCAATGCATGATACGGCATAACAAATTGGTAATGGTGTTTCAGACGGACTGTTCCGATGTGGTGAAGATGGTGTCTAAACCAGAGGAGTGGCCGGCGTTCTCAACACTACTTGACGAGGTTGACAGATGTAAGAGGAGATTCACCTCCTTCAACATCATGCATATTCCAAGGACGAACAACACGAAGGCAGACAAGTTAGCACGAAGTGCTCGAGATCTACCTACAGATGTGTATTATGTAAACTCTATTTCACCAGTTTGGATTCCCGAGCTGTTGTAGAAATAAAGGCTGTTGACAAAAAAAAAATTATCTATATATATAAAGTTCATGCAATTCTATTATGGTGTTGCCACGTCAGAAGAAGTTGTTTCTAAATTCACCAATTCGCCATATCAACAATTTATTGAATTTATTATATTTTTCTTTTTTAATATTTTAGTTTCATAATAATTAGCATTCATTACTATAATAAGTTTAACAAAAATATGAAAAGTCATTAAAAAAAAGTTATGTATAGATCTACAAAAACTATTATTTAGTAAATCTCTTTTTGTTAGATTATATAATTTACGTTGATGTCAATATATTATATAAAGAACACTGATTTTTAAGTATTTTATAAAAAAAACATAACCATAGAAGAAATGATTTTTGTCCACTTCTAATTATATTAAATGACGAGAGGGATGTAAAGAAACGGAAAGGAATAGGATACCACATAATTTTGCCTACTTCAAATTATATTTAGAGACGGAATAGAAAAAAAACGAAATGAACATGATGAGACATGACAAGACGGAAAGAAACATAATGAAACGGGATAAGACTGGACGGGAGGAGACAGACAAATTAGACATGACGAGATGAAAAAAACGGAATGAGACGGGATTGGACGGGACAAGATGAAAGGGACATAATGGACGAGAAGGGACGGGACATAAATTTCACCTACCCCTAATTATATTTAGGGACAGGACAAAGACACGACAAAACGGAAAAAAAAAATGATAGGATGGGACTCGATAGGGCGGACAGGACGGAAGGGGACGGGGAAAGAACGAGACAAGATGAGAAGGAATGAAATGGGACGGGATGAGACTATACGAGAATTTTGCCTATCCTTAGTTATATTTAGGGAACGGGACGAGAAGAAACGGAAGGAACATGATGGGACATAACAAAATGGAAAGAACATAATGGATAGGACGGGACGGGACGAAACAGCAAGACGGATGGGATGGGAAAGATCAACATGATGAAAATGAACGAAATGGGATACGATGGGACAAGACGGTACGTTAATTTTACCTAACCCTAATTATTTTTAATTAATATGTGTAATATTTTTGAAACAATAATAAATCAGATAAATAAATTAAATTGCGGAAAAACAATAAAATTAACACAATAATATAAATTCTAGCACGAAGGGCGGATCACCTCGTGGTAAAATATAAAGGCCAACCTTAAATTATGCTTGTAGTTAATAGTAGTATAGTACTGTTCAGTGGACCAGCCTTTATGAAGTAAAAAATTCTTATATTTGTTTTAGTATATGTACCATTTTATTTTATGTGTGAAAGTCATAGCTCCACATCACTTGCTCTAGAAGTCACATCGTAAGATTTCTCACCGTTCTTCTCGATTTCGCTCACTTCACTTGTGCTGCAGTTAACAGGAAAACTCCCATTTGAAGATATCACATCTTCATCTTCCTAACCTTCATCTTCATCGGTTTCTATATAAACCGAATTTTTGGATCAATGTAGTCATGTGGCGGATCTAGAATGTAGTTTTGTATGGGGCACAAGTTAGTTAACAAGAGAATTAATCAATTGAGCTCTCAAACGTGACTATGGAAATAAGCATGGAGAAGAGGTCTATCTATGATCAGACAGAAGCCATTAAAAGACCTACACTTAGTTCAAGCAAGAACGAGAAACTACTGATCTCTTTTTCTGTTGTGTTTGAGTTTGTAGTTGTTTTTTTTTTTTTTTTTTTTTCATTAAAAGAAACCCCTAAAAAGGGAAATACAAGAAACCTCAAAGAGGGAACAAAGATTACAACAGCAACATCAAAAAGCAGCAGCCTTCTAAAACCAAAAGGAGGTTACACATGAAAGAGAGAGAACGAGGTGTGAAGAAAGGAATTTTCACTATCAAGAGAAGACCGATGGGCGACGGCAGTGATAGAGGAACGATCAAGACTAAAAAGCTTAGCTCGAAGGATGGTTTGAATTTCCTTGGTCAAGACATGGACCGGTTTTGAACGAGGGGTGTGGAGTCTCGAGTTTCGCTCCCTCCAAAGGCAATAAACAATCGCCTGAACAAAAATCTTACATATTGTGTTCACCTTCTTCACAGGGGAAGGCGAATTTGACCAAGTAACAATGTCCTCAATCGAAGAAGGGAGTGACAAACCTGAGCGACGGAAGAAAACAGTCCAAATCTCCTTTGAATAAGCACAATCATTGAGGAGATGGTGTTTAGTTTCCGGAGCCGAGTCACAGAGAAGACAAGAAGAAGGCACGTCAAGACCCCAAGACCTTAATCTGTCACGAGTGACCAGTCGATCTTTTATAACTAACCACAAGATAAAAGTATGTCTAGGAATTCTTTCCTTGAACCAAACCGGCTTCGTCCAAATAAGAGGTGGGCCAGTTGGGTGAAGGAAATCCCAAGTTTTTGTAGATGAGAAGTCCCCCGGATCAGCTGTGGGAGAGCTTTTCCATCGAAAGACATCTTGTAGAGAGTTCAAGGAAGTAGGAAGATTGATTGGGAGGACATCACGAAGAAGCCTGAGAATCGGGTGCCTTCCACCTGAGATGAGCCAAGCCGAGTTATTACACGCTTGGTTGACCGTTGCCATCCGATTAATGCCTGTTACCCTCGGTCCGTTTGCCCCTGTTAACTCAATCAAGGGTCCCAAATCTGTCCAATTATCATGCCAAAACAGAGCTTTTGATCCAGAGTTAACCTTGCAAACAAGATGGGGTCGTGCTACTTCACGAGACTTCAGAAGACTCTTCCAAATCCAACTTCCAGTGACTTCCAGTGAGTTTGTAGTTGTTCTTATTAATGTAGCAGAATTACTAAAAACAAAACTCATCGCCGAATGTTTGGGCCCGAGATTGAAGGCTTGAGTTTAGGGTAGGGAAATAGCAGATGAATGTTGATAAAGAATTGTCAATAAAAAAGACTTTTCTCTTTCGTTTTTATTTTCGTTCGAAAAACAATTTCTCAATATATAAAAGAATGATTCTTTTTTCCAACTTTTTCAAGTGAGCTCCATAACAAATCTCATCGCCAAAAGATTTGAGTTTGACTGGAAACTACTACTTTTGTTTTGCTGTTGGAACTTTAAATGCTGTGCATAGAAAACGACTCAATACAAGAAGGTCAGTGACAAAATTCTGGATTTAATGTAAGTGATTCCTCAGGCAAAACGTGAGGGGTGGTTGTGTTTCAAGTTTCAAGTATTCTTCTCAAGGTAATTATTATAAATTAAAAATGAGATAAATACCATTATGTGAGCCAAATATGCACTAACTGAAGTGGACCGACTTCATTGGTAATGTAATTATGTAACACATGTTGTTCTGTCCTTTTCCGAGCCACGCAACGTTTTATTATGGTGCACTACTTTCTCTTTTTTTTTTTTTTGTTCTTCCCGAATGTACTGATTAATACTTATTTGTTTAAGTATTTGAAGAAAAAAGTATTGGCATCGCTGATCATGACACGACTCGATTGTAGAGTATTTTAAAATTATACTATGTTTTTTTTGTAGACAATGAAAATGAAGAGGATTGACTTATAACTATTGGTAAATGGGAAGTGGAAACAAAGCTTTTTCATTTTCATATTAAGAGGAAACATTACTATTGACTGCTTATTTACTAACTCTTATACTTGAATCTTCAGTTTAATTTATCAAGTGATGTACTCAATCTACCTTTATAATACAAAAGAAGGATGAGAGACTGATAAAAGTAGTCCAAACTCTGAGAAAAAAATAACCTTACAAGAAAAAATCATATTAAAATTTTGTATTCTATTTCTTTTTATTACTTCTGAAAAGCATAAAATTAGCTTAGTAACAGTTGACCAAAATCCCCTAAACTTGCGGGAATGAAAAGGACAAGAGAGTAATAATCTTTCACGCGGCAACCCATTCACACTGTCCCACAACACGCTCAAGATATAAAAAGGCTCAGCCCATATCATTAAGGCCCATTTACCTTGTTTTCCTGCTCAATAACCTTGTTTTTTTTTTGTCTTGCATGATTTTTTATAAAACTAAAGCAGAAGAAAAAGACATTTATGATAAGAAATCAAAGAAACGCTTTATTTCAAGTTTCAACCTACAGTTTAAAACTACTAATCCAACGATTTATCAACTATAAAACCAAAATCAAAACAACTATCATTAAACTAATCATACTTAGGTTGTCCCATCTTCTTCTTAGTAAGTGTAGCAAGTGATACGAGATTATACCGTATAACTGTATCGACAAACAATATAGTATCTTCTTCGCTATTTCCTTCAGGCACATCCACCACGTAACTCTCCACCACCACAGTCTTCTCCGCCTCATCTTCAGGCGACGCAACCACCGTCGTCTTCGATCTGAAATTTACAAGCCTGTGGTTACCATCAATGATACTAACCACCATCACGTGAGACTCATCGTCTAGCTCGTCGAGCCTCTCCGTGCTGAAATCCCCCGGAACGCCTGAGACCATCGTCAAGTCCCGAACTGAGCCTTCTCCTTTTTCGCCGTCGCCTTCGTAGCGGATAGTGCAACTCTTCACGAAACGTTGGTAAGCTTGGGGTTTGTCGAAACGACGTAATATTGACCACACTAGTGGTAGTGGTGCTTCGATGGTTTCTACAACGGTCGAACGACATCGGTTTTGCTTAGAACTTTCCATTTTTCGTTGTTTTCTAAGGGTTTTGTCTTTTATCGACTTTTATTTTCGTGTATAGCTTTAGAATTTCGTATGATTTGTCAAAATCTAATGTATCGGACGAACTACATATATAAGAATGCAAACACCGACTAAAACATATTATTTTTTGTTTTTGTTTTATTATGTACTGTAATATACGATTTCGTCATGTTATGTGAAAATTTTGAGTTCGATTTGGATTCCTTTTACTATATACTAACAAAAAAAACAGCGTAACACTACTGAGTAAATGCGTATGACATTACTTGCTGATAATTAAATTGATCGTTCAGTTAACTAAAATGACTGGTAATTTAAATGTTATTAGGATACTATCAAATTCAGTATACCTCGCTTTGGGATACAATATATAACCCGAGCCCATAATTTTTGTTTTTTGTTTTGTCAAACGATATAAAACCAGAAGTTTTTATGAAAACCATAATTTCATTTGTTGAATGCAATAAATTAACTTGGAGGATGACCAAGATATGTGTTTGAATTCCAACATAAGTTTTTTTCGTTAGTTTTTTTTTATATTTAGTTTTTTCGTGTAAGAAAACTATGAAACGTAAAATCCGAAACTTTTTTTTTAATAGTAAGGTACTTGGATGGACATACCGACATAGTGGCACTGGCAAGTGGCAACCGATTATAAAGATACATATTTTCCGGTAAAAAACAATTATACATGCAATTCTATGACATGAGTTTCCTCATTTATTGACACAAAGCTACCAAAACATGACGTCATAAAAAGGTTTTATTTTATGCAACATGTTCATCCTCCAATGATCTTTACAACTAATTTCCTTACCAAGAGCCAATTTTTATGACGATTACCGAGTCCACGAACAAAGTATGGAATTGGTAAAACTGAATCATTGATGGAGAGATTTACATGATGCCAACTTTAATTCACAACATCGAACAAGAGTAATTTTTTTTTTTTTTTTTTTTGATAAATGAATTAATTTTCTCTGATGCAGTATGGTAATATGTACTTAAGTGTTCTTCACAAGTGTAAGAAAAACTGTGGGTTGCATAACAGCATAAGGATACCTTAGTCCGGTGGGTTTCGTCTGCGACAAAAGTTACTGAAACTTTTGTTTATTTTTTCTCAGTTTAAGAGGCTTAGAAGTTTCACACGTACACTGATATTTCGAAACATATTATATAATCTTGTCGGTATATTTAGGAAGTTTCCTAGGGCTAGATATAGACGATGTTTAGAACCAAATACACGCAATGGAGACAATCGTGTACAAACGTAGTAACTAGCTATAATTTCCTTTCTCTTCCTTTTTAAGTTTTCCAAATGCTTTTCTTCATATTCCTACAAATTCTGTTCTTCCCATTTATCATAAGAATATATACAAATATCTTTTGACAAAGATCTTTCGACAAAGAATTAAATATCCAACCAAACAGATGAAATTTGACAAAAAAATATTCAACATAGCATTCTTATATTTTAAATTAGTATATAGAGCCAACTAATCATAACCTAAGTTGATATATATACAGCGATACTTTGAGAGCTAATATATAAATGTAATTTAAACTCAAAAGCGCACAACTGTAATTTAGCGAAACATTACATTTCGTAGTCACAGACAATATTTTCAATCCCCACAAAAATAGAAATAGTTTGCCGACGAGAACAAAAAAAACAAGAAAAAATTTCAAATTAGTTCAGTGTTTCGCATAATTATATACAATTACTGAATTTATTGTATATTAGAGAAAACTAAGTTACAGAAATCACGAATTAGATCATCCCAAAAATGTAGTGCCACCCATATTTCAATAATAAAATTTGATTTCACTATTTTCCTTTTTATGTTTCTTCTTAAAAACTGTTAATAGATTTGGATTGTTTTATTAAGTTTAAAATGTAATTCTCATATTATTGCTGTTCGTGATTCCGATGTACAAAAAACGTACATTTTTGCATGATCTATTCGAAAGTCATCAGTCTCACCTTTGATTGCTGCATCGGCAACATTTGGTGCTACATTGTTTGCAGAATATTTTGTATGATCAAAATCAATAATTAAAACAAGTCATTAAGCAAAAAAGATGTGATAATATAAGCTTAATGTATCCAAAGTATTTCTGCTTACTCAACCCGGCTATGATATTAGCATATACAGATCATTTCTTAAGAACCCTCGAGGCAAAACAGTTTTTTTTTGCAAGAGTACTTGCTTGCTTCATCATGTTTATCCATTTTTTCTCGTATGTGTTCGTGGTTTTAGGCAGAGAATGTGTTGAATGAGTGTTGTTGATGTCGAGGGAGAAGAGATCTAGTAGGGAATATTTGAAGATACTTGAACCGACTTGGCCTTATCTTACATGATTGAGATATTTACATTAATCTTTTTTGTTTGATATTAGTTATCTTTTGTCTCTTGGAAAAACAGGTCAGAGCTAAAGACGTCAAATTTCTGCTTCAATCGTCTCAGAGCCAGTCTTGTGGCTTTTCAAATGACTTGGATGTTACTAGATCCATCTGGCTTACGAAAGCGGCAACCGGAGAACATAGCGACCATGCTCGGAGTTGATTTTGATCATACGTGTGCCACTCACGAAACTGTGGAGACACTGCTTGTATGTTTCAGGGGATTTCTTCAATGCTTTCAAAGGCATCTTGAATCTCAAGCCGACAACAGAGAAAAATGACCTCGGGGTAAATTTGATGCATTTACATTCTTATAATGTTATAAGTTTTAACTTTTTTGCTGCTTAACAAAGTTGATATTCTATTATTAATAAAGACCTCTCAAGAAAAAGCATTTTTCAAAGTTTACTTCATTTGAAAGTCAATTATAAATACTAGAAAATTTTCTAAACATCTCCAACCGAGATCTCGTGGTTTTTACTTTCTGCATTGATAGATTGAAACAAACACCGGATGAACAAATGAACCATTGACAATATGAACCTTAAGCTGGAAACAATGCCCAAACCTCAGTGAAACTGCATTAATAAATAAAACTATATAGAGATATTTCAGCAGTGAATTGGAGGAATAAAAGAAATATTACGGCAGCTTCGCTATGGAAGAGAAGACCGTGTATTATCACTTTGATTTGTTTTAAATAGATATATCCAATGCTTCTTAACTCAAACCAAAACATGATAAACGTTACTTCGAACGAGTCATTGATCTCTACAAACAAAATATATAAATTTAAAGAAAAAAAAAACGATCTGAATGCAACGATTTCCACCCATTACTAATGCAACGATAAGTGCCACACGGGCTCCAACGCGGAAGCGACGATTAGAAAGAAGAAGTGCATGATACGTCCGGAATCCGGTCCTCAAACGTCTCTTGCCTATTTGGAGACATGAAAACAGAAGTGCTTAGTTAGATATCTACAACTAGCTGGTGAAAACCATAAACTAAGCAAGGGTAATTGGTTTATGGAATTTCATGCTTCCTACTTCACATTTGGGGTCTTAACAGTTAAACTCTAGTATAATTAATAAATAGAGCTTAATTAGTCTCCTTCAACAGAGGAGAAATTGTTCAATACCAACAAAGCCAAGATAAACAGGCATAATCCAATTCATTATAAGTAACTTTTGAGATATTAAAACTTGCCTTTCCCTTTGGTTACTCATCCCCGAGGAAAGATGGGTCTGGCTTGCTAGAATTAATCCTAATAATCTCCTGAGGGGACAAAAAAAAATATTGGGGTCAAAAACATATTGTCAAAAATGTGTATTTGATAGAAGCAGAGATGAAGCAAAGTTGCTTCCCCGAGAAATTAATCCTAATAATCTCCTGAAGGGGAAAAAAATAATATTGGGGTCAAAAACATGTTGTGAAAAAAGTGTATTTGATACAAAGCAGAGATGAGGCAAAGTTGCTTACCTCCTGTTTATGGTTTTTACTGGAGAGATGCGAGGTGAAATTTGTAACACTTGGGGAAGTAAAGTCGCATGATTCGCAGAAAAACGGAATAGATTCACTGCACTTGGGAAGAACATAACTCCTTGTCTCTTGTTGACCATCCCCCAATATGGTTTTCCATAGCCAATCTGCACTTCTATAGAGGGGTGACCATTTCCGACTAGTATATGTAGATGCCAGAACAAGGTTGTATCCACTCGACTAGTATATGTAGATGCCACCTCTTTTTTTTAAATACATCTCGCCCGGTTCTTCATGTCTCGAGATAAATTTCATCATGATTTGCATCCACATCCTTTGTATTGGACCTTGGAAGGTTCCAAAGAATGTGGGGTTGCTCTCGATGTTGATTGTGTGCTTGGAGATTTTATGTTGATTGTATACTAACATAAAATCATATACTGCAAATTTCATATTACTCAAATTGAAGTGGCAAGGTTTAAGGACCTTGAGGAGACCGGCAGCAGCTAAGCTAAGATCTGTTGTCCGTGGCAAATAGATGCAACTGGCTTCCTGGAATTCATAAACTCTTTAACAATGTCGAGGACAGGTTAGGCCAGATATTCTAGAGCTCTGCCTCGGATCCATATTCATCGTAGATGTTTCTTTCGGAAGCCGTCCTTTGAAGAGTGCAGGACCAGCTGTGGTCTTTCGTCTTTGTTTGCTTCGCCATATACATCTGCAGGCCATTGATGTTCTTCATCATGGACAGAACGCATATGTATTATGAATACTCATTTTCACAGTGGGCCACAGATCGCACACAACTTCAACACAATTACATAATCCAGTTTATAAAAGCTCAGTCCACATAATTCAAGCTGATAGGATTTACAACCTCAGCAGCGAAATGGAGAAATAGAGAAAATAAAATATATAAACAAAAGAAAAATATCACGGCAGCTTCGCTTTGGAATCTTTTTGATTTGTTTTAAATAGATATATCCATTACATCTTAACTCAAACCAAAACATGATGATAATCGTTACTTCGAACGAGTCATTGATCTTTAGAAACAAAAGACATAAATTTAAAGAAAAAAACGATTTGAGAACTGATGCAACAATTTCTCTTTGCTGAAAGCATAGGATTAAGTTGTGCCACGCCGGGCTCCAACACGGAAGCGACGATTAATAAGAAGAAGTGTACGATACGTCCGGAATCCGACCCGGAATCCGATCCTCAAACGTCTCTTTGCCTATTTGGAGACATGAAAACAGAAGTGCTTAGTTAGATATGTCCAACTGATGAAAACCATAAACTAAGTAAGGGTAATTGGTTTATGGAATTTCATGCTTCCTACACCACATTTGGGGTCTTAACAGTTAAACTTTAATATAATTAATAAATAGAGCTTAATCAGAGAAGAAATTGTTCAATACCTACAAAGCCAAGAATCCAAGATAAACAGGCATAATCCAATTCATTATAAGTAACTTTTGAGATATTAAAACTTGCCTTTCCTTTTGGTTCCTCAATCCCGAGGAACGCTGGGTCTGGCTTGCTAGAATTAATCCTAATAATCTCCTGAGGGGACAAAAAAAAAAATTATTGGGGTCAAAAACATATTGTCAAAAATGTGTATTTGATAGAAGCAGAGATGAAGCAAAGTTGCTTACCTCTTGCTTATGTTTTTTGCTGGAGAGATGCGAGGTGAAATTTGTAGCACTTGGGGATGTAAAGTCGCATGATTCGCAGGAAAACGGGATAGATTGACCAGATTCACCGGATTCACTGCACTTCCGAAGAACATAACTCCTTGTCTCTTGTTGACCATCCCCCAATATGGTTTTCCATAGCCACTCTGCACTTCTGTAGAGGGGTGACCATTTGCGACTAGTATATGTAGATGCCAGAACAAGGTTGTATCCACTCGAAAATTGTTGATTCTGACAAAGAACGGGAGTCATATCCTTTTATCGGATATGATCATTATTGTCGCCGGGGGTGGATTATGGCGTTTGAAATCAAAAATACCATAAAACATTTGTGAGTCCACCGAACCTGTATCAATAAAGGAAATCAAAGAGATTACAGCACAGCTGAAGAATCTAAACCCCAATTTTTTTTTTAAATAAATAAAAATAAAAATCAAGAGATAACAAGGAGTCAAGGACTAACCGGAAACGTAGTTTGTTACAGCGATTCCAGTGGAAGAGAGGCCTTGCAGGACGTGAGCTGGGGTCTTTTCTAGGTTGCCCATGGCAGAGATGGTTACAGGACCCAAGTACCCTAAATTCTTCAACGCCGATTCTATACTTGGACGGACCCGACGAGCATCATAACCAACCGGAACCGGACAGGTGTCCATGTCCCACAACACCGTAGTCTTAGAATTCACAAACTCAGGCGCCGCCTTGCTGTTCCCGAAAACACCCATCTTAACGTAAAATATCAACAGACGCACGCAAGTTCTTGAACCCTAGCTAGCTTGGGTTTCTTTCAACTTACGATATCTTAGCTCTGATACCTTTGGTAGAGGGAAACCGTAGATTCCAAGTAACTGATAGTAACACAGAATTGATGTTCCTTAAACACACCTATTCCGAACTCACTTGCAAAGAATCTTCGAGAGAAGAAGAGATTCTTAACTGATAATGAGCTAAAGTAATAAGAAGAGAAGGAGAGAAGATTTTCTGAATTGTTCTGAATAATATTATGAAGATGGATTACAACTCTTTATATAAGAAAAGCAAAACTGACTTAAGCAAAACCAACTAAAACGAAAAGGAAATTAGCCAATAAATTATCCTATATCAGTTTCTCGTTCGTTTACTAATTATCAAAGCTGCCTGTTGGTATCGGCTTCTACAAACTTTGTTGCTTGGTTCTCTGTTTGATCAATATAAGTGTTAAAAACAAAAATTATCAAAGCTGGGTAACTTGTTTAAAAAGAAATCGATACATAGTTAAAAGTAAACAAAATCTTAAATAGAGATCAAAACGGAACTTTAACTTAAATGTTAAATTAATTATAAATTTTTTTTTTTATTAAAATGATATATTGAGAGAGAGAGAGAGAGAGAGAGAGAGAGAGAGAGAGAGAGAGAGAGAGAGAGAGAGAGCAATGGTAAATTGGTAATGATGAAACTAGCAATCCATGTAAATTGCGTTTCATCACTTCATTATAACCCATTTCAATAACCCCCTACGCAGCCTCCGAGCAGAAAGGTTTGTGAAGTAAACCAAACGTCCACATGATGAGTGTTACTGATCTCACCAATTAGGAAGAAGAAGGTTCGAGAAACGGCACTCAATGTATACGTGGAGGACAAGTAAATTCATAGTGGCCAAAGACAAAAAAAAAAAAGGATAAAAGAGAGAGACCAAATCGTCCTAAGGAGGAATTATAAAATGGTTATGATGAATCAAAAAACATATTTTAGATAATATATTTACGCAAATTTGGTGTTATAGTAGAATTTGTGAATTTGTTATCAAACGTTCCAGACTTAAATTGGTTACATAGAAGTAAAGCTTCACCAGCTCCGGAACATTATGGTGACGCGGAGAACTAAATCGATTCAGGACCGGAGATTTCCGATCAAAATGAGCTATCTTATCAATTTTGTTATCACACGATCGTAGGATTGAAACAAAATCGCAATGATAAAAACTTTTATTTTGTCGATCTTTAAGTTTCTACATTGAACAACAAATTGATTTCCTGATAGTACGGAAAATTGTTAGGCAAAACATTACTAATACGTGCACTCATTTTTGGTTGGATTTCAAACAATTTAATCCCAATAAAATGAGTTAGGTCCAAAATACCACAACATAAAGGTAAAACAAATTACTAACTGTATTTCAAAAATTATGACGAACTCAAAGTTAACAACACCCTGCAAAATCTAGTTAGGACTATAGCCGTGAATATTTCTTTTAACTATGTAAATTAATAGCAAAACAAATTCCGAAGCGGATCAACTCCTACTAATTAAAATCTCGAAACAAAAGACAGAAACTTAAAAGAAAAAAGTTCGTTAACTTTATGCAACAATTTCTCTTTATTGAAAGCTTAAGATTATAGTCTGGCCGAGGCAAACTTGCTTACCTTCTGTTTATGTGTTTTAGTGGAGAGATGCCAGGTGAGATTTGTAACGCTTGGGGCAGTAAATTCGCATGATTTACAGAAAAACTTGGTAGATTCACCAGATTCACTGCACTTGTGAAGAACATATCTTCTTGGCTCCTGTTGACCATCCCCCAGTATGGTTTTCCAGAGCCACTCTGCAGTAGTGTGCAGGGCTTGTGACCATTTCCCACTAGTACATGTATATGCCAGAACAAGGTTATATCCTCTTATTATTTGTTGAGCCCGACAAAGAACGGGAGCCAATTCGTCATCCACTTTATTGTCGCCGGAGGTGGATTAAGGCGTTTGAATTCCATATAATCATGTAAAATGTATGGGCCCACCGTACCTGTATCAATAAAGGAAAGCATAGAGATTACAGCACAGTTGAAGAATCTAAACCCCAAATATTTTTCAAAAGAAATCAAGAGATAGATAACAAGGACTAACTGGAAACGGTGTGTGTAAATTCGACTCCAGAGGAAGAGAGGCCTTGTAGGACGTGAGCTGGGGTCTTTTTTAGGTTACCCATGGCGGAGATGGTTACACCAAGACCCAAGTAGCCTAAATTCTTCAACGCCGACTCTATATTTGAACAGACCCGACGACAGCATCATAACCATCGGGAACCGGACAGGTGTCCATGTCCCACAAAACACTGACGTCTTAGAATTCACCAACTCAGGCGCCGCCTTGCTGTTCCCGTAACCACTCATGTTAACCTAAAATATTATTCAACTACAACTAGCGGTGAATATTTTTATTTTTTGTTTGTTTTCAGCCGTGAATATTTCTTTTATAAAAATCTCGAAACAAAAGACTGAAACTTAGAAGAAAAAAGATCCGACAACTTTTTTTTTTTTTTGTTGGGTCACAGATCCGACAACTTTATGCATCAATTACTCTTTGTTGAAAGATTAAGATTTTGGTGTGCCACGCCGGGCTCCAAAAAAGCGACGTTTAGTAAGAAGAAGTACATGATACGTCCGAAATGCCATCCTCAAACGTCTCTTTCGAGGAGATTTTAAATATACAATCTGCAAAATGTATATGAAACCATGAGTATCTGCCTATTTGGAGACGCGATAAATAGCTTAGTCTCCATCACAAGAGAAATTGTTCAATACCAGGTACATAATCCAATTATATTATATATAAGAAACTTGAGATAATAAAACTTGCCTTTCGCTTTGGTGGCTCATCCATTGGATCTGGCTTCCTAGACTCAATACTATTCAACTCCTGAGTAAAAACAAAAAAAAATACAACACTGGGGTCAAAAACATATGTTGACTCAAAATAGTAAGACAATGAAAAAGATGTATTTGATACAAGCAGAGAAGAGGCAAAGTTGCTTACAATCTGTTTATGTGTTTTAACGGAGAGATGCTAGGTGAAATTTGTAACGCTTGAGGCAGTAAAACGGCATGATTCGCAGAATAACGAGGCAGATTCACCAGATTGACTGCACTTCTGGAGAACAGATCTTCGTGTCTCCTGTTGATCATCCGTCAGTATGGTTTTCCAGAGCCAGTTTGCAGTAGTGTAAAGGGGTGTCCATTTCCAAATATTATCATTAGATGCCACAACAAGGTTGTATCCACTCTCAAATTGTTGATTCCGAGAAAGTTGGATCGTCAAATCGGATTCCACCTTATCGGATATGATCATTATTGTCGCCGGAGGTGGATTATTTGATTTGAATGTAATACAATCACAGAAAATGTGGTGGCCCACCCTACCTGTAGCAATTAGGGGAAAACAAAGATATTACAGCATAGTTGAAGAATCTAAACCCCAATTTTTTAAATATAAAAAAATCAAGAGATAACAAGGAGTAACTGGAGTGTGTAGCAGCGATTCCAGAGGAAGAGAGGCCTTGCAGGACGTGAGCTGGGGTCTTTGCTAGGTTTCCCATGGCAGAGATAGTTACAGGACCCAAGTACCCTAAATTCTTCAACGCCGACTCTATACTTGGACGGACCCGACGAGCATCATATCCATCGGGAACCGGACAGGTGTCCATGTCCCACAACACCGACGTCTTAGAGTTCACCAACTCAGGCGCCGCCTTGCTGTTCTTCGCAACACTACTCATCTTAATCTAAAATATTATTAGACGGACGCAAGTTCTCGAACCCTAGCTTGGGTTTCTTCTCTCAACTTTCAAACTAAAATACTTATATACGTGAACTTATGGATTTTATTGATACCTTTTGGTTTCTCGTTTGTGTACTAAATCAAAGCTGGGTTACTTGTTTAACAAGAAATCGATATCTGTACTAATTAAAAAGAAGCTGATTGGGCAGCCTCTGAGACCATCCACATCAGCAGCTACTCTACCACGATGCCAGGTGGCATAACTCCCCAAAGCTATTACTTAAAATGCCACGTCAAGGGACATCAGAACAGAAGGTGTGAATTGCGCTTATGCGTAACAGAGGGAAACTTGAGAATTTAGAAGAAGAGGGATCGTCACAAAGATGCCCCCAAATTTGTTAATAAGAGAAACCCTATAAAATGATCCGGCAAAGAAACAAGGTGTGAATTGTCCTTCAAGCTATGAAGCTGAGAATATCGACTCAAATTATGGATTAATGGAATTTTATGCAATAACAATAGCTAACGTTTTCTTGGCTCACAATGTTATTATGCATTAATACCTAAGCAAATCATTTAGCCTATTTTCCATCCCAGATAATATTTACACTTGCACCACCGTCCATGCTGCTGCTAAAATTGTAACAAGAGTTGTAAACTAATCTTTCATGATGAGATTTAAGTTTGTAAATTATCGCTTTATTTTACATGATAAATATAAATATCCATCGCTTCTTAATTATTTCACACCAAAACATAATAGTTATTCCGTCAAACGTGTCATCTCTAATAAAAGAGAGAAGCTTTCTCTTCGTTGAAAGCTTAAGATTATGGTGTGCCACGCCGAGCTCCAACGAGAAAGGGACGTTTTGTAAGAAGTACATGATACGTATGGAACCCCATCCTCAAACGTCTCTTTGGAGGAGATTTTAAATATACAATCTGCAAAATGTATATGAAACCATGAGTATTTGCCTATTTTGAGTCCTGAAAACAGAAGTGCTTTTAGATATCTCTAACTGTGAAAAAACAGAAACAGTAAGGGTTATTGGTTTATGATGTTCAAATCCAAGTAAAATCACATGTTATTGAATTGTTGATTTTTACAGTTGGAGATATCCTAGCCAATATCAAATTTTATTCAATACTAAAAATTGATTTTACAATGAATTGTAATGGACTTGGGAGTGATTTTCAAGTTAAAATACCAAGACTTTGATTGGATTTCCAGATCCAATCAAATCCATGAACCAATAAACCGTAACTGAAATCCACACGTTAAATTTTTAAATCAGTGAATTTTACAAAGATTTCCAAATCCTATAAAGAATTCAAAATCCAAGTACACATACAAATGATAGGTGGAACTTTTCCAAGTTTCTCTAGTGAAACATTTTAAAAGAGAATTTTGTTATATAAAATATAGCCTAGTGTCCATCAGATGAAAAAATTGTTCAATACCAACAAAGGCACCACAATGGGAAGAAACAAAGATAAACAAGAACAGAATCCAGTTAAATTATAAGAAAACTTGCCTTTCCCTTTGGTTGCACATCCCCGTATTAAAGCACATATCAATCTCCTGAGTGATGAATATCCAACATTGGGGTCAAAAAACATGTTGTTGTCTTAAAATAGTAAGATATGCAATACAAGCAGAGATGAGGCAAAGGTGCTTACCCTCTGTTTATGTTGTTTAGTGGAGAGATGGAAGGTGAGATTTGTAACGCTTGGGGCTGTAAATTTGCATGATCTGCAGAAAAACTCGGTCGATTCACCAGATTCACTGCACTTGTGAAGCACATATCTTCTCGTCTCCTGTTGATCATCCGCAAGTATGGTTTTCCAGAGCCACTCTGCAAGTAGTGTACAAGTATGACGCCACGTTCCGACCAGTAGGATATGTAGATGCCACAACAAGGTTGTATCCACACCTATATTGCTGACTCCGGCAAAGAATAGGAGTCATTTCGGCTTCCACCTTATCCGATATGATCATTATTGTCGCCGGAGGTGGATTATGGGATTTGAATTTCGAAATATCATCAAAAAAGTGTGTTCTCACAATTTCTGTATATATATAAAAAAGGTTTTACATCTTCTGTTTTGGTCTAGTCGTCGGCATCACAACAAACTTTGATATTTTTCTATCATTTCACTATTTCAGCATGTAATTTTACCGACTTGCACAATGAGAAGAAGTAAAATGTCAACTTTATTAAATACGTTGCAAGTCTATTAATCTATGCAAGTAGAAATATTTCTTGTGTATGTACCACTAGTGACACCACGACCTGAATGCTATTCAGATGCAATTGTGCTTTTGTTCTCCTCTCGTTGGAAGAGGAATATTTTACTTAACCCGAATTAAATGCGTCAAGAACAAGAAAATTACTTGGAAACAAATTAAGGTCGCTCTTAGGTTGTTAACCATTGTTGTTCAACCAGCGGATGTGAATCCTCTTATTTGACTTCATTGTACGGGACCAAACACACAAGTAAAAGTAACGCATTACGATTATCCTTTGGCATTGGCAATATGAACCACAAACTGATAACAATACCAAAACCTCGGTGAAACTACATTAAGAAAATAAAAGAAGTATTACGGCTGGTTCGCTTTGGAAAAGAAGACAGTGTATTATCTCCTTAATATAATTTTAAATATTACATATCCATTGCTTCTTAACTCAAACCAAAACATAATTACTTCAAAGTTAAAAACATAAAACAATCTGATAACTTATGAAACAAATTAAGTCTCATTGTTGAAAGCTTAAGATTGTGATCTGCCAGGCGCAGCTCTAATGAGAGGGTGGCGTTTAGTAAAAAGAAGATGATAAAACGTCCGGAATCCCCTCCTCAAACGTCTCTTTGATTTTAAATATATAATCTGCAAAATGCATATGAAACCATGAGTATCTGCCTATTTGGAGAAACCAGAAACTAAGTAAGGGTTATCGGTTTATGGATTTGATCAAATCCAAAAATCTATATCAAAGTCCTATGTGTTTGGTTCTAAGATTTTAAAATCATATGTGATTGGCTTTATGCAATATATAAATCCTAGCTAAGATCAAGTGTTTATTCAATACTAAATATTTCTATATACATATGGATTTGGTTTTACCAACTGTAATAGTCTAATAGACTTGGGAATAGTTTCAAATTAAAAATACAAAGACTTTGATTGGATTTCTATGAACCAATAAACCGTAGGTATAAACTTAGTGTCCATGACAAAGAGAAATTGTTCAATGCCAACAAAAGCCACCACATTGGCCAAAGAAGAAACAAAGATAAACAGGTATAATAATCAAATTAAATTATAAGTAACTTGAGATGTTAAAACTTGCCTTTCCCTTTGGATGCTCATCCCAGTAATTGAGCGCTGGGTCTGGCTTCATAGACTCAACCATTTGAATCTCCTGAGGGAAAAAAAACAAAAGACAAATTCAACATTGGGTGTATTTGATACAAACAAGCAGTGAAGTAGAGATGAGGCAAATTAAAGTTGCTTACCGCCCGTTTATGTTTTTTACTGGAGAGATGACGGGTGAGATTTGTAACGCTTGGGGCAGTAAAATTGCATGAACCGCAGAAAAGCGGGGTAGATTTTCCAGATTCAGTGCACTTGTGAAGAACAAAGCTTCTCGTCTCCTGTTGATCAGCCCCCAACATGGTTTCCCAGAGCCACTCTGCAGTAGTGTGCAAGTAGGACGACACGTGCCCCCTAGTAGGATATATAGATGCCAGAACAAGGTTGTATCCACACCTAATTTGTTGACTCCGGCAAAGATCAGGAGTCATTTCGGATTCCACCTTATCGGATATGATCATTATTGTCGCCGGAGGTGGATTGAGGGATTTGAATTCCGAAATATCATTATAGAAGTGTCTATCCACTGCTTCTGTATCAATAAAGGATATTAAGGAGCAGTTGAAGAATCAAAGCCCTAACTTTTTTGAAAGAGATAACAAGGACTAACCGGAAAGGCAGTGTTTAACAGCGATTCCAGTGGAAGAGAGTCCTTGCAGGACTTGAGAAGGGATCTTCTCTAGGTTGCCCATGGCGGAGATGGTAACAGGACCCATGTACCCTAAATTCTTCAACGCCGATTCTATGCTTGGACGGACCCGACGAGCATCATAACCATCGGGAACCGGACAGGAGTCCATGTCCCATAACACCCACGTCTTAGAGTTCACCAACTCAGGCGCCGCCTTGCTGTTCCCGCAAATCACCATTGTAGATCAACAGACGCACGCAAGTTCTCGAGCCCTAGCTAATTAATTAATTAAATCTGGGTAACTTGTTTCAAAAGAAATCGATATTAGTTATAAGTTAAGGAAAAAAAACTTAACCAACGATCCAAAACGGAATTTTAACTTAAGTGAAAATAATTCCATTGTTACTGGCTTAACGTTGTTAAAAAAAGGAATTAAAAAGGTGATCGGAGATGGAGAAACTACGAGTGTATTTGGAGACAATTGGCTACCATGTCATCCACCTAAAAAAGCAAGTCGTCATACTCCTGCATGATCTCGAATGAAAATATAACAACTACACTCGTAGCCAATTGTCTCAAGTACACTGAAAATGGCAAGTACTTGGATGGGCACGGGGCAAGTACTTGCCATTTTCAGTGTACTTGCCCCGTGCCCACCAAGAGAAAAAATACCAAGAGAGAAAATATCTCATGGGATATTAACTCTTGGAAACAAAAATTCAAAGAATGTATTTTCAAATTCACCAAGAGAGAAAATAATTCTGTTGCACATGCTTTAGCTTCAATTTTGCCAGAAAATGGTGTTTTCTACTCTTCACATTTTAATCCGCCTTTGTGGCTAAAGGATTTATTGTATGATGACTTTGTAATTTCACCTTAATGAATATAATGACATTTTGACGTAAAAAATAAAAAAATAAAAAAATAACTGGCTATATAAATTATAATGAATGAAGTCTTTATATTAGTTTTTGAATGCAAAATCATAAAACAACGTTGTTCGTTTGGATGGTCACACCTTCTAGTTACTTATTCCATGTCTTTATTGGTCTCCAATCTAAATTACTTGAAACCATCATATCAAGAAGAAGATAGCATCGAACAACAGTCCAATGCTGCCAGAGAATGATACCCCATTTGAGATGGACTTGGCGACAAGCTTAGAGATACATGATACATCTATTCTACCGCAGAAAAAAACTAAGACAAGTGATGAGAACAACTCTTTTCTACTATCACAACTCACAAGTGTTGGGTTTAAGAAAAACTAGGGTTTGACCCGCGCCCTGCACGGGGTGATGGTTTCTGAATTTGTTTTTTTTTATTAGAAAATGTTATTTAAATATCTCAAAATTTTATGCCACGGATTTAACTTTTGTTAGATTATTGTCTTCGTTTATTCGTTTATAGTATGGAAATTAAGCATTTTAAACTATTTTTAAAAAATATAAAGAAATTAAAGTTTTGATCGTAGCCATATATTAAATATGATAGATTTAAAAAAGATACATAAAATTCAAATGACTACAAATATAATAAGATAGTTTAAAGAACAAAAAACTGAAAATAAAACATTATTCTTTTAGAATATTTATACATGTATTTCATAAGATAAGAAGTATACATGTATTTTATAAGATAAGAAGTTTTAGTTGAGTGTACCTGGATAAGAACTAATTTTTGTTTTTTTCTTTCAAAACTAAAACATGCTTTGTTATAGTTTCAAAACAATCCACCCAATAAGAAAACAATCTGCATAATCCAAGTTGTCAAAAAAAAAAATATATATATATATAATTAACTTTATATTTAAAGTTGAAACAGATTGAGTAATATTCAAAATTTTAATCAAAATAAAATATTTAGAAAAATAACCTTTTTAGTATATTTGATTATAGAATTTAATTAAAAACCATATTAAATGGAATAAAAATAATAATTTACTTTTGGATACCTACTAAATGAGGTTATGTACTAAACAATTTATATTATTTTGTTTTTAAAAATTCAAATCATAGGATGTATAGAAAAAGTTTTAGATTTTCTTTATTAAATCTTGTATATTGTGATTCAAATTATTTTATAAAAAAAAGTTAAAAGAATATAATAGGAGATATATGGTGATTTTAAAAGAAATTATTATGATAGAATTAAATTGAATTCATATCTTCCTTATTTACCAATTTTCGTAGTTGTCAATTAAGGAAAGAGAAGAGAATGATAATATTTAATAACATATATATGACTCTCTAACCAAAAATATGAATGACAATGTTTGTAATTATTCTAGTAAGCTAATCCTTATTTCATAACTAACCTAAGAAGCTCTCTAGTGATGACACATCAGCATGGCATTCTTGTTAATAATACATCAACTAAATGTTACTTTTAAAGTGTTTTCTCTTTTAATATATTAGGGATAGGTATTTAAGCGTTTACAGTATTGGAAAAGATGAAGTACATGAGGAAGATTTTCAGATGCAATATCTATTAGAATGGTTAATGCAATGGAACGAGACTTTTTGTCACTCATATGGGAGATTAAAATCCAAGCAGAGATTCTTTCAGACACAAAAGAGAAAAAGAGTCTTTAAAATAAATAAAATAAATAAAAGGTTGCTTTGAGCGACATTGTTTTGTTTCTCAGAGTCTGTGAATTGATTCAATTGTATTACTATTACGCAATTTTTATGTCTGTTATGCCAAAGAATTGACATGTTTAATTCAATCACCATAAAAATCAATAGGATAAGATTCTTTGTAGGTGGACCACAACAAACAGTGAAAGTACGACGTAATGAAACCAAGCCCTTTAATTGAAAAAAAAAATGATATTCACTATTATTTGTTTTTCCCCTTAAAGACACTTTATAGAGTTGGGTTATTATGTTAAGGTTTAAATGCAATTCTTATATTAATACTAACAGTGAATTTGGATGATGCACCAAAAACGTACGTTTTACATGAAATTCATCAATAAAACAAGAGCTTTACATAATTGCTTGCTAAAGCAACAGTTCCGCCCAATTCCGCACATCAAAATCACAATTCTAAGTAATTTGTTAACCATGATTCTTCGTGAAAGAATTCAACTCTGTTTCACTCTCAAATCAATTTCTTCAAAAATCATCTAAATGGGAAGACTGAATCTGTGTTTAGGCTGACGAAGCGATAGCGATTGATTAAGAGAAACGAGTGAATGAAAACAATTAGAGAAGAAAGTGAATGACAGAATGAAAGAAACAACAAATCAGAAACAATTTTTTGTTATTTACTTTCGTTTGTCAATTCGAACTCACTGCCGGGTTCGTTTTTAATGAAGGCTTTGTTTCCATAAATACTGAAATAAGTAAGTCAACAAGTCATAAATAGATGGATGATGTGTTTCGTTGGATTTTTTTTTTCCTTTTTGTTTGGGTTCAGAAATACCTTAAGGTCCTTAACGATATATTATTATCTTATTATATAAAGGTGGATGCGCGCGATGTCGTTACGACACGTAAGATTTTTATAAAATATAGGATTGCAACATGTGTCACTTTTAATGTTATATCCGTTAAGATCGTGACACATGTCTTCGGAAAAGGAAATTTTTATTTTAAAGGAAAAAATTTAATATCTTAAATTAAAAACGAATTTTTATATAATAAAATGAAAATAATGTAATAAAAAATTCCTATTAGTATATGGAATAGGTATGTAAACTAGATATCCTAAAATTGTATGAAATAGGTTATATAAACTCCTATTTTAAAAAATCCTATTAGTATATGTAATAGGTATGTAAACTAAATATCCTAACACTATATGAAATTGGGTACATGAACCCCCTATAAAAAGAGAGCTAATGTAGTCTTTTTTTCTCATTCACAAATTTATCAAAGCAAATTCAGAAAATCTCTTTGATTTTCTTTCTCTAATTTCAAAATCATAAGAGTTTGTATTCGGGAGGATAATGGAGATCAGACGGAGAGGAAAAGGTTTATGTCTGGCATCCTTTACATCCGTTAAGAAGATTTCATCTATCTCCATGTAAATAACGATTATCAAATAAGAAAAAATCACAAACCTTCCAAAAATGACAAAATATATAAGGATAAAGAGATATAGACAATAAACCTATTAGGTGTAGAATAATCAGTTTTTCACTTTTTTTTTTTTTACATCTTCAAAGAGTTCATGAAAAAAGTGTGAGTTTGCCGTAAGTTTATTGAGAAGCAGGGCTTATCCAACACTCATACTGTAGAAAGACATGAAAGAAAATATGGAAACTATTTCTTTGATGATAACAATGATTGCAGGAGGTGTATCAATTCTATGACTAGCCAAAGTTTGATCGGTCAAGATAAAGTTTTTGCTATCAAATTCAAGATTAAATATTTCATTTTTGGTGTAGTATAAACTTGCCAAATATGATTACTCGATTTGATTAGAAACATGATATGAGGTGAGTTAATAACCATTTTTGCAATTAAATAAACACTAACTGAATTTTGCAATTTCTAAACAAATATGTAACTAACAAATTTTTTGAACAAGAACGTATTTATCAACAGATTTAAGGCAGAAATATTCAAATAAACATTAATATAAAACTATTTCTAAAAAGAAATGTATACCATAACATATAAAAAACGTGACAAAATTACTAACAAAAAACAACATTGAACAAACAATGATTTAAGATTTTCTTTAAGTCATACAAAAAATACATAATTTATATTATATAAAAGCTAAATATATGCTATTATGATAAAAGTTTATAAACTAATAACACGATGTGTAAGTTAAATGTACTAAAAATTAAATTATATGTTATTTATAGTATTTTAAGTTCTATCATAACGAAATACTTACAAGAAAAGTAAATTAAATGTACTAAAAAGTAAATTTTATGTTGTTTATTATATTGTTTATAGTATTTCATGAATTACCCAAAATGAATATCTTGGGTAATTCATGAAAGTTTAAAAGTTTCGAGATAATTCAAGAATCTAATTCAAAATGAATATCTTGGATATCCTATCCCATTTATTTCCTTTTCATGCCTCTTTGATTACAAAAGACAAATTATTTTAACGAGTTTGAGAATAGGATTGTAAAACCATAACGGAAAAAAAAATCTTATATATAATAGGAGAGTTGCTCTCTCCTCCTAGGCATCCACATCAGCAAAAAAATCATTAATTGTATTTAAGATATTTAATATATGTGTATTAATATTTATTTATATATATT